TAGAAAACAAGAGGAATATATTAAATATATCCATGCTATCTCAGACTTCTGCTCTCCAAGCAATTACCAAGATTTGCTCGTTGAGTTTTTCAAAAAGCAGAGCTCTCTACTGGATTTGTTTTATAAAGTATTATTTTTAGTTAGTATGACTTCCATCCAGACTTTTCACATTGCCTACAAGTTGTCCCAAGTTGCCATTACAGTAATATCTGTAAGACCAAAAAGGTATAGTGAGTGGCAGCGCTGGGATTCAACTCCAGGGCTTACTGGTGCTAATGGAAAATGCACTACTTTCCTCTACTGTCCTCCATGTATGTTTTCTTGTGTTTCTAAGGCTTTTTGGAAGTATCAAAGGTTTAATTCTAAACCTAGAATTAGAAAAGCATCTTTACCACACTCCCTGAGAGGTTATGATATACCCAGAAAATCTTGGCAAATTGAGAGTGAGGCCCACTAGACCCTCTCTCTCGTTTTTATTTTTTTCTACCTTCTCCTCCTCAAGACCCACTCTTATGATGGGTTTCTACCAGGGACAGATACTGTGGTGTGGCTGCCCTTTCAGGAGAAATCCAGAGATCAAGCTGCTCTCCTGCAGACTGGAAATCCCACACCAGGTGGCTGCCTGAGTAGGCTGCTGTATGTCAGAGGACCTTTGTTTTGCAATTGGGTTATTAAAGGTGGAGTTTGGTTTTCACAGAAAAGATCATATTATTCTTCCCAAATAACTGCTTGTGGTTTTCTATAGCTATATATAGTTACCTTTGCTAGCTTGGAACTATTTGAAGGGCGAGATTATGTCTCACTTTCTATGTAATTCCTGAGACCTTAGTAGTGTTCTACCAAGGAAACAGCCACCTGAATGACTGAGGTCTTCATTTGAAAGATAATAGACCCCAAGTTTATTCCCTGACACTCTAATGATGTGAGAAAGTAAGCATACCAAGTCACCTAATGTAAATAATAGATGAATCTCTTTTATCATTTAGAAATATTTTAAAGTTTATTCTCCCTTGAGAAAGATTTTAGAGTTATACCTTTGACTTTTGTTGTGAAGCCAACTTAAACTTTCATTCACCTCTATTGTTTTCTGATTCAATATATAAGAGTTATTTGTGGAAAACTATTCAGATCAACTCCATTTTAAAAGTTAAGTATAAATGTTAAGATTAAGTGAACTAATCATATGTTATTGAATTCACAATGAAGTCACTAAGTCAGTTGTTTTAGGAATATGTGGTTTTAGGATTTCTTGTCTGTGGCCTGTTTAAATTGATTATGAGAAATAATTTTGATCTAGAAGGGCGAATGTGGTAATTTACAAAAAAATAATAATTTTGAAATATGGAAGGGTTTCATTCTTGTAATAATTTTTTATTGCTACATAATAGATGTACATATTTTGGGGGTACATATAATTTAATACAGTCATACAATTTAAAGATCAAATCAGGATAATTGGGATATCCATCACCTTCAATATTTGAGACAGCTATCATTCTACTGCATTAGTTTTGTTTTTCCTTTTTCAGAATATAAATAATTTAGACCTTTGTTTTTACAAATATTTTTAAATATTCTGTGTGTTCTAAGCATTACCTTTCTTTTATATTGTTTGATAGACTACTTGTTAAATTTCAATTCCATTATGAGAATTTAACATAAATTCTTTAAATATCAAAATGAATAGTTTTCTGTGAAAGTCACATCATTTTTGTTCTAATAGGTGTCTTAGAAGAAGCCAGATTTTTTGGTATTGACTCATTGATTGAACACCTAGAAGTGGCAATAAAGGTAAGGCTCTTTTTACGTTAGGCAGTGTTAAATAAATATGTTGGAGATACCTCCCCAAAGCCCCATTAATTTCTTAATATCTTTTTCAAGAATTCTCAACCACCAGAGGATCATTCACCAATATCCCGAAAGGAATTTGTCCGATTTCTGCTAGCAACTCCAACCAAGTCAGAATTGCGTTGCCAGGTAATTAAAGCAGACTTCTACAAGAGTTATTTGTGTCAGCAAATCTGTGGATAAAGTTTTACATCCTTCTAGGGTTTTTATGTTTTTTTGTGCTTTATTTTCCTTTTTCATGCAGATATAATTTAATTGAGGGTTATAGTGTTGATTTAATTCTGAAGTGGTTAGCTAAAAAGAGATGCAGTAGCCTTTTTTATTATCTAATTATGCCTTATGTAGCAGTTTATGAGTACTGCATGGAAGTTGCAGCAATTTTTTTAAAGTCAGTATTTGTACAGTTGCTACATGTGGCCTGGTCATTGGTAGATACTTTAGTGTGTTGTAGCATTATAGATTTTAAAAACCACAATATGAGCCAAGGGTGGTGGCTCATACCTGTAATCCCAGCATTTTGGGAGGCTGAGGCAGGAGAATTGCTTGAGGCCACGAGTGCAAGACCAGCCTGGACAACAAAGTAAGATCCCATCTCTATGATGAATAAAAATTTAAAAAAAGCTGGGCACAGTGGCACATGCCTGTTGTTCCAGCTACTCAAGAGGCTCGCTTGAGCCCAGGAATTTGAGATTACAGTGAGCTGTGATGGCACCACTGTACTTTAGTCTGGGCAACAGAGAGAGAGAGACCCTGCCTCTTTGTACTCATTTTTTCTTAACAAAACTGTCTTGAATTACTGAATTAATATGATTTAAACAGTGATCCCTCTTTAGAAACTGCTATACATAAATGAAGTATAGCCGGCTATATTTGAATGTATTTATCAGTGGGGTTTCTTTTTTGATGAACCCATTAAGGATATTTATTTGATGTATCTAATATATTCCAAGTGATTGAACTGCCAGTTGCTTCTAAAAAAAAGTTTGGTTATTACCTGTAGTAATCATATTTAATACAAACAGATGGTTTAATTATTATGACAATTAGTGCTTTTTTTATTTCAGGGTTTGAACTTCAGTGGTGCTGATCTTTCTCGTTTGGACCTTCGATACATTAACTTCAAAATGGCCAATTTAAGCCGCTGCAATCTTGCACATGCAAATCTTTGCTGTGCAAATCTTGAACGAGCTGATCTCTCTGGATCAGTGCTTGACGTAAGTATCATTTTTGGTTACAAGAGAAAATTGAATTTTTAGTCTGTTGAACAGGAATTATATCTGTGTTCAAGCAAAAGCTCCAGTGGAAAAAAAAAGTTTATTTTAACGATAAAACTGAGGGGTCTGAAAGTGAAATAAGTTGGTTTTACAATTTTGATATCCTTTACTAAACATAGATCTGAAAAGTTTTTTTTTTTTATTTCAACATATTATGGGGGTACAAATGTTTAGGTTACATGTGTTGCCATCCCCTCCTCCCTCTCCCACCTGCCCGATAAATGTTATTCCTATATGTCCACTTAGGTGTTGATCAGTTAATACCAATTTGCTGGTGAGTACATGTGTTGCTTTAGTTTTCCATTCTTGGTGCACTTAGTAGAATGGGTTCCAGCTCTATCGAGGAAAATACAAGAGGTGCTAGATCACCATTGTTTCTTATAGCAGAATAGTAGTCCATGGTATACATATACCACATTTCATGTATTGATGGGCACCTGGGTGGTTTCCACATCTTTGCAATTGTGCTGCCATAAACATTCGGTGTCTTTTTTATAGAGTGTCTTTTGGGTAGATGCCCAGTAATGGGATTGCTGGATCAAATGGTAGATCTACTTGTATCGATTTAAGGTGTCTCCCTATTGCTTTCCACAGAGATTGAACTGGTTTGCAGTCACAGTGTAGGAGTGTTCCTCTCTCTCCACATCCAACATTTATTATTTGGGGACTTTTTGATAAAGGCTATTCTCACTGGAGATGATATCCCATTGTGGTTTTGATTCGCATTTCCCTGATAATTAGAGATGTTGAGCATTTTTTCATGTTTGTTGGTTATTATTCTGTCTTCTTTTGGAAATTGCCTACTTTTTGATAGGGTGGTTTGATTTTTCCTTGCTAATTTTCCTGAGTTCTGAATAGATTCTAGTTATCAGCCCTTTATCAGATGTGTAGCTTGTGAAAATTTTCTCCCATTCTGTAGGTTGTCTGTGCAGACGCTTTTTAATTTGATCAGGTCCCATTTATTTATTTTTGTTGCTGCTGTGATTGCCTTTGGGGTCTTCTTCACAAATTCTTTGCCTAGGCCAATGTCTAGAAGAGTATGTCCAACATTTTCCTCTAGAATTCTAATAGTTTCACTCCTTCAGTTTAAGTCTGTTACCCGGCGTGAGTTGCTTTTTTGTGAGAGAGGTGGATCGTGTTTCAGTCTTCTACAGTTATACCAGAACCATTTATTGAATAAGGATTCTTTTTCCCAGTGTATGTTTTTGTCTGCTTGGTCAAAGATAGGATGGTTTTATATCTGGGTTCCCTGTTCTGTTGCAGTGGTCAATGTCCCTGTTCTTGTGCTAGTACCAAGCTGTTTTAATGACTATAGCCTTGTAGTATAGTTTGAAGTCTGGTAAATTGAAACCTTCCAATTTTGTTTTTATTGCTTGGGATTGCTATACAGGGTCTTCTCTGGTTCCATACGAAGTGTAAAATTATTTTTTCTATATCTGTAAAAAATGATGATGGTATTTTGATAGGGATTGCATTGACTCTGTAGCTCACTTTAAGTAGTATAGACATTGTAACAATGTTGATTCTGCTGACCCACGAGCATGGTATGGTTTTCCACCTGTTTATAACCTCTGCTATTTCCTTCCTCAGTGTAAGGTTTAGCAACTAATAAGAAATTAAATCTTGAAATTAGAGCCTGATGTCTTCAATATAGTGTATAGTTCATAATTACCTTAAGAACTTTGGCATTACTAAAGAACCAGAGATGTTTATTTGCATATATCAGCTTCTTGTTATAATTTCAAGTACATAAAATCCAGTCATCTTTTAGTTATTTTGCTCCATCCAAATCCTTATTATCTATCTAGTCAGTGTTTCTGCAGTACCTGGTGTTAAGGCCCAGGCACAGATGGGAATGAGTGTGCGTTTGTCAGTTACCTGTGATTTGGATGTTCTCATCTCCCTTTTACTAGAATTGACAGTAGGGTGAATGAAATTGCCCCTGTTAAAAAAAAAAAAAGGATTTCTCTTGATAAGTATGGCTATAATGACTTGATCAGCCTTAGGACTTTGAAACTACTTCACTGATCTAATTATAACAACAAATATAATTATCATTCATACTGTCACTTGATTAATGTACAAGTGTTCCAAAAATTATCTACTTTGTCAGCACAATTTATGAAAAAGGTCTGATGTTAAAGTCACCTTTTTTGATAAGCTTTCTGGCTTAGCAGGTGGTTGTTAGAATTCCGATCTAATGGCATTGAACCCTTTGAGATGAGTGAACATAATTAAAATTCTTAACATATTTCCTATCTACTTTTTTACTCTCTGCTCTGTGTCATGCATTGTGATTTAGGTACTCAGGGTTGACAATGTTGTGTAGCAATGGTTAGTATAGAAGGATCAACAAGCAACTTGGTGTTTTGTAGTTTACATTTCATGTAAAATGTGCATGTTGCTGCTGATTTGGGGTTTGTTTCTTTTAAAACAGTTCTGAAAGAACTATTTCCTTAAAATGTTCTCAGTTCTTATTGGGTTTGATAAGAAAATTCTTTATAATTGATTGCAAGTGTGTTGAATTGAGCTTTTTCTCTTTTTGTATACTTTTCTTTTACTAGTTGAACAAATTTGAACAAAAAACATTTTTCTTTGCAGTGTGCAAATCTCCAGGGAGTCAAGATGCTGTGTTCTAATGCAGAAGGAGCATCCCTGAAACTGTGTAATTTTGAGGATCCTTCTGGTCTTAAAGCCAATTTAGAAGGTAAGAGCCTATCTGCAAATACCTGTTCTATGGTGAAAGTAGACTGTAAAGGAAAGAGCCCAGCAAGGTAATTAATTATTAAGGGCAAAACACAACAGCTGTTTCTCTCGTCATACATGGAGAATTGGCAAAGGTATAACATGCCTCCATTTGGTCTCAGTCATATGATTATAACTGAGGACTCAGAAGAAATAAAGCCTCAAACCTTTAATGAGGTTTTAGTTGCAGAATTAAATGTTCAAATAGCACAAAATAGTTTTGGAATAATTTCAGTTTGTACAAAGCTAGAAAGGTTTGTCAGTTTTAGATTTAATGTATTAATTCATCATTGCTTTGTTTTGTCTGTGAATTGGTCACTTTGTTTACTTGTATATTTAGAAGATAATACTTACCTCTCTTGTCATAAACTTACAGGCCTTAGTATAGAGTGCTATTTAACATGAGGCAGAATTGAGTTTCTCCCTGAAAAGTATTGACAACAACATTCCTAATATAAGTAAACAAATGGCTAACATTGAACTCTTTGTATACATAACTATAAATATTTTTAAGTTAAACTACTCCCAAAATACGTTCACTGCAGGTGCTAATCTGAAAGGTGTGGATATGGAAGGAAGTCAGATGACAGGGATTAACCTGAGAGTTGCTACCTTAAAAAACGCAAAGTTGAAGAACTGTAACCTCAGAGGAGCAACCCTAGCAGGAACGGATTTAGAGGTAAGTTCACCAACATTTAAAGAGTTGTTGTTAATCTAGAATTACTGAATATCCCATGTGAAATGTATCGAAATAATAAAGTAGTTGGCTGGTAAGACTGCCAGGTAACGTGCCAACACAGCTACAGGAATGGTTTCCTTACATTTGCATGTTTACAGAAATTTGAATTTCAGAGCAGGATTCAGTTACCTGAGTCATAGGTGCCAGTTCCAGATTGGAAGACTCATCTGACGTCCCTCATTGATTTCATTTCTCTTGGGTCTTTCTTAAGTAGATAAGTTTGATGCATTAGTAATCCAATGTATTGTGAATTCCAGACAGAATGAAATGGGCCAGGTTATAATTCTTAAAGTACTTGTGAAATTTAAATGATATCCAGGTTTGAAATTAGGTTCAGGAAAAGCATATTTTAAATTGGAATCATATTTTTTTTTGAATCTCAGCTTGAGATTTTAATTTTGCCCAGTCATCTTTTTCATAAGATTGTATTCCATACATCTTGTTGATTTGCAAATTGAGCTAGCAGATGCGGTAGATGTGTATAGGTCTATGTCAGTGCCGTCCAGTAGTAGCACTTTCTGCAGGTGGGACAGGTTCTGTATCGGTGCTGTTCAGTCCATTAGCTACTAGCCACTTGGAGCTATTGAGCACTTGCAATGTGGCTAGTGCAAGTGAGAAATTGAATTTTTAATGCATTTAAATTTAAATAGCCAATTGTTGCCGGCACTAATCATGTTGAACAGTAGCTCTAAGAAAATCCAGCATAGATTGTAGAGAATAGTATGTCAAAATTTAGCTTGCTGTTGCTTTTTAAAAAAAAATTTTTGCCTTGATCTCTCATCAGCAGAGTAGCAGGCCCTTTTAAACTTCAGGGCAAAAAGACCTGGCCTAAGGCTGATAGTATGTTAGGGCTAGGGAATGGAAAAAATCTGTTATACAATCATTAAGTAAAATGTCTTTCAGATTTTTAAAAAGTAGTCTTTCAGCCGGGCATGGTGGCTCACACCTATAATCCTAGCACCCTGGGAGGCAGAGATGGGTGGATCATTTGAGCTCAGGAGTTTGAGACCAGCCAGAGCAAGACTCCCTCTCTACTAAAAATAGAAAGAAATTAGCTGGGCATGGTGGCACATGCCTGTAGTCCCAGCTACTCAGGAGGGCTGAGGCAGTAGGATTGCTCAAGCCCAGGAGTTTGAGGTTGCTGTGAGCTAGGCTGACGCCCAGGCAACAGAGGGAGACTCTTGTCTCCAAAAAAGAAAAAGTAGTTTTCCCTCATCTTGTATCTTTTGTTGTTGTTCTTGGATTGTGGTAAAATTGTTTATATAATATTTATTACATTGGAATCCATTCTGGATTTTGAATGCCTTATTCTTAAAATACACAAACAGAGGGATATGCTTCCTCTTTGTTTATCCAAGGAGGAGACTTCTTGAGGGGACTTCAAAAAGTTAATGGAAAATGGAATTAAAAAATTATTTCTCCATATAAAGTTCTATCAAGGTCAAGAGACTTTTGTAATCAATGATAGTAGCCATTTAGTCCATCCCTAAAGAACTGAGGGCCCTGGAAATTTACCCATGTCAATGCAGCCTTTTTTACTTCTACTGAAGAAAAATGGGTGTCCTTTAAAGATGTTTTAAGATGAGGAAACACAAAGAAGTCAGGAGGAGCCAAATCTGGACTTTAAGATGGATGATGATTTCCCGTCAAAAAATTGCCCGTTTGACAAGAGGAAGGAGTGTTGTCCTGGTGGAGAGGGATTCTCTGGAGGAGGTTTCCCAGAGGTTTTTCTGCTAATGCTTTAGGTAACTTTCTCAAAACACTCTTATAATAAGCAGATGTTATTGTTCTTTGACGTCCAGAAAGTTAACAAGCAGAATGCCTTGAGCATCCCCAAAACCTGTTGCCATCACCTTTGCTCCCCTGACCCTCTGCTTTAACTGGACCACATCCACCTCTTGGTCATAATATTTTCATAATTTTCCATGAATGTTTTGAAGACCCCTTGTATGGTGGTAATCACCCTGAATATCAACTAGAGATAACAAATACAGGTAGAAGAAAATCTGACATTAGGGTATATAGTCAGAAGTTTTCCAGAAATTAACTGAGTTTTACTATAGAGAACAGTTTCCTAAAACAGAAGAAACAGATAAGGCTTTAAATCTCCATATTAGTTACCTGAATATTGTTTTTGTCTTACAGAATTGTGATCTGTCTGGGTGTGATCTTCAAGAAGCCAACCTCAGAGGTTCCAATGTGAAGGGAGCAATATTTGAAGAGATGCTGACACCACTACATATGTCACAAAGTGTCAGATGAGAATTCCAGGGGCTGGAGGAAGAGGTCCAAGATGAAAAATGTTTTCCTTATCACTTTTCTTTCTCCACCCACTCAGTTGTCTAGAAGAAATAACACTGTAAGGGAATTTAAAAAAAAAAATTTAGAGGATTATGCTTGTTCTCAGCGGTGCATAAGGGAAAAAACTGACTTTTTCCCCCCACATTCTGATTTTAACAGAAAAGCACTCATTTAATAGATGTAGGGAAACTAGATTATATTGTTGCCTTTTGAATGGGGTAGGGGGATTTGCCTGGTTTTATGACCAGGAATAGTATCTATTATATTTGCTTTTAAATAGGCATGATGTGGAAATACCATCTTGGTTTGAGATGCATTTGAGGATTTTAATTTATGAAAAGCACAACATATGCAATTATATTTATTGACTATCTAGATGCAGTATGGATATTTAAATTGTTAAACTTTATGAAAACTTTGAAAAGGTTGTTCAGGTTTATGAATAGCTTTAGTGATGGCTCCCCTCTTTACCTGTCACACCATATGAATATGGTGAGATCAGACTTCCTAAGACTCTCTTTTCAGGTTCATTTTTATAATGTTTATTTTTTAGAACAAAACAGTAGCTAAAGAAATGTCCCATTCTTACTGAGACAGAGTGGAAAGAAAGATATCACTGTCATTCTGTAGGTACAGTGGAACGCTCCCAATGGGAGAATAATTTACCTATAGCTACAACTTTTAAGTGAGGATTTCTCAGAATTTATTCAAGTTCCACTCTACATCAGACCAGGCAATTCTATCTAATTTACATACACTACTAGCCTCCTTTTCTCATATACAATCAACAGAAGCATAGGCAGATGCTTCCCAAAAAAACCAAGGTACATCATTAATATTTAATTCAAAAGCCAAATAGCTTAATCTAAATCCACTAAAAGCTATAAAATATGAGTGAATATGGCAGAGTTGCCTTTTGGAAGGCAACATAATTTCAGCTAGACTCCCACAATGAGGAATTTTAACCTGACAATTTGATTATAGCCACCAAAAAAAAATTACTAGATAAAAACAAAGATATTAGGCTGGTCCAATCAGTCAGCACCTGTGGTTCTTTTATTCATATTTTCTGTTTTGAACAAATTTTAATCCAATTTGCTTGAGTCATTATCTCACTGTAGCAGGAGAAATAAGGCTGTGCCTCCCTAGCAGTAACCTGGTGTCCTTATGTCTACCTGAAGAGCAGGGATATGAGCTGTGTCCAGATGGGTTCTGAATGCTACAGACTCATCAACTTGAGGCAATGAATCATTTAAAAACCACGCTGTCTCCTTTGGGAGAAGGACATATCTTCAGTATTTACGTAGCTTATTCTTCTATATCTACATATGCAAAGCTTTCCTTAACGGTAAAGGGTACATATGCATAGCTGGAAGGAGATTGGACCCTTACAAGTGAAGGAAAGCAACTTCAGAAATGAATTATTTTCTTTGCTTTATTATTTTTACCAAGACAGAGAAGTATTGTATTGAGAGATATCTATTTTCATAATCAATGTGCCTAAATTATATTTAAATCATTTCACTCTGTACTATATTTTCAATAATTATAGAATGTGTTATTCATTTACTTAAAGGTACCTCCGTAGACATAACCTAAAACTGCAGAAGGATCTGAAAGATCTAAACACGGTGTGCGTAGAAGCTACAAATTTTAGATCTAATGTATTCTGTATTAATAAACGATATAAAATGTTGAAAAGGCATTTTTTTCTCTTGCTTTTGAAAATCAGCACTTTCTATATTTTCCTTACATTTCTTCAGTATGTGTTGATAGCCAGTCCTGGGGGTCTTGTTAGAAAAGGAAATACAGCATAACACTTGTTATGGATTAGTCTCTTTAAGTACCTTTAAAGTAAATTCATTGTTCTAAACATGGTCATTTTATAATCCTCTTTTTAAAAATCTGCCATGCTAACAACACAAACTTTATCAAATTCTGAACAGAAAAAAAGACTGCTTTCCCAGTAATTCGTTTAAGTTGTTTCTGTTCATTACCTTCAGCTGATGAACATTACCAGTCAGCTTTTTTAGGTTGGATAAGTAATATGCCCCCCAAAACATTTTTCGCTTGACCAAGTGAGAGAGAGAATTTTAAGGAGGGAGTAAAGTTTCAAAATAGTAATACTTCCATTAATCCAACATAAATGAAACATCTATACACATCAGTAAAAATAAAGTTGTTGGGAGGATGACTAGACAAAGGTTTTAAACTTAAAGTAGCTACTTTATGTGCATTGATAAAATTTGGTACTCAAGTAATTACCTAAAGCAATACATGTTATACTCTAATGTAGTCTATCTAGTTCCCTCAACTAGTCTCAAGAAAATTTTAGAAAAATGTAAATTTATTATTCCTATGAGGGTTTCTATCATAAAGCAAGACTTTGAAATTTCCTCCAGTTGTTCATTTTGTGAATCAGTTAATACTGCAAATCCTACCCTAAGTCAACTTTAAATCATCTTTAATACATGAGAAACCCTAGAATTGTATTAAATCTCCAAGGAAGTAGTATCTTTAAAATTAAAAGGCTCATTACTACAAGGAAAAGTGGTTACGTTATTTCAGTGTAAAACACCTTATCCAAGGATTAATTCTCTGAAACCCTTTCAGAACCTGATTAGACATGTCAGCGGGAGTGAACCTTGAGTTCTTCCTGCTGAGATTTTACATTAGGGCAGAAAAAGAGTCGTTCATCTGTCAGCAAGATCACAAAATCATCATTGTTATAATCATTTTGAGGTGTTTTGATGTTGAAAATGAAGCAGTTTTTCCTCTAAAGCCATTTTTTTCACATTTAGGGAAAAAATTATGACAAATATAAAATCCAATTATTTAAACCCCATTTATTAAATTTCACTCCTTGGTAAATTGACTTAACCGCAGAATCATAAAAGGGTTCAAAGTTTGTCACTAAACATCAAAAACTCATTAATTACACAGGTTAGGAAATAACTATTTGGTGCCAGAGAAAGCAAGACAAAACAAATCTGGCCTTTGCCTTTAAGATCTTTGTGACCTAAGACAATGCTAATGCAGAATTGGTGGACACACAACATACTGAATGAATCCACAGACCATGTTGCTATGTTCATCTTAAAAGTTTCAAAAATGTTCATACTGATAGAAATAACCTATAATAAATCCAGTGGTGCCTATGCAGGGAGAACTGATTGACCTGGCATTTGTGGTCACAAGTCTTAATTCCCATTTCATTAGTCCTAATCAAAGACTACATGTTCTGCTTAAGCAACACTTAGAAGCACATCTCTATAAGCAAACAGGAAATCAATTGGCCAGTTTAAACTAATGCTATTCAAACATAATGAGCTCTTGTTCAAAATTAGCCTGTTACACTTCCATATTATGGTGAGATGAGATTCCACTCCTCATGTCAGAATGGCACTTATTAGTCCAAGTGTCTAAATGAAATACAGTCAAAGACTTAGGTTTTACTTTAAAATTCCCCTCTATTTGCAATTATACTTTTTTTTTTTTTTAAGACAGAGTCTCACTTTGTTTCTCAGGCTAGAGTGAGTGCCGTGGCGTCAGCCTAGCTCACAGCAACCTCAATCTCCTGGGCTCAAGCGATCCTTCTGCCTCAGCCTCAAGAGTAGCTGGGACTACAGGCATGAGCCACCATGCCTGGCTCATTTTTTCTATATATATTAGTTGGCCAATTAATTTCTTTCTATTTATAGTAGAAACGGGGATCTCACTCTTGCTCAGGCTGGTTTCGAACTCCTGACCTTGAGCGATCCGCCCGCCTCGGCCTACCAGAGTGCTAGGATTACAGGCGTGAGCCACCACGCTTGGTCTGCAATTATACTTTAAAGTTTACCTCCTTCTCTACCCTATCATGAGGATGGAACAACCTCCGCAGACATGGCAGAGCAAAGCCAGGGAGTTAATTTGGGTGAGACACCCAAATTAAGAGCACTCTTTGCTCTTCAATCCTTGCAAAAGAATTACTCCAGAGGGTACCGGGCAATGACTGAGCAGTTTAGCATCCTACCTGCGGGGAAATTGCCAATGCCAGCTCTAAAATGAATAATTATCCAATTATTTTTCAACCATCTTAAAGCTTAACTGATGCAGCAGACCTTATAGCCAACTGTACATGAAGCTTTAATTCTACATCAGATAAAACCTATCTTTGATGCAGAAAGAGAAAGCATTAGCCTTAATTTGGTTAAAAGGTTCCTGTTTTTTATCCATTCATTCACTCATTCAAACTTAAACTTAGTGAATGCTGACTAAATGCCAGGGGTTTATTAACAGATGTTTAAATAAGATGGTAAGGAAGGCTGAGGCAAGAGGATCCCTTTAGCCCAAGAGTTCAAGACCAGCCTGGGCAACACAGCGAGACCTTTGTCTCTAAAAAAAAGAAAAGAAAAAAGAAAAAAAACTAGCAACTAGCTGGGCATGGCGGTATATGCATGTAGTCCCAACTATTCAGGAGGCTGAGGAAGGAGGATCTCTTGAGCCCAGGAGTTTGAGGCTGCAGTGAGCTATGATCACAACACTGCACTCTAGCCTGGCAGATAGAGTAAGACCCATCTCTAAAAAAAAGTAAAAATGATGAGATCTTTGACTATCATGGGTTACAGCCTACGAGTAAATTAGGGGAAGACAATCATGTATTTAAATAAATGTAATAAAGAATAATGGTTCTCTTTTTTTTTACATGCTTATACTGTGTAAATAATATGTCCAAGGTCACACCTCTGGAGTAGAACATCTGTAAAACTTCGATATCTTTGTCCAGTGGTTATGAGTGGTCTCATTCACATGCCATGCAACTACATTTTCTCATCTTTGTGTTCCCACTGCCCTTAACACACAGCGATTTGCATATTTAACTCAATAAGCATCTACTGAAATTAGTTCAACTGCTGACCTAAGTCAGCTCAGTATGGTCTTTCTAACTACAATTTTTCTTCTTGCCTTTTTGATGCTTTAAAAGGCTTTCAAGATAAATCAAGGAGGGAACCTGCTGGGTAGGAGACTGGGGAATTCTCAGACTCAACACTATCAACTTTAGGATCATATATGGACTTGGTATAGTGCCAATAATCACAGTATTATTATTTATAAGTCAGATTTTTTTCTTCCTTGAGACAGGGTCTTGCTCTGTTACTTGGGCTAGAGTGCAGGGGCATCATCACATCTCACTGCAACCTCAAACTCCTGAGCTCAAGCAATCTGCCCTACCCCTACGCCCCTGCCTCAGCCTCTTGAGTAGCTGGGACTACAGGTGTGTGCCTTCATGCCCAGCTCATTTTTTGCAGAGACGGGGTCTCACTGTGTTGCCCAGGCTGATCTTGAACTCCTGGCCTCAAGCAATCCTCCCACCTCATCGTCCCAGAGGGCTAGGATTATAGCTGTGAGCTACTGTGCCTGACCATAAATCAGATTTTTAAAATTGGAAGCAACTCTACAATCATCTAGTCTAAACCTTTTTACAATGAAGACTCTATGAGCTGAGCCCAGCTCCCAGGCATCCTAACTCAAGTTCCTGTATTTACTGCGTAGCCTCCTTTGGTGAAAGTTTTTATGTGTGCATTTAACTTCCCCTTAATCTAAGACATCTATTTTCCCCGAACTCTGGCTAAGTCTGCCAGTTTTCTCAAGGGAGTCCAACCTAGTTAGATTTTAATCTGTTCGAATTGTGGCCTCGGCTATAAAAGTTTCAGCTGAAGTTTTAATGGCCAGACTTAAGTACATTTAACAGATACACCAGGGGGTGTTCCAATTATATACACCATTAAGAGGTTTTATGTGAGGATTAAAAAAAATACTATTAAAAAGAAAGCATAGTCCAATGTGTAGTGTAATTTACCAGCGGGAGAGATTTCAATGTCCTGGAAAAGTTTCATATAAAAAGGAAGCTGGGAAAATAGAAAAGTCACAGTCTCGACACACTTCAAGGGGAAGCTTGGGATCCTTGTGCCTCTTTGCTTCTAAACAGGTAACATGCTTTCTGTTTCTAGCACTACTTTTTGCTTTTTAGATTGCATGCTGTTATATATGACTGCAGGGCACTTTACGCCCCAAAGGCTGAGTCCAGGTGTGACAGTGTCTAGAGAAGCTTTGACCTTCACTGTCCTCCTCCCCACCAGCCACATCTCAGCCTTTGGGGAACCGCACGGGTCATCAACCAGTATTGCTTTTGTCTGTAGCCTCGTCCTCATCAAAGGAAAATTAATTTGGAGACACATTTCATTAGGTAGGTAGAGGCCCCCTTGGATAGGGAGGCATCTGGTCTGGGACTTACTGCTTTGAACAGCGTTGAGTCCTCCCTCCTTCCCCACAGCTGGTCCAGCCAGCAGCAGTAATGCCTGAAAGACTAGAGGACAGACAGTAAAATGTCATTAGTGCCACAGGGTAGCTATTTAACGCCAAGCAACTTGATATCAGCCCGAGAGTCTTAGTGCGAGCAGATGTCCTCGTTCTCTTTATCTCAGGGATGACAGAGGTGAAGACTAATCGACAATGGGGGAAATGTTAAGGCAAAAAGGTGACTTTTCTAAGGGATGAAACATGGGGTTTGAATAACTAAATAAATCATAAAAATAAAAATAGACTACTTTAGTACTAAAAGAGTTCTGAACATGTGAGTTTAAAGTGCTGATTTTTGTCCCCAGTGGCTAGGAAACTCGAGGCAGGCAGGCAGGTGTCTGCATTTCAGTGTCTGTGTGTGAGATTTAGATGACTCCAATTTCCATCTCCTGTGAGGCTGATGAAGCACACACTAGCCTTCTCACGAAAGAGGTCTTTAGTTTTTGCTTAACCTAGCCTGGGTCTATTTTGATTGTACATTCTTGTTCCTTAGAATGGAGCCAATTCCAAAACTTGTAGTTGGACTTATCCTGCTGGCTTTCTGCGTGGAAGGCTGCTCCAGCCAACACTGGTCCTACGGGCTGCGCCCAGGAGGAAAGAGGAATGCTGAAAATGTGATCGAGTCTTTCCACGAGGTGAGTTTCTCTTAGCTCCAAAATAAGACGTAGCTCTATTTGATTCAATTTAACTATATTAAACACTCAGCACGAGCCGCAGTGGCATTATACTCTGCCTAGATACTCCAGGGAGATACGACACTTACCACGTAGAAGTCCCATTCCAACTCTCAATGCAGATAGGGACTAAAGAGCAGGACAAATCCCAACAAAATACAGCAACAAGCACAACACAGTACGTTGTACGCTGAGAGTACGGAATTGCCAAAGGAATTAGAAACGATGGGATGGAGTCAAGGTCTCTCTATTAGAAGATAATTCTTTGGGATTTGGAAAGAAAACCCTAGACCTTATGCTTATGTCTTTTCCTTATTTTATCTTTTAAAAATATCTATGGTAACAGATAAGTAGTGCATTTTTATAATTTATAAATAGGTATCTTTATCAAGAATGCATGCCCTAGAATTTCCTTTCTCTGACAAAGGCATTTAAGCAAAGACGTTGGAGAATACGGGAGTTAGCAAACTCAGGACAACAAAATAGTATAGTGGAAAATGTGGTGGATTTAATTTCATAGACATGAGCTTAAGGATTTCATGAGAGAGGCCGTCTAATGTTAGCTGATTAATAAAAAAAAAATAACAACAACATAGAGCTGAGAATGGGAACCTAGCTGGAGAAACTTAAAACCATTTCATTTTCATTGGAAAGAAATCTCTCTTCTGGGAGAAACAATAAAGATAATTTAGTAGTAAATAAGGAAGCCCGACAATCGGAAGTCTCCTCTGCACAGAGTGTACGTCAAGCAAATCTCATTTACTATGACATTATTTAGTAAAATATAGAAAATAAACTAGTTCAACCTCTGTGGAAAGCAATATGGAGATACCTTAAAGCGATACAAGTGAATCTACCATTTGATCCAGCAATCCCATTGCTGGGCATCTACCCAAATGATCCAATGACACTCTACAAAAAAGACACCTGCACTCGAATGTTTATAGCACTCGAATGTTTATAGCAGCACAATTCATAATTGCAAGGCTGTGGAAACAGCCCAAGTGCCCATCAATCCAAGAATGGATTAATAAAATGTGGTATATGTATACCATAGAGTAGTATTCAGCTCTAAGAAACAATGGTGATATAGCACATCCTATATTTTCCTGATTAGAGCTGGAACCCATACTACTAAGTGAAGTATCCCAAGAATGGAAAAACAAGCACCAGATATATTCTCCAGCAAACTGGTATTAACTGAGTAGCACCTAAGTGGACACATAGGTGCTACAGTAATAGGGTATTGGGCAGGTGGGAGGGGGGAGGGTATATGCATACATAATGAGTGAGATGTGCACCATCTGGGGGATGGTCATGCTGGAGACTCAGACTTTTGGGGGGAGGGGGGGAAATGGGCATTTATTGAAACCTTAAAATCTGTACCCCCATAATATGCCGAAATAAAAAAAAAAAGAAAAGAAAAACGAACGCTATTCACAACTATAAACTCAATTGTGTGCACCGTCCCCTCCTGAGGCACAAAGTAGTACTTCACTGCCATCATCTCTGAGAAAACATTGTCACCTCTTACTGTCTTCCAATGTCCCAAGAGCCTCAGGCCTTCTGCAGAAATGCCTGCTGGTAGATCTGTGTCCTTCCAGATCCCATCCCGGTCCTGCAGCTTTCCCGGCCCCTCGCTCGGTCCCGTCACCTCCTTCATCTCACTCTCCACAGACACATTTTGGTGGAAGTAAAAAAAAAAATACCATTTCATTTCTTTATCTCCATCTCTAAGAATCACATTCTCTTTCTTCAGATAGCCAAAGAAGTGGACCCACTAGCAGAACCCCAGCACTTTGAATGCACCATCCACCATCCACGCTCGCCCCTCCGGGACCTGAAAGGAGCCCTGGTGAGTTAAGGTGATCATAACATAGAGCAGGGGTCCTCCAACTTTTTAAACAGGGGGCCGGTTCACTGTCCCTCAGACCACTGGAGGGCCGTTGGAGAGTGCGGCGCACATTCCACACGTGCGCACTGTGGGCCCGGGACGAGTCGGCGGCTAAGCAGGACAGGCAGCGAGGGCAGAAACACCGGGCGGGCTGGACAAATGTTCTCAGTGGGCCAAATGTGGCCTGCGGGCCGTAGTTTGAGTACGCCTGACAGAGAGCTTTCGAGGTGGAAAGGCCCCTGAGTTTCCACTGTGTTTCCCCCAAAATAAGCCCTAGCAGGGTTTCTAAGCATTTGTGCAATAGAAGCCCTGCCCCGAAAATAAGACCTAGTGATGGGCGTGGCTACGAGGCGCATCTGCACAACCCATGCATTTTGTTGCAGAGCAGTAAAGAACATGAGCAGCCCTTCTCATCTGCACCACGAGAGCTCTATGGCTCGACATGAGAGACCGGGGCCAATGGTTCTAAAGGAAATAGAGTCACAAGACATTCAGGATGGAATTTGGGGTTTGGAGAGTGATGATGATGTTCCAGAAGACGACGACTTAACTATATTTGAGTAAATGTAGATCGTTGTACCATACTTAAAAAAAAAATAACACATCCCCTGAAAATAAGCCCTAGAGTGTCTTCTTGAGGAAAAATACATATAAGACCCTGTCTTATTTTCGGGGAAACACGGTAGGACAGCCACCTCCCTGCCACTGTGGGGCTTACCTTCCTGACTTCGGGGAATACCTCCTCTTCTGTAGACAGATCCAAACCCTTCCACCTGGTTCTGCAACTGCACTTGGTATGACGTGGTTTTCCAGAACCCTGGGGAATGCAGAAATCAGAAACAGTGCTCTAGGTTGGTTTTCCTCCCACCTCCTTTGGAATAAAAAAATTCCAAAGCAATAAATTTATAATTCAAAGCCATTTCCAGTTTTCTCATGGGACTATAGCCACATCCAAATTCCCACCAAAAATGGAAATCTACTAATCTAATAAAAGTTCTTGATGAAAGTGTAAAGAGAATTAAATATACAAATTGAATTCTGAATTCAATGTTAGAGTTCTCTGAGTTCCATGGTCTACTTTTTTGCAGTAGTCAGAAGGAATTATTGTTAATTACCAGTTACACCCAGGAGCAGGGAAAGCTTAAATAAATCACATATGAAGATACGTTATTTTAATTTTCTCCTGTGACTTCAACTTCCATACTCATAGGACAAAGAAAGAAGTGGGCAGACATCTTTATTTCCTTTCTTTTTCTAATCTTGCTTACTACATGATAAAAATAACAGCAAGCAGTGAAATTTCCCAAACATGACATTATGAAGGAATTAAAGCAAAGGCTGGCTTACTAGAAAATTGATTAAAGCTGGGAATGGTGGCTTTGTACCTGTGATCCCAGCTACTCGGGAGGCTGAGGTGAGAGAATCGCTTGAGCCAAGGAGTTTGAAACCAGTCTGGGTGACATAGCAAGTCCTCCGTCTCTAAAAACCATTTAAAAATTAGCTGGGCATGGTGGTGCATGCCTGTGGTCCCAGCTACCCCGGAGGCTGAGTTGGGAGGATCACCCACCCCTGCACTCCAGCCTGGGTGACAGAGTGAGACCCCCCCACCCCCAATCTCTTAAAAAAAAAAAATTAGCAAACTGACTGATCAGATCTTTTCTCCATCTCCTTCCTCACATCCTAACCTTTAACTATTAATGAATATTCTGTGTTTCTTAAACAGGTTAAAAAGACAATCTATCATATCTCTCTAGCACACAAAAGCCAATGGACCTTTTCTTTCTCGTTCAATCTTTTAGAAATTAAAATGTCAAAAATGTAATGCAATTGTTACTAAAGCCAACCTTGATATATTTGTTACTCAACTATTTTTCAGGAAAGTCTGATTGAAGAGGAAAGTGGGCAGAAGAAGAGTTAATTCCATTGGGCCAGAAGGATTGACAATACTTAAGCATGATTCTGACACTGAAATTGGTGGCCCATTGAGTGTCTGTCACTTGTGTGAATTTCAGAAACTCTGAGGCTGAGCTGCACGTATTTCATAATAAAGTGCTGTGCTGTGAATGGAGTGGTATAAATGTGAAGTCTTTCTCTAACTCAGGACTCGGGGTGGGGGGGAGGGTACGCCGTGAGCCCACCCAAGGGAGCCACCACGTGTGGGTCCAGGTGACAGAAGGGAGAGGGGACAAGTGTCTACTGTGGACTGATGGGCTCCAGCTGTCCAGCACCCCGCCCTGCACCCACGATGAGGACAGCCACATACTGGTGCGGCCCGAAACAACCGAGTCAGCTACCGTTTGTTTCTATGGGATTGTAACTTCACCTTTGACACTCTCTGCAGGAGAAAGGGTCGGGCTGTGGCCAAGGTTTCCTCCCTCCATCGCCCCCAATCCCTTTAACCCGAGCAAGGCTCGGGGAGAGGAAGCCTCGAAGAACTCCTAGTCCAGTGCTCCTCTGGTTCCATGTGGTCGGTCTAAGCGGTGCACACTGAGGTTTGAGACCAAGGCCTGAAAATGACAGAGTGTTTACCTGTTTGATCTTTTTTGGTATTTCATTTGAGAAAAGCCATGGAGTGCAGATAGTCTGCTGGAGACAGGATTCTGTAGTCCCCGCGTCCTCTGGTCAAACAGCATGGCCACCACTCCTCCTCCACGAAGACCAGCATCAGCCTTTGTGCTAGACACACACACACGTATTGTCACTAACCAGCATAGCAACCTTGGAATTGTTTTCACTGTGAAACGAAGAACTTGGGCTCAGAGAGGGTAACAGACCCACTCAGTCCTCTCTGGTTCCGTGTTCACCGCGCCGGTGCCCCTCTGTGATGAGCAATCAGTGGAATCAAACTTTGGAAGCTGGGTTGTTTTGTTAATTGGGGCTGAAACAGGACCCTGGGGCTCCTAAGTCAACTTAGTTTTACTGGTGACCATTTCTCCGTGAGCTCCCAGACACTATGGCACTGACACTGTCGTTTACCCTGGTGACTTCCAAGTGGCGACGAGATCATTCGAAAACCTCAAATTTCAAATAACGTGTGTCCAACGTCTCAGCAACCAATCGACATGGCAAAGATCTAGGCCCTTTTTTCTCTTTTAATCAGACAAATGAAACCTTTCCTCTCCACCATCCCCTCTATCTCAGAAAAAGGAGAGAGATCTGTGCTAAGAAATTTGAAAACAGGGGGCAGAAACATTCCATGGGGGCGAAAAACTGGCCCTTTTTTATATAAATATTTGCTAGTGCACAACGCTAGCTTTCCCAAATACCTGCATTTGAAGAATCTCTAAATATGAATCAAAGAACTTCACTTCTTCAGTAAAATTAGGCAGTGATGTGATCCACAACTGGCTCTAGGAAACAAAAGCAAAACTGCATCATATCATTAATCCATACAAACGAGCAGGCTGAGAGGTGTCCACTTGCCAATCACCTACCAACTACTTTTTTTTTTTTTTAAAGAAAACAACATAATTTATAGTCTTTACATCAGTTTACAACACACCCACCTAATTTATACATCCTGCTTGGAGCATCAGGTTCCTTTGCCAAAGTTTGTCTTTGAGACGATTTCTTTGTAGCCAGCCATGGGCTTTCCTGAGTGGGGTAAAAGATGCTCGTGCAGTTGCATGCTGCAGATGCAGGAGGCCTTCGGTGACGTCTGGTAGCTTGCACGTTACGTGAGCTACCACGTGCCCAAATGTCCAAGAGGAAGAAGTGAAAATGGCCCCTTTATTAAAATGAAAAACGTTTTCCTGCATCTGAAGAGCAGTCTAACTCATCAATATAGCTTCTAAAAAATAAAAAAAAATTAAAAAATCTTCAGTCTCTCAAAATAAAGGGTGGGGAAATACATCAAATGATATATTTAATGAAGTGATATATTTAATGAAATGGGTTCTTGAATTTATATGGCTTTAAAAGATCAAGCAGCAAAAAAAAAAAGGCTTAAAAATTGATCATTTTGGCAAGTTTTAGAAGTTGCAGTATCTCAGAGATGACTGGAAAAAAGCCAGGAATCACTGCATGAAATAACAGCACTTAGATCTTGACAGTGGAAGATGTTCTAAAGTAGTATTCTCCATGGGGACCCTGGATCCCAAACATTCCCCAACACTATGGATTCAGTCTTTGAGACCCAAACACTGGGGTGTTTTTAACAAGCATCCTGGTGATTTTCATGCACACAGAGTGGAGCATTATTGCTTCTAAAAAAGCAATCGATTGCAGATGTTTTAAAACATTGAAACAGACTCTTTTGGGAGGTAGGGTCCCCACAGAGAAATAGTACTTTAGTGTGTCTTTCTTGAGTAGAAAAAAAAACACAGTATCTTAAGCCTAAGCCCAGGACTAATCAGTGGAGTTATTAATACTTTAATTGAAGAGCAGCTGCCCTCCTGCTCCAACTTGATCCCACATACTACCAGCAGGGATTTTATGAAACACATCATTTTTTTTTTTTTTTTTTTTTGAGACAGAGTCTCACTTTGTTGCCCAGGCTAGAGTGCCGTGGCATCAGCCTAGCTCACAGCAACCTCAAACTCCTGGGCACGAGTGATCCTCCTGCCTCAGCCTCCCGAGTAGCTGGGACTACAGGCATGTGCCACCATGCCTGGCTAATTTTTTCTATATATTTTTAGTTGGCCAATTAATTTCTTTCTGTTTTTAGTAGAGACGGGGTGTTGCTCTCACTCAGGCTGGTTTCGAACTCCTAACCTTCAGCGATCCACCCGCCTAGGCCTACCAGAGTGCTAGGATTTACAGGCATGAGCCACCGTGCCTGGCCTATGAAACACATCCTAAACACCAATTTTCTGAAATTGTATTTCCTCTAAGGTAGTGGTCTCTTGACCTTGGCCCAACATTGGGATAACATGGGGGAGAGATCGAAAAGAAATACCGGTTCCTGGGTCCCACTCTCCATCCTCAGCAATTCTGATACCATTGGTCTGGGGTGTGATACTAGCATTCAACCTAGTTTGAGCGTAAGTTCCTGTCCTTTCCATGTAAGCCTAACCTCTTTATCTCTCCTGACCTCTGCCTAATTATCCGTGGGGAATGAGTAAAGAAATGGAGCCCGGGTATATTAAATGAGTTGCTATCAGAAACTGCCAGCTCAGATGCCAAAGGGTTGGATGGAATAGGGTGGAAAGAACCAAATGGTTTGCAAAGTTTTTATTACTTCTGGGCAGAGAAGACTCCAGGTATAAACTAGCAGCTCCTGCAAGAGAACAAGGAGAGACACTGGGCGTGGCGTATCCCGAAGGAAGAATAGTTAACCAGATATGGGACTGATTGGGTCTCGTTAGTATGAGAGTGATAACAAACTAAACGCACGATCAACTTTAAAATACACTTCCATTTTTTAATTTAAAAAATAAATAACAGCAAATCTGAAACAAAACTCTTCTACTTCAATGCACGTCATCCTAACTGCCCATGTTTGAAACCCAAACTAGTTCCAAAATCATAGTGAGGGAATTCTTGACAGAGTTTAGATAAACAACTCATACAAAAGATGACTCGGAGATGAGTTTGGACAGCATCTACGGGAGACCAGCGTTGGTTTAGATCCTAAGAATCAGACTGAAATCATTCACTTGGAAGGAAAAACCAGCTTTTTCCTTTTGTAAATTATTACAGAATTGATGGTTCAACTTTCAACCCACCCAAAAGAGACACTTACCTTTTCTAATTTAATTAAAAAAAATAAGACATATAGCTGAATGGAAGTTTCCAAGGAAGTGATATTTATCAACTTCCCAAATGATATAGGGAGAAAAAAAGGCATAATTATTAAAATGAACTGAAAGTCTAGTTAGAGTGCATACAGGCATATATAGCTGGTGAAGTCTGAAGACTATGATGGAAATGACATTGTTTATAAATTGTTGCAAAGAATTTTGGTAATTTGTGTCAATAATTCCATGTGTACTGGATTACTGGCATACTCATAATTTTAATGTCCACAGATCTTTTTGTCTTAAGAGCCAGGGATCAAAGCACCAACTTGGGATGAAAAATGGGAAAAGCATACAGTACATGAACCTAAAAGCTTTTGTGCAAAAACTTAGTTTCCGTCTGATTCTCCCTCTTTTTGTTCATTTAGAATGACAGCAGCTAGGGCTGAAAGCATTCTAAAACTCATATAGTCTCTATTTTTTTTAAAAACAGATGAGGAAATTGAGACCCAGGAACTGACCACAAATTAACTTGCTAGAAGGTACCCACTCTTTTTTAGTCTTGTTGTGTGGTGATGGTGGGTTGCTCTCCCCCTTCGTTATACCTGAGACATGAGAGGAAGGCACAAATCTGAAGGGCCTTCTAAATGCCTTTCCACAAAATGGCGCCATGGGCACATGGGAACTGGGGTGCTGGAAATAGCCAACGTCTGTCCCTGAAAGGTGGGGACACCTGTGTAAAACTGTGGGAACCCTCACCCATCTGCACACCTAAGGTGTGTGAACTTAACTGCATGGAAGCTCCTTCTCAGTTTTAAAATAAGAAATTGGCCCCACACCTAGGGGCAACTGGAGGGAAAGGACTTTCCCAGCTGGTAAAGAGTTAGATCCAGCTTTACATCTTGTATTACCTAAGGCATTGTCGTGTGGCTGCAGTTTTTAATGGCTTTTCCTGGAAGGAGAGAATGACTACATTTTTGTCAAGGTCAAGGGGTTAAGATGGTAGAGGAGGAGGAAGCAACCCATGGCCCCACAGCCTTATTTAGGGTTTCACTGTTATGTGTTACTACTCACTTTCCAGTCCTACAGCACACCAATGGGATCTGTCTTTAGACCAGGGCTGTTTCCACTAACCATGTTTAACTGCCCCATCCCCAGGGACTAGTACCGTGCCTGGCATTCCATAAGAACTTAATATATGTTGAATGAAACCATTCTTTCTTAAGAACAATCTCAAAGCCAGACAAGTCATCAGGAGAGACAGAGAGAGAAAGAGACAAAAAAGGGATTAAAAATTACCACCAGAAACCTGCAAACCATAAACCAATATTCGCAAAGGTTGTGACAATTTGGGGGGCTAATCTGAATGTCTTCCGATACTCCAGAGTTCTATAAGCAAGAAACACAAAGACCAGATCTTTTCCTTTTTCCTCCCTGCTCCTTATCTCTTCTATATTTAGTGTAATCGTGAGACATCTCTTTGCAGTTTTCCTCTGACTTCAGCACAGGCATTGTTTATGACTTTTTGTCAAACGTGACTCCTTCCTACCCAATAGATTCCCAAGAAAACGAACCTTCCAACGTCCTCTGTGATCTATTACCCACGACACTACCTGGAATCCTTTGTGTTCAGGCAGGAGACAGCTATTATTTCCATGCATGTAGAAGGGGAATCATACGGAAAAATGTATTCTATCAAAAAAGGGAAGGCATCTGGGCACTGATGATCCTCTCTCCCCGGTCTCTGCTCAAAGACCAGACTGTGGGACTCACTTCTACTGCACTGGAAGGATTAGCTTGAGGTTTGGGTTTGTTTTTTTTTTTTTTTTTTTTTTTTTTGGTGACCGAGTTTATGTTTCTATTTTAATGGCAGCCCAAAAAGCAGGGTGAAGCATACAAATCTCCCCTCAGCAGTCTGCGAAGTGACTTCTCGGAAGTTGTTCCAGGCTCCACATAGCTCTATGCAACCTTTCTGTGGCCTCCTCCTTTCTCCATGGAGCTTAAGTTCTTTCCACTTAAAATCCTCTTCAGCTCTTAACACTTTGTCTTTGCTCATACATAATTTTGCAAAAGGCTCCAAAAGATGCTGCATTTTTGACAAGGGCTACACGTGCAGAACTAACCTGCACTCGCATTCCAAATTACCTTAAAAAAAAAAAAAGGGACTATCAATAATGCAATAATTCTCTAGAGAGTTCCAGCTCTTACTTCAGGCCCAGCAGAGAAAAAAAGAGGATTGTTGCAAAAAGCACCTCCTCTCTCACGTACTCCAGCTCATTTGAACCTCGAGACAACTTGTGTGCAAGGTCTTATCCCCGTTTGGAGGTGAGAAAAAGGAAACCGGGAGAATTTCAAATAATTCGTGGGCGTTTGCAAACAACATAGACGATACAGCTGGGATTTGAAACCATATGGCTTTAATCCCCAAACCCAAGTTTTTTCCAATGATCCCACCCTGCAGTTCTCCCGGATGGGGGCAAGGGATAATATTCTCCACGCCACTCCTAGAACAGGCACACTAATGCCTGGAGTCACGCACTGGACCTATCTCAGAGGTTTTTGCTCCCTTGCCCCTTGTGATGACCCGATGACCTCTCTCCTGAAGACACGGCAGGGTGATGAGTCACGCAGGCAGACGCCAAGTCACACAGCTGCAATCTGTCTCTCTGGTCTCTTGACCTCCCCGGGGAGAGGACTCTGGGCCAGGTCGGGGAAGAGACCCCCGGTGAGCTTCCCCCATGCTGACCCTCAGATTCGAGGTCAAAAAGATTTCTGCTTTGCCACAAATACCTAAGTAGTTGAGAAACACCCGGGACATTTCAAATATTGTTCCAACTGGGGACAGGTATAAAGAGTTCATCAGAGTTCTCTTCCAGATCTAAGTGTTAACCTGGGCATAACTTAATTGAGCAAGCTGGGTTATTAGTAAGAATCTGTAGCACGATTTTCTGTGTGGATCCTCAATTTCCTAATCTACTGAAAATAAAGAGTTTTTTTGTCTAACCTCTGAGGCCCTGCCATCTCAAAACGTCTACAGCTTTGTGTGGCTATTTTTTTTTTTTTTTTTTGAGATGGAGTCTCACTTTGTTGCTCAGGCTAGAGTGAGTGCTGTGGCATCAGCCTAGCTCACAGCAACCTCAAACTCCTGGGCTCAAGAGATCCTCACGACTCAGCCTCCCGAGTAGCTGGGACTACAGGCATGCGCCACCATGCCCAGCTAATTTTTTCTCTATATATTAGTTGGCCAATTAATTTCTTTCTATTTATAGTAGAGATGGGGTCTCGCTCTTGCTCAGGCTGGTTTTGAACTCCTGACCTCGAGAAATCCACCCGCCTTGGTCTCCCAGAGTGCTAGGATTACAGGCGTGAGCCACCACGCCCGGCCTGTGTGGCTACTTATATGTGTGTGTGTAATATTTGGTCATCGAAATCATCCCGTTTCTTCCTTCTGAAAGGAGCACTTATAATTAGTACCATTAGCAAGTAATCAAATTAATTCCACAATCAAGAGAAATAAATAGTCAAAGGGAAATATTGCACTGTATTCAAAGTCAGGCAGCAGAGAGGGGCCACTGAGTCATCCAAATGGGGTGTAGAAAAGAAGCTGTTGAACCAGGCTCCTAAGTCCCTCGTAGCCAGTGATTTGAGCTCAGAGGACAAAAACTGCATGTGCAAAAGACAGAGCTGCGAAGGAGTCTGCAGTCAGAAGGCGCAGTGAGGACCATTAGTCAGGAGTGTGACGGGGTTTGGGTGGGGACAGGCAGAGGGCAGCTTTCCTGTGCCACGAGAGGATGGGGTGACGGGTCGCAAGAGCTGAGGGCTCACATTATTTTTCAATAATGGTATCCACTCATGCCGGAGAGCAGCCTTCATGAAAAAAAGTGTGTTCTTTTGCTCAAAGGAGACATGGTAGACATTAGCAAGGTACTATTATCTGGGCTACCAACGTGAACTTGACATCCATCTCTTCCAGGACGCTCTGTGGGAGGGCACAGGTGTGTCCACAAGAGAAAAGTAGCTAAGTCTCAGCACAGCTTTTCAGAAGCAAAGCGAGAAATCCCTCCAAGGTGTAGGTTCACCGGGGTGCTCTGCAAACACCGCAGAAGAACTGTCCAGACGCCGGAGTCTCTGTGGTAGGGGCTGAAATTTACCCATGGTGAAGGAGATCTCTCCTTTGACAAATGCACAGGATTTCTGGCCACCTCTGGAACTCCCTGTGGACTGGAGGGGACGTGGCATGGCCTCGAACAGTGACCAGAGAGAAGCTTCCAGAAGAACAAAACCATCCCAGCTCAGGCAACGCAGTCAGCGGGGAGCCCCGTGTGACGACCACCCCGGCTCCCGGAGGCCAGTCCTCAGGCAGCAGGTGTCCAAGGCACTCGGAGGTTCACGGAGAGGGCAAGATCCTCACTGGGATCCAGGCTCAGAAGAAAGGATGCTAGACTTCCGAGCTTTCGGAGGTGGGGGAGGCGGGACTTTGGCTTCTCTTCGGAGGGGCAGCGGAGGAGCAACCTGCAGGAGCAGACCCAGGAAATCAGGAGTGAGTCTTCCCTTCCCTCCCAAGCCTTTCTCCTTCCCACTTTCCGCTCTAGCTCCTAATTGACCTGAATTTATCTGCACAGCCCTTGCAAAGAGAAAAGAGAAGCAAGATTGACTCGCCCTCCCTTGTTCTCTTGGAGCTAATCAGACACACACACACACACACAGCCACTGCTGCACCCCACACTCGGGCTCCTGACAGACACAGAGGAGGCACGCAACAGAGGTTTGTTGAATGAATGAAGGAACACCCATCTGAGGCCATTGCAGAAGGACTGTCCCTCACTCAGAAGGAGTAAACTTTCCAAACATGAACTGGAACTCACTTCTTAACTTCACGGCCCTATCTCTAGGGTGAGGGAGGGAACGTTTGCTCGACCGTCAATCGTAGGAAAAGGTCTGCTTGCGTATCTTTTCTTCCTTTTGAAAACTTCCCTCTCTCTTGTGACTTCAGGAATGAACCAAGAATCGACTACAGGGACAGTCTATGGGCAAAGCTGCCCACTGGAAAGCTTGGCAAACCCACTGCTGTCCTCCCAGAGTGGTGCTCCCTGGCCACACTCAGCCGTCGACTCCCTACCTCGGTGGAGCTCCTCTGGCCGCTCTCATAGGGCTTGCTTTTGGGGGGCGGCGGGGGCGGGACAGAGGCAGTCACCAGTCCGTCTATCTGCAAAGACGGGGAGCCTAGAAATGACATGAAGTACACAGAGAAGAATATATCAGAGAATCTCATAAAAATTCTGCTTCCCACTGTAAGCAGACCTAAGCATTGACCTAAACCAACCTGGTCAATCAAATTGCTAAAGCCATCTTCTATTTTTTATTATTTGTTTAGAGACAGGGTCTTGCTCTGTTGCCCAGGCTGGAGTATAAGGGTACAATCATAGCTCACTGCAGCCTCGAATTCTGGGGCTCAAGTGATCCTCCTGCCTCAGCCTCCAGAGTAGCTGGAACTACAGTAGAGCACCAACCATGCCTGGCTAATTTTATTTTTTGTATAGACAGGGTCTCGCTATATTGTCCAGGCTGGTCTTGAACTCCTGGCCTCAGGCAATCCCCTAGTCCAGATCTACCTTGTTTAATACCTTCACAACTGGAAAAGGGACATTAAGACCCTTTGGATCACTATACAGAAAAGTTTAAGGAGTCCTTGTGGCCCAAGACCTCCCAGCTAAACTCCAGTCTAACTGTATCATACCTCATACCACCAGCACCTGGATCGAACCAACCTCACAGGGGTCTTACATACTTTGTGGCTGGTTCAATTAAAACTGCTCAGACTCGTAAGCATACTGCGCTCCCTGGTAAAAACAGTACAAGGGATACAGGAGAACTTACTTAGGGTCCTGGTAGCTTTAGGGGTGAGTGGAGGCGGGCTCAAGGGCGTTGACTGAGGCGGCGAAGAACTGTGAAATGGCGTCAGCCGATTGTCCACCAGCTGGAGACTCTTTGGCCTTTGTGCTTTCCTGGCTGCGCTCTAGGACCAGGGAGGAAAACACAGCACAGCGGTCTCACAAGGAGGAAGGCTGAGCTCAACAAGGCTCAGAGCAGCCCCAGTCGGCTGATCAGAAACCTGTAAAACACCTAATTCCAGGAGCCATGTCTACGCTTCCCACATGTCACCTGCTTCCCACACTGCCATCTGGTGGGCACCAGGGCGGAGAGGCTACGTAAGACCACGGGACCACAGGTCATTTCCTGGCTGGCCTTGGACGCGACTTTGACCCTAGCTGGACTGTGTGCCATTTATGTTGGGAATAAGCCACCTCGATTCTCAGGGAAACTTGGTCTTGCCACACTAAGAACTCTGTGTGGCTGATGGAAGAAAAATGTACATTTTTAAAAAAATTAAAAAACAGAAATGAGATGTTTGGACTGACTCATGGAGCACAGTGGCGAGAACCACAACTCCAAGCATGAACCGCATGTTTACGTTTACACGCTGTGGGTCCAAGATCTTGCACCACTATTGATGTAGAGACTCGAAATTCTCCGCGCGTGCTTTTCTCACCACAATCTGCAATCTGACACTACCACAGGCCGCTGTGTGCTGAGCTGAGCCACAGCCAGGCTTCTGTCTAGTGATGCATGGCCCCCAAGGGAATGGGGTGACGGGCCTGGGGACAGGGCGGGTGCTGGCAAGCCTCCAGTGCACTCATGTATTTTTGTCTTTTCTTTTTCTTTTTTTTTTTTACCATCAGATCAGGTTCTGGAGCCTTCTCTGCAATGACCTGGGACTTGCTCACACTCCAGTCTTTTCTCTTGAACTTGTTGATCCGGTTCTCAGCGTCCTCTCTCAGGGGCAGGTCTTCAACTCTGGCACCTGAGGAGGCCCTGCGCTCCAACAGTGGCTCCAGGATTGACCTGCCAGCCGGGAACAGGGACAAAAATCACAAACGTGGATCGTTACAGCCAACATTCATTCTCCACAAGTCAAGGGGGTTTTGACTGCTCTATCAGTAATCTTGATCCATGACTTCGCCTCAGGGTCTAAATCTAAATTTTCAATTCCGACTGAACAAACATCTCAAGGTGTAAGTGTACAGAAATGAGACCAACAAAATGACTAGATGAAAACACCAGTGAATATTGATCTTACCAAGGAAGAGAAGGTCTTAATGAAACGTACAAGCAAAGACAGGATCCACAAGTAAAAAACTCTATCCTACCTACGCTACTTCTAAGAATGCATCCTGACTAAATAATCAGAAAGCTGTATGTGCAAATGTGTTTGCTATGATTTTTAATAATAAAAATATATACATATTGATGCAATTTTTGTATTAAATTTATAATTAACTTTTATGATTGTTACAAATAAAGACACAGCTTAAACCATTCTATAGTAGAAAAAGGATTAATTACGTACATTTGTATGATGCAGTGGTCTATTGCCATCAAAAAGCATAATAAAAACTGATATGAATAAGATTATGCGGCAATATGGAAAATGATTGTAAGACAAGGAGGAAAAGCAAAATACCAAATTCTATCTATACTATAACTGGAGCTATGTAAAGATATTTATGTTAATGGAAAAGGAAGTAGAAATAATTTAAGAAAATTATGTATTTGATTTCCAGGTAGGGAGCCATTTGGATAGGTGCTTTTTATGATATAATTATATAATGTTGAATTAAAAATTTATGTCATGAGTCAAGTGACTTGACATATTTAACACTGTCTTAAATACTTCATGATGTGTAAATACTTATACTGAATAAAGAGGCAGGCCACAAAATGACAGATGCAGTACTTTTCCACTGGTATAAAAAAGTACACATACTTTTTTGTATTATATTAACATAACTAAACTTTACCATGGTTATCTCTAAGTGAAGTTATAAAGCATTTTTCTCTTAATAGTTTCTAGTATTTTAGGAATATATTGCTTAAAAATATTAATAGTAACCTTAGACAGAACACAACTATAAATTAACTCCTTTCAAATATTTTCAATTTAAACATATGGAAAGGCATTTCATATTTTTGGCAAGGAAGCCTCACTATCAAAAAGCCATCAATCTTCCTAAAGTTAGTCCATAAATTTAACATAATCCTAATAAAAACAGCCATAGGATTCTAGACAAATTAATCCAAAAGTGAGCAATGAGCAAAACAGATGAAATTCTGAAAGGAAATACCAGAAAATAAAAATCTTTTAAATATACAGTAATTAAAACTGCATAGTTTTAGTTAATGAATAGACAGGGACATCAAGAAAATAGGAGGAAAAGCCCACAAGCAGACTAAAGAACACAAAGAAATATGAATTTTGATGAGTGCCATTTCAAATTAGAAAAAGATGGTCTGCTCACTAAATGTTATAGGGAAAACTGGGTGGCCATTTGGGAATAAAAAAGTTGCCTCCATCCTTCTCATATTATATTAGAATAAATTCCAAAAAATCACAGATTTAATTATGAATAGTGAAACCCTAAAAGTTAAAGAAAAAAAAAAGGTAGAGTGTGAAAGGCCATTAATTGTGACATAAAGTTCAAAAGTCATAAAATATTGATTTTATTGACTACATAAAAAAAAATCAGAACAACCCAACAGAACATTTAAAGCAAAAACTTATAAGTCAGAAGACAAAAGAGAAATTGGCAGAAAATATTCCAACTCATCTTACAGACAAAGGGCCCCAAATCCACCAGAAAAAAGTATTTGACCACAGTTCACAGGAAATAAAATGCAAACAGCTACTGAACAAATGAAAAGATGCTCAACTTCACACAAAACAAGAAAAGACAAATAAACAAAAAAACCTATACAAGAGAACATTTTCCACCTATCAGTTTGGCAAAAATTAAAAAGACTGATACTATTAATAGAATCTGGTGGCAAGGGCTGGGTAACCAAGTGCTCTTCGTATGTTGCTGGCAGGAATGTAAACTGGTTTAATCTCTATGGAAGTCAGTTTAGAAATAATTTTTGAAATTGCAAGTATGTATCTCTGACAGAGCAATTTTATTTACAGGATTTTTCTCATACTGATAGACTTGTATACGTGCAAAATAACCTACATTTAAGGTTATTAACTGCCACATAGCAGTGACAGTAAAAGATTAAAACCAACTCAATGTCCAGTAGGCACTGGTAGAATATATAATCTGAGCATCCCTAATCCAAACCTCCAAAATCCAAAGTACTCCAAAATCTGAAACTTTTTGAGTCCTCACATGAGGCTGAAAGGAAATGTCCACTGGAGCATTGTGGATTTCAGATTTTTGAATTAGGGATGCTGAATTGGTATAATGCAAATATCCCCAAATCCAAAATACTTCTGGTCCCAAGCATTTCAGATAAGGGATATTCAACTTGTGTCATGGTCCAGACATACGATGAGATGTCTACAGCTACAGAAAGCGTAAAGAGGAGGCTCTTTATGTTCTAAAACAGAATGAGTTTCAATATATTAAATGAAACAAAGCAAGGTAAAGAGAATGCTACCATTTGTATCAAAAAAAAAAGGATAGAGAGGAGCATGTATTTAGGTATTGCCTGTGTACTTACAAAGAACTTGCTTCCTAAGAACCTGAATGTTAGTATCATTTGCTTCTGGGAAGTGACACTGGCCACTGAAAGTCAGACATTGAAGGGAGGCTTTTCATGATATACCCTTTTGTACTTTTGGAATTTCATACCATGTGATTATATTACCCATTCCTGAAATAAATATAAATTTAGCAATTGTTTTTAAAAACCGAAATGATGAAAACATTAAGGCAATGACTGTAAGGTATGTAACATGGTGGCAGGATTTTTTTTTTCATTTTTCACTTTTAGTAAGTATTGTTATCACTACGTGAGGAATGACATTTCCTCAGGAGGGAGATAAGGAGAGTGACCCACAGGCTAATAGCCATGAACTCTGAGTTATTTTTCTCAGGGGGTAACGCACCTACTACATGGGCTGAGCTTCCCTTTGGCGACCAAAGGCGAGCATGAGTAAGGCATGACCCCGCCCCTCCTAAAAATTAAAGCTCAAACCCTTACCCATCAGATCCTGGTCTGGAAGGGGCGTTGTCCGACGAGTTTGAAGAGGTGGAGATCACAGAGGACGTCACGGAGGTGACGGACAGCCTCCGCAGAGTGGAAGACATGATGTAGGGGAGCACGATGGAGCCCGTGCGGCTTGGCTTCCTGTCTGTCAAGTTGGGCGGCTGAAAAACACACAGCCTTTAGTGGTGAGGTGGCTGGAACCCAACCCCTGGGAACTGGCAAGGCCACCTGCTTATCTGGGGGCTGGCACCCCCTTCTGGCAGCAGTGGTTGGTGTCTGTGCTTCCTCAGTTGTTTTTTTCTTGAGACAGAGTCTCACTTTGTTGCCCAGGCTAGAGTGAATGCCGTGGCGTCAGCCTAGCTCACAGCAACCTCAAACTCCTGGGCTCAGGCAATCCTCCTGCCTCAGCCTCCCAAGTAGCTGGGACTACAGGCATGCGCCACCATGCCCGGCCAATTTATTCTATATATATTAGTTGGCTAATTAATTTCTTTCTATTTATAGTAGAGACGGGGTCTCGCTCTTGCTCAGGCTGGTTTCGAACTCCTGACCTCGAGCAATCCGCCCGCCTCAGCCTCCCAGAGTGCTAGGATTACAGGTGTGAGCCACCATGCCCGGCCTTCCTCAGTTGTTAAATACTGTAAATGCTTATATTCTTAGCCAGAGACACAACTTAGGTTAAATCTACCCTGTTTCTAAGACTAGAGAAAAATTCGTCATAATTTTCAGCCAGATACATGACAGAGGAAAAACTAAGATGTGCTTGGCTCACCAGTAAAACAGCAGAACCCTCTGCCTGTTTTCTCCAGCTTAGATTCTTCCAATCTTTCTCTTAAAAACAATGCAATACTGGCCATAGAGAAAATTATTAGATGGAAGCTGTAGACCTAAAGCTCAAACTGGTGAATCTTGGGAGGTCTCAGAATACTGATCTAGGTTCATAAGAAATGCCACAAGCAGTATTACCCGCAGCTATCACTGCATTAAATTTACTAATACCAGCCTCATTCTAACCATGGCTAAGCTCATTAAGTCAAAATCACAGTCTTTGCTTTCTGGGAAAAGCATTTGTCTTTTGTGTGCATTTGTCTTTTGCTTTTGTCTTTTGCTTTCTGGGAAAGCATTTGCCTTTTGTGTGCAAAAGACAAATGTTCCAAAAAGAAAACTCTTAACGAGCAGCAGGTTAGAAGGCAAATTCTTAGGAAGAAGGCAAGCATGAACTCTTAAAAGAGATGTTTAAAAAGATACTCTGGCGGAACTGCAGTGGCGATGGATGTGTGAGAATAAGGGAGAAGAGAACATAAAAAGAAATTCACAGCTTTGATTTGAGGAAGGAATTTGAAAATCAGGGGTTGAAGAGTAAGACAATTAAAGAAAACAGGGTGAACTCAAAAAAAAAAAAAAACGAGCAGATCAGTGAAGCTGGAGGAATGTTAAAGCTGTCAAAAAAAAATCACAAAATCAGCTACATGCATTGAAAAATGCAATTCACAATTCTTTCTCCCCTTCAAAGGTGTTAAGACTATAAACTTTTCATCAACATAGATGATATTTTTAAGATCAGCAAAAACCATAAGAATTTGGCTAGACAGGACAGGAATAACCACGGTCTAGGCTTAGAAAACCTTGACTTCTAGGGTAGTGGTTCTCAAAGTGTTGCCCCAGGCCAGCAGCATCAATGTCACCTAGGAACGTGTTAGAACTGCAACTACGTGGGCCCCATGCCCCATCTATAGAATCAGAAACCCTGCGGAAAAGGCCCAGTGACCTGTGTTTTCAGAAGCCCTCCGGGTGGCTCTGGTGGCTGCTCGAGTCTGAGAAGCTCTGTCTAGCTCAAAGACTGCTCAAAGGCATCAAGAGCAAAAACCTGCTCTCTCCCACCTGCCCCGGTACTTGCACGCTGCATCTAAGCTATTATAACTCATCTGGCATCTGCAAAACTGATCAGTGTCACAAAAGGCCGAAGCGGCTAGAAAAAGCATGAAGGCTGCTCAGCCCGAGCCTACCAGCGTTATGACCCCATAGAGCTTCTCGACTTTGTCCTTGAGTTCCCGGAAGCAGGAAGACAGCCGGTCGTGCAGAGGCTTGAGCTGCTCCGTCAGCTTCTCCCCGTGGATGCGGATCCCTTCTGTCAGCAGAGGCATCTGCCGAGAGGGGCACAGAAGGAAGGAAATAAGCTTAAGAAGAGGGATCACTGGGATTTGGGGGCTGGGGAAGGGCGGGGTGGGGGCTAGAACACACAGCACCCTCACATGAGGTCACTTCTCAGCTCAGGGCTGGTGAACCAGGTGGACTTTGGTCAACGATGCAGAGAAATACACACACCAAAGCTACGGTCAACTGTGGAAGGGCCGGGGAGCAGACCCGACAGAGCCCCGGGCACCCCTGCGGGTGAGCGACGGGCAGCTTTGAGCCTTAGGCTGAGTTGGATGCTTGCATTTTTCTACCAACACCCACTGAAGCCGTGAGAGAGAGAAAAAAACAAAGCCGACATCTCTCAGCTAGAAACACAGGCCAGGAAACCAATGGATGGACTTTCATCCCAGCTCTAAGAAGACCCCTGTCAACCCCATGCAGTTTAACAGATGCCACTCCTAAGTCACTTTGCCAAATAAACATATAGATAGGTTGTGGTTCCGTAAGGGGTAGAAAATGAAAAGTAACCCTGAACCTGGGCTTGCAGGCTTAAGTCCAGGGGAACACGGTGGAGTCCTGCACACACCGTGGCCGGCCAACCCACGCTGCCCCCGGTACCTGCAATGCTATCAGTCGCTTTAGCAGCTCCACCTTCTCCTGATCTTCAGGATGCTCCTGCAAGTACTTCTCTGTAAAGAAAGCCTAAAAGCAGAGCAAGTGCCAGTATTAATTAGAATTAATTAATCAGTGTTAATTAACTAATATTAATTAGTATTAATTAGAATTAACTATAACATTCCTATTTGTGCATGTGACCCTAAAAAGGGGAGGGGTGAAAGCCTGGAAGGGTGGAAAATGTCTTGTGTTCTGATAACCCAGAAATGTCTACCTAAAAATTCATTCTTCTCCTGGGATGGCCCTTATACCAGAGTAGACAATTTTAAAAAGTATGTGCTATTCTGTAGTCTTTCTGGAATCATGCGAATTGCTACAAGGTTACATTCTCAATAACCAATACACACAAACACACACATGCTCACTAATCAAATAAGAAAAGGCCAAATGACAACTGGCTAATAATTGAATTAAGGTCACTAATTAAGTGCATAGATATCATAAGGGAAGGAGCAAAAAGTTGACAGACAGGAGATATAGCTGCCAGTTTTTCTGCTCTTCCATGTGATAAGGGCTGTATCACGTTTTCCCCTATCTTAAGTAAATATTAACTTCTGTACTTTTCTCGCTAATTACCCATCCAAACGTTATTTTGAAAACAAAATGAGGCATAGATGTGAAGACATTTATTTTAAAAATATTAAATGCTGGCTGCCCTTATCATTGTATGTCAGGACCGTCTTCATCAATAAACATTCATGGCTCCTCCAGCTAAGGCCCTAGCACAGGGAAATAAAAACCAAACTTAAATTCCAAACACAGGTCTTCCATAGGAGACCATTTTAAAGATAAAGACGGAGTTCGCTAGGAAAGAGAAATAGAAGCTTGCAGCACACATTTCCAACAGAGTCTAAGATGGGAGTCACGTTTCTTCCCTGCGCCTTAACCTCCTGCTAGAAGTGCTTTCAAAGACCAACCTTCATAGTTCCCCTTCACTCTTCTGCCTTACTGGTGTGAAAGCCAAAGCCCCGTCGCATGAAACCCAAGAACTCTTGAAACTGCAGAATACGATCAGAAAAGTCACCGGCTCATTCTGTGTGGCAAACTGAATGCGTGCAAACACTTCCTTGTGGGCAGATCTTATGGGCTGACATGTGCGCCCTCAAGATACTTGGAAACAGGCCTTGCGGTGGAGTAGGATGAACCCCTACTCCAATTATGACTGTTGGCCTTATAAAAAAGGGGGAAATTTGGAGACTGGCCCGAGTGCCCTGGGAGAACACCAGGTGCAGACATGCGAGGAGGGCTGGGCGTGGTGGCTCACGTGTGTAATCCTAACACTCTGGGAGGCTGAGGATAGAGGATTGCTTGAGCTCAGGAGTTCAAGACCAGCCTGAGCGTGAGCAAGACCCCGTCTGTACTAAAAACAGAAAAATTGGCTGGGCATGGTGGTGCACACATATAGTCCCAGCTACCCAGAAGGCTGAGGCAGGAGGATTTCGTGAGCCCAGGAGTTTGAGGTTGCTGTGAGCTACAGTGACGCCACTGCACTCTACCCAGGGCAACAAGGTGAGACTCTGTCTCAAAAAAAAAAAAAAAAAAAAAGGATACGAGGAGAAGACAGCCACCTGCTAGAGCAGGAACACCAAGGCTTTTAAGCAAACCAGAAGCTAGCGGGAGGCCCAGGCACCCGGAGAGAACAAAGGTTCTCCCCTTAGAAAGAACTAACACCATGATACCTTGATTCCGGATTTCTTGCCTCCAGAACCGTGAAATGATAAATTTCTGTTATTTTAAGCCACATTGTTTGAGGAACTTTGTTATAGCAGCCTTAACAAACTAATAAAACAGAGAATAAAATACACACAGTCCAAGCATAATAAAAAAGGAAGCATGAACAATATAACCACATAGCACCTGATTCTAGCCACAATCCCATCTAGAGGGAGGGTCAACATAAATGAAAAAGTATTTACCCACGTTGCCATCTACTTTTACCTTTCAATATACGAGCAGTTTAAATATTTGAAAGTTAAAACCATTTTTTTGATAAATGATAAAACTGCATTGAAATTGCCCAAAGCATTGACTGGTTCAATCAGGGAGCATCAGAGCAGAGTGCCCCGAAATTCATTTTTCTAACAGAGTTTTGTCTCCTAACAGAAAAGGCTGGTGAATCACAGCGCACAGCTCCCGTGTCCTTACCACTTTGGGGACAAATAAAGAGCTGCCTTACAACAGGCCACCCGCATCAAGCATGCAATGATGGGTTTCTCAATGGATCGCAGTAGGTCAGGGTGATGAATGAGCTCACCTTTCTCTTATGTTGAGAAACGCACAAAGCCACACATATTAATTAAAAGTATAAATTAGTATTCTAAGCCAAAAGTCCTGAAATTTGTTTTCATATATCCTTGCTTTTTTGCCCCTATTTTAATTAGAAGACTGTCACATTGGAAAAGCTTCATATGAAATTTTATATTATTCACAGATAATGGCACATATAAATCGGTGGCTTAGGGGCATTCTGTAAAAATTAATACTTGGGAAAAATACATGAAAATCAGTGCCTGAGAGAGTATATGAAAGTACACACTAAATAAAGCATTATAAGCCGGGCGCGGTGGCTCACGCCTGTAATCCTACCACTCTGGGAGGCTGAGGCAGAAGGATTGCTTGAGCCCAGGAGTTTGAGGTTGCTGTGAGCTAGGCTGACGCCACGGCACTCACTCTAGCCTGGTCAACAAGTGAGACTGTCTCAAAAAAAAATAAATAAATAAAAAATAAAGCATTATAGTATTCAAAAAGTATTGTACTCATGTTTTGGATCCTATTTTTGCATTGACTTCCATTGTAATACTGGGTATTCTTATTATAATTGAAACCTAACATGGGCAAACTGGGATTGCTCTCTGGCATTGAGTCTTTCCCAGCTGCTGAGTACAGGAAGACCAAAAAAGGCTAAAAGGTTACAGGAACACAAAAGAATGACGATTACTATAGCAGCAGCCACAGAGCATCGGTGGCAGCACCCAGGAAGAACATTTCAATGACACGTTCTGCTCCAAGCACACACACGGAGGTCAGGAGAAACCGACGCTGGTGAAGCCTCAACTCCACGCGAGCACCGCATGATGGCCCCTGCGCACAGGAGTCTCCCTTCACCCTCCAGTCAATCCCGAGAGCTAGGTCCATTTCCTCACTTTACAGATACATGGAGACCAGAGAGGTGAAGCGTGTTGCCCAAGAGCACACAGCAGCCAACAGGAAGCCAGAATCATGTCCCGGGGGGAGACTGACCACAAAGCCCCTGTTCTTCCCAGGGGACACCAGAGAGCCAGCCCACTTAGCCCCGCTCTTCCCAGCTGCCTCCTTCCTTTATGCCCACTCTCCAGGACACTCCACGGGGCTTTCCTGGCCAAATGTTGCTCGGTATTCAAGATGATGGCTCCAAAACTATTTGGCTACCGAGCACAGACCACAACAATGCGAAATGCTGCCTCTATGAATCGTACTTAACATACACCGGATGGATGACCCGCATTTTAGATGGTGCGATATCCACTGCATCCAAAGGATGCAGTTGTGCCGAGTTCTCCTCTTACGTTTGTTCAGAGTAATGGCTGAAGGACTTAGCTGATTTAATTGCAGACTCAGGGCCACCCTTTGTCCTTACAGCCCATGGCACACCAACTCAGGGCAGGGGGCTGCTAGAGGCTAACTCTGAAGAGAGTGGCTCTGCCTTCCCCAGCGATGCTGCTTCCCTTCCGGAGCACCCTGGCTCTGGGGCCACGTGTTCACTCCACACCTCCCAGGGGGCAGTGGGAGAGAGGACAGCAGGTGACGTGACTGGAGGCACAGTGGGTTACTTAGGGGAGGGCTTACTAGGCCGTGGTCTGCACCCCCGGCTGTAAGAGGTGTGAGGTCAGGGCCAATTATTTTATATTACTATTTTATTTTATTCATTTTATTTTATTTTTTGGGGACAGAGTCTCCCTTTGTTGCCCAGGCTAGAGCAAGCACCGTGGCGTTAGCCTAGCTCACAGCAACCTCAAACTCCTGGGCTCAAGCAATCCTGCTACCTCAGCCTCCCAAATAGCTGGGACTACAGGCATGTGCCACCATCCCCGGCTAATTTTTTCTCTATATAATAGTTGGCCAATTAATTTCTTTCTATTTATAGTAGAGACAGGGTCTCACTCTTGCTCAGGCTGGTTTCGAACTCCTGACCTTGAGCAATCCGCCCGCCTCGGCCTCCCAGAGTGCTAGGATTACAGGCGTGAGCCACCGCGCCCGGCCAGGGCCAATCTTTTCATTAACTCCACGTGCCTGCTCATACAGAGAGGAGAGAGAACGTCTCTCAGGGAAGCTGCAGGAAACAAATTCACCAGGGGCACAGTGGCCGCAAGCGGGGGTTCTGGGGCCCGGCCCACCTTTTCGTAGTTGGAGAACCCCCCCATGACAGCAGGGTCCACGATGCCGCTGAGCAGCATGGACAGCGGGTGCACGGAGAGCGACCGGTCCCAGGCGTGCTGCTGCACGCAGTTGCTGATCCTCTCGTTGGTCAGCTCCATGGTCTCGATGGCGTTCTCCAGGGGGCTGATCTCCTCCTGGGTGGCGCAGCACGTGGGGAGAAAGGACCTTTGTCAGCTCCAAGCAGAGAAAGCAAAAAAGTTCAACCAGTCCCCTCTAGAGTTGTAACAGACTCATAAGTTACACGAGAGGGAAGTTTTGCTGCTCAAGGTCATGCAAGATCAAGGTCAAGGTCATATTAGCATTCCACAGTTTTTTGACAAGGCGGTAAGATGCAAAACAAGCTATTTAAAATGTCCTTAGGAAGCAGAATGAGGACTTCAAAACTGGAGCTATGGGAAGGCACACAGAGGCGGTCAGGAAAGTGGACCAAGGCAGGGAGGCCAATTAGGAGGCTGGAAAAAAAACAGGATCTAATAAATAATGAAAAGGTAAAAGGGAAAGCTCCTGGGAAGCTTCTGGGAAAGATGAGAAAGATGAAGAGGGAGGAGTCTGGGGTGACTGGTGGGGGATCAGCTGAGAATAAAAGAAGAGAAACGGCTTTGGGAGAGAAGATGGAACTGGCAGGAAGCTCCAAAGAGGCATTCTCGGGGCAGAGTGGCTACAGGAAAACCCGAGTAGAAAAATAGAAAAACACTGGAGCTGTGGTAAGGATTATTAGTTAGGCAAAGCTTCCTTGGTGATCTGTGAGGTCAGTGACAACAGAGGAGCAGGTATCAGATCTGAGACGCTTCTGCACAGCCAACAACGTGCACGGGCAGAACTTCTGATGCGTCTTCATGAGAAAAGGCAAGTGACGCCGGAAGCCAAGGACTCGGGCCACATGTAAGTAACCTCGGCTCGGATCCTGTGGGTAACATGGGTCAGGAATAACAGGATGTGTTAGATTGTTCTGGCTGAATTTTGGATGAAAATGAAATAAGATGCAGCGCAGATTCAGAGAGAGCTCTTCCTACGTAAGTGCCTTCAAAACCAGCTTTTGAGAAGAACCATCTCCTCTTCATTTTACCCATCACCAGCGAGCTGACTTCCTACTCCAGGAAGTCTCGACTCCAAAAGTCTCTAAAAATCACATCCACGCTTGAAGAATGATGATTTATGACCATCAGACTTCAGTTCAGGTTTGTTCAAGAGACATTTCTTGGACACGTGCTTTATGCTAAGTACCAGGCCACGCACCTTAGTTACGAAAGCGATTAAGATGCGCTTCACGCCTGGGAGGGGCTTGCAGTTTTAGTGGGGTCTCAAGACATGTAAAGGTAGAAGGCTAGAAACATGCCCGGGTGCAATAGGGCACAGACATGGGCCCTCTAACCCAGCCCGGTGTCGCAGAGGTGGCTTCATGGAGAAGGTGGTGCCTAAACTGAATCTCACAGGAGTTAGTGAGGTTCGGGAGTGGAGAGTGGACATTTTATGCAGACAAGATGATCCAATGTCGTGGAGGACTGAGAAAGCATGGAACGAGTAGTTTTGCTCCAAAAGATTCCCTAGGAGATGACGGCAAAAGCCAGGGTCACTAAGAGCTTATGTGCATGTGCTAAGGAGTATGGGTTTTTGTTGTTTTTTTTTTGTTTTTTTTTTGAGACAGAGTCACACTTTGTTGCCCAGGCTAGAGTGAGTGCTGTGGTGTCAGCCTAGTTCACAGCAACCTCAAACTCCTGGGCTCAAGCGATCCTCCTGCCTCAGCCTCCCGAGTAGTTGGGACTACAGGCATGCGCCACCATGCCCGGCTAATTTTTTATATGTATATCAGTTGGCCAATTAATTTCTTTCTATTTATAGTAGAGACGGGGCCTCGCTCTTGCTCAGGCTGGTTTTGAACTCCTGACCTTGAGCAATCCTCCCGCCTCCGCCTCCCAGAGTGCTAGGATTACAGGCGTGAGCCACCGCACCCGGCCGGAGTATGGGCTTTATACTCCAGCCCTGGGCAGCCCACAGGGGGCTCCAAGCATGAGAATGAATGAAATGGTCAGGTTTATTCGATGGGATTCGCAGAGGCTGTTAGGAAAATGGACCAAGGCAGGGAGGCCAATTAGGAGGCTGGAAATAAAATAGGATCTAATAAATATTGAAAAGGTAAAAGGAGCTGCTTCTGGGAAAGATGAAGAGGGAGGAGTCTGGGGTGACCGGTGGGGGATTAGCTGAGAATAAAAGAAGAGAAAGGGCTTTGGGAGAGAAGATGCAACTGGCAGGAAGCTCCAAAGAGGCATTCCACACATGCTTCTGCGGCTGGCAGGATCAGGGAGGAGACGAAACTCCTCCGGTCACAACAGAATCATTCACTGTGAGTAACCTTTAGGGTTGGTGTTGTAACATCGGTTTCACAAAGGAGCTCTATAACACAGGCATGCCTTGTGTTTCTCTTTTGAAAAACAAAGTTGGCCAGAGGAGGCCGGCCACGCTGGTGCGAACTGCAGAGGGCACCGAACAAAGGCTGTGATTATATCTGGAGACAAAGCTTTTTTCTCAGTTCCAATTTCAAGTGACTCACTGTGGAAATCTGTTTGACTTCAAACCACTTGAGAATCCCGGGAAAGGTATAGGCAGTCGTGTACGTGGTGCGTTCAATCCACATGGTCTGGTGGCAGGAAGGAAAACGGGGAACGCTGGTCAGTTCCCAGGCAAAACAGACAAACTCCTGGGTTCAGTGAAGTGAGACTCCATTCCCAAATGCCTCCTAAGTGAATGGGCCACATTTTCTCATAAAATTTAAGGATTCTGGATGTTTACAGCTGAAAGAGATCATCTACTTGGGACTTCTCACCTTATAGATGGAAGCCTAAGGCCCAGACAGGTGTGACTTGCTGAAGATCCTACTAGCAGCTGGCCCAGGAGCAGAGCCCAGTTTCTGGACTTCCAGTCTAGAATTTTCTACGGAGATGGCAACTTGCTATCTAGGTAATTTGCAGGGGAAACCTCTATTCCCAGGGGTACCACTGTTTCTGTGGGCGTTCGCCGGCTAGGTGGGAAGGCCTTCCCTTTTGGATGTCCATTTTACCTTGTTGTAGAGGGAAAAAGGGGGTGGACTCACAGCAAATTCATTGTCCGGGTCCTTTTCTCCTTTCCGGAACGGCCGGGAATATCTGAACTGCTGAACTTCGTTAGCTCTGTAGTAGCTGGAGCAAGACACGGCAACGAGGCTGTAACTCCACTCTTTAAATAAGCACGCCTTGATCTGACTTCAACAAACCCTGACATACCCCTGCCCCTGGCTGAGTCGTACCCACCGAGCCGCCTCACAACCAACAGAGTCTCCACACTTAAGGCTGGAGGAAAGTGCATGATTTGACTTTATTTTGCATCTTACTTTCATATAATTTAGGAATTGATTTTGCAGCTCACAATTGTAAAAGGTGCAGGTACTGACACCCAAATTTGTGACCTCATTTGTATAGTTTTATAAAGGTTCTAGCAATCCCATTAACACTGAGCTTCTCAAGAGAAGTCACTGGGGCCTAATCCCCAGGGATGCTTCTGAGTGAAAATGCTCAGGGATCTGAAACCTAGCAGCGATTTCCCTCTGCCTAAAAAACACCCCCCCCATCCCTTTGAATTACTAAGCTTTTATCTTACACTCAAAATAGAATAGACAGCTCTTCCAAACTGTAATAAATTTAAGGTTTGGATTTTTATGTACTTCTGATAAACGGTATGAGAGAGACAAAAGGTGCTTTTTTTGTTTTTTGTTTTCTATTAAGACAAAGGGTCTTGCTCTGCTGCCCAGGTTGGAGTGCAGTGGCATGGTCATAGCTCAAACTCTTGGCCTTAAGTGACCCTCCTACCTCAGCCTCCCAAGTAGCTGAAATTATAAGCAACTACATGCCTGGCTAATGTTTTAAAACATTTTTTTGTAAAGATGGGATCTTGCTGTGTTGCCCAGGCTGGGCTTGAACTCCTGGCTCAAGCACTAAAGTGATCCTTCCACCTCTGCCTCCCAATGTGCTGGGATTACAGGCATGAGACACAGCAACCAGCTATTTTTTTTTTTTAACATAAAGAACCACTCACTTTAAGATCTGCTCCGGAACTGGTTTATCCTTGTAGCTGGGCGGCAGGTTCATCACGGGCTTCACAGTGAAACACTGCATGTCTGAGACGCTCGTTAAGGAAAGAAAGGAACTAGGCCGCGAAGGTGTCAGGCAGCAGGGCCCCCCGTTCTTCCTTCTTCCCTGCCAGAAATGCCACCGGTGCCAATTGCTCCCTTTGACTCGAATGCCAGGACTGCACTGAAACTGGGGTCCCCTATGTATCACTGAAATGCCTCATTCAGGGATCAATCCTACGATGTTTCTTTTGCTCAGACACCTAGCAAACACCCTTGCCATAGGAAAACAGGCATCCATGAGATTATCAGGAAATAAATGGTTAGAAATGGTTTTAAATAGTTTTCTTTGGACAAAACATCCCTCTGAACGCCAGAGCCCAGGCAACAGGAACTGCTTTGATCTTTGGATGTCGTCTGTTTATCCAGGGCCACAGCCGGGCACTGCGCTAGGTGCTTTGAAAATGTATCTCTGATATACACACCACTACAAGATGGATATTATTACTCTCCTGTTACAGATGGAGAGTATGAAAATGAAGAGGTTAAACCCAACACCGCCCAACTGCTCAACGGTGAAGTCAGGCTTTAAAACCAGCTCAGCCTAGGTAAGGGCTCCTTCTCTGATTTAATGATCTCCTCTTAGAAATAGCTCTCCCACCTTCACCCCCAGCGCAGATGCACTGTTTCAAAGTCTGTAACAAAATCCAGAATTCAGAACAGGAAATCTATGTTCTAGTGAAGCTCCCTATCTGGCTACAAAGTATATCCTTTCTCCTTCAAGATCTGCTGATCATCTCTCCCCTTTAATGACTTCATAACCCCCAGCTGAGGATATTGGGGACCCAGGCATATTACACGGAATGGGGACCTGCAGCAGAATGTCTACATGGGTGGTCTGCGGACACAGGCCAGCGCTGTCCGCAAAGAAGAGCCTGCAACGGCCCTGGCCTCTCTGGGTTAGCTGGGGCTGTACCAGGTTGGGCAGCCTCTGGGTCTTTCTTCCCGGCAGCAAGGATGCACTGCTTCGGCGAGGACTTGATGTCTTCTCCGGGGGGCGTGGTACTGGTCATCTTCTCCGCGTTGGGGAACTGCGTCAGCAACCTCAGGCTGAAGTCCTCTCGCCTCTCATACTCCTTCCCCCGGTAGATAAAGATTTTATTCTGCAGGTTGGAGACAGCACGGGAAATCATTCAACAGGAAGAGTGAAGAGGCAACTGGAGTTCTGGGTACTGAGGGAGCCACTGTACTCCACAGCCAACGTCCAAAGACCTCGCTCCTTGAGTATCTATTACAGCAACTATCGAATCTGACCCGAGTGCTGTGGTTTATTTGGGGAGTTAAGTCACAGGCGTAAAAAATACTGAGCCCAGTGCACCTCATAATGTAGCCCATGGCCCACGGACCAGGGCCAGTCTGCAAACGGTCTGTTTGGAAAAAAAGGGCTTGTAGTGTAATTTAAATCCACAACATGACCAGGCATGCTGATATTTTTCACAGCAAGGCATTCTCAATGAAAGAAGTGCATGCATTAATTTACATGCAGGTAGAAACTATTATCTATCTTAATCGTGATCCACTAACAGTTTGTGGACCAGCACTTTATACAGCACTGCCTTAGGATCAGATGCTGAGAAGTGTGTCCCTGTATCACACAGTGACACAGCAACAGCACGGGTGACAGCAGTCCCCAGCCATCCTGAAAGTCTCATAGAAAATAAGAGCATTAAATACTATTTTCTCAGGCCAGGTGCAGCGGCTCACGCCTGTAATCCCAGAACTTTGGGAGGCTGAGGTGGGAGGAACTCTTGAGCCCAGGAATGCAAGACCAGCCTGGGCAACATAGCGAGACCCTGTCTCCACAAAAAATATTTAAAACATTAGCCGGGCGTGGCGGTGCACACCTGTATTTCCAGCTTCTCAGGAGGGTCTCCTGAGCCCAATTTTTGTGAACAGATAGGTTTTTGTTTCACTTGGGTAAATGCTCCCAGGCCACAGATGCTTCCAGCACAGGATACCGTTTTGGTTACAGTCTAAATTTCACATTCACATGTTGCTAACATCTCCCCTATTAAGTTGTAAAATCCAGAAGGGTGGAGACCACATCTGAGTGTAATCAACAGGATATATTGACTTAATGAGCAAATGAATTGTCTCCTCATTAAGTGCTGTTAAGAATGTAAATTGCTTCCTTTTACCGCTTTTTCTTCTTCTTCTTCTTTTCTCTTACATTAGGGGAAAGCAGATGGATAATACACGTTTAAGCAAAGCTCAGCTCTAAAAGAGGCTTCCATTTTGTAGGAGATAAGAGTTTCTGATTTTGAAACCATAAAATCAAGATCACATTATAGACAATGTTGAGGTGGAAGAAAAATACCATCCTCGTCACTATTAGTGCAACAAAAATGTTTTTATTTTGGGGAAACTCTTGCAGTCTTGTTCCTGGGATACTCGTTTTCAAACTAGCCCTGGCTGGAAATCCAATAAGCAACTAAATACATCATCAGTTCAACCTTTTCCCCAGCCTGACCCGCAGCCGCCGGCAAGCGGAGGAAATGGTTCTGCTTTTTTCCCCCTTTTTTGGTCCCCAACCTGGGGAGGGTCATTTCACAAAAGACCTGGCGGAACACCAGGGGTGTCGGGGTGTGGGGTGAAGGGGTGGCCACTCAGGAAGTGGTTTCCCTCCCCGACCTCCCACAGCGAGAAGACGGGTTGGCAGCTGCTAACGCACCCTTGTCCATCTGGAAAAGAAATGAGCCTCTTCCCCCCTTCACACTGGCCTGATGGCCTTGGGGACCACCCTCAGCTCCTTACCCGCAGGAAAGAAGGAAAGCCCTGGCCGTAGTATCCGACAGCAAAGTACTCAGGCTGAGGCCTCATTGCCTTAATGATGTTCTCATAAAACGAGGCTCTCTTTTTCTGGAAAACAAAACAAGACGTTCCACTGGGAGGATACGAGGACACCGTGGGGGTGAAAAAAAGGATCACACAGTTTGCTTTGCTGTTTCCCACGTAACACAGAGAAACGAAAGGTCTTTGGGAAACAACACATGGGCAAGAGGGTTATCCTGTTCTTGGATCAGAGGTTTGGGACCCGGGGTCCACGAATGAGCCTCGGAGGGCCCCGAATCGCTAAGGCTGCGAGCAGAAGTGCGTGCACACGCCCACTCTTCCGCGTTGGGAGGCACGGCTTCCGGCAGTCTCTAGAAGGGGGGTCAGGACCTCTACAAGGTTAGCTGCACTTAAGGAGACACAAGGGAGAAGACGGTAAAGAACGCTCCAGTTTGTGCAGTGGTTTGCATTAAAGTCTTTGGTTCAGTTCTAAGTGCCCAGAAGGTGGTGGCGACGTTCTGCTTTCCAGTATCTGGTACCACACCTCTCTGTTGAATTCTTCACCAGGGGAGCGGCTTCCAGCTGAGGCTTCCAGAGAAGGCGAGGTAGGTAGGTAGCCAGACTTAGGGGGTATGGGGAGGTCCCCTAACCTTCCCCCCAACAATGGTTAGCATGTCTATTTTACTACTCTTTCTAGGTGACTTTCGAGGTCTCTGTCAGAATAATGTTTTCTCAGATGGGTAACATGTTACATTACTAACATCTCAGTGCAAGTCAGCTGATAAAATATGTGAATATTTTTTGCATGTCATGGCAGGAGCTGGTATAGCACATTGGTACATTTTCTATTAATACGAGGTGATCTTGACAAACAGCCCCTCAAAATAAATTATTATTCCATGACAACAGGTGACCTGCCCTTTTGTAACTCGTCTACTGAAAATCAACAAATGCAATATTGGGTTTGCTAGTTTTGTTTTGCTTTGTTGATGGCTGGGAGTATGGAAGGTGCACAAAAAGACCTTCCAAATGGCACCAGGAAGGAAGAGAGAGCTGCAGACAGGGGTCCCCAAAAGGTGTGCAGAGGAAAGCAGCTCCAAGTCGCTGTCATCTGAGGCTCAGTGTCTACCCCCCTTTCTAGGCAACCCTGCCTGCCCCAGAGACCAGAACCTTCCATGAAAGATAATCTGGACAAATAATGATCCAAGCTTTCGGACCACATTCTTTTTTCATTTTTATTTCCAGCAAGGTTTACTTTTCCATTGTAAAGAACACCATTAATCCTGACTTTTCTTCAACTTACAAAAACATTCTGGTGAACGCTAATTTTAGCAGCCCCACTGGAGACCAAATACATTTGACCTAGACTCACCAAGAGATTGCCAAGGCCCTCGTAGTCAAACACTTTGCTCTCGTACGTCTCGGCCAACTCCTTGCTCAGTTTGATTGCCTTCTCCCACATCTTCAGGAAAAGAAAAGTAGGGTTAAAAGTGGAGAACAAAGCAGTCATTGATCCAGCTGCAAAAGCCACGGGAGAGTCACCGGGAGTGAGCGGGCGGGTGGGCCGAGTTTCTGCAGATCTGCCCCGACCTGAAACCTTTCTTTCCTGACGTCATAAAGATCGTGGATCTTGGCTGCCTCGCATCTTCAGTGAGTCTGTCTGTAAGAACGTGAACAATACCACGTGCGTGTCCCCAGACAAAGGAAGACTGAGTTTAAAGGGCAAAGTACGGATGACAAGCGAAATGAGAGAAGAACTATTTCCAAAGCCCAGGTTCTGAGAGTATGAGAGGCTTGCTGGAGGAGGAAGCAAGCTTCTGTGGGACCCTGGTTCTGGGGTGCGTGCGTGTGTGTGCAGGTAGGTTGTTTGCAGGGGACGGAAAAGACGCTGACAGTACTGCTGCATGGGATTTGGCAAACCGCATTTCATGTGAGGCGCTGATGTCTTTACTTAGTGGATGGGCGTTTTAGGAAATGCCTTAGAGCGTTAACGACCATGTGAGTTACAGGCTAATGCACATATCCGGTGTCTGAGGCCAGCATCCCAGATCGAGCCTTCTAATCATTTCTGCATTTCATGAAATGCCTCTTAGATGGGCACTATTCAAGGCACAGCATCTGCTCGCTTCCTGCTTCGTTCTTATAAACAAAGTGCTACATCCCATCCTTTCTGGCTGCTGAGGGAATGCATGCGTGGTCCTCATTGTGAAACACTCTAAAATTAAATCTCATAAAGTCATCATTTGTCAAATTTGCCCTCCCTGAAGTTGCAGGGCTGGGTCACCGAAAAGGCTCTGAGATGAGCCGTCTGGAAACCAGTGTAGATCAGTGGGACTTGGTGCAGGGAGCCAGTTGCCACCACCAGTGAACTCCAGTGACGTGGCCTTCCCGAGTCCCCTCTCGTCCTCCCCAGATGCTAAGTTACGTAAGAGACAGGAAGACCGTCTAGCACAGCGGTTCCCAAAGGGTGGTCTCTGGCTCCTGGCAGTCCTCAAGGCCCTTTCAGGGGTCGATGAGGTCAAAACTATCTTCCTAATAGTACTATTATTGTCCTTTTTCCATGTTCACTGTCTCATGACTATACATGAGGCTACATGATGTGTGACATCATAATGGAACATATACAGAAGCAAATCAGAGAATGCTGCTATCTTTTATTAGCCCAGACATTAAAGAAATTTGCAAAAATAATGCCAATCATATCACTAATTCTTTGATATAGTGATTTTTCATTAAAATATATATGATTCATATTAACAGGTAATAAATAGGTATATTATTATTGTTAAAAGAACAAGTAAATACTTAACATTTTTTCTGCTTTAATTTCTAAGAGTATAAATATTAACAGATATAACCCACGTGAACAGAAGTGTTTTGGGGTCCTCCATAATTTTTAAGAGGGCTAGAGTCTGCAGAGACCAAAAAGCCTGAGCTTCACTTGCTATCTGGGCTTCAAGTTCCTCACCTGTAGAGATATTATCTACCTAATAGGGCTATAGGAAGAATTAAATTAGAGGAAAAGTCTGAAAAATCATCCTGAACAGTTTAGCACTAAATAGATGATGGCAATTTTATCTTGACGATTATTTGGCTTATTTATTTATTTAGTAATTTAACTAAGGTTTCACGGATAGAATAACTGTGGTGGCTGGAAGTGGGCCGTCCACATGAACCATCCAGGCATCTGAAACAGGCTAAATCCAGGATCCGTTTTGTTTGGATACCACAAAGCATTTTCCTTTCTTTCTCCCCCAGTCCCTTCTCTCTACATATTTTTTTTTTCATTTTTAATTTAAAAAGTCTTTCCACTGCACATGCCTTCTCCACTTGACCACGGACTCCACGACTCCCTGACACAGTTCCTAAGTTTGTTTTGCCTTCCTGCCCCCGTGGCTGTCTACAGTGTGTGGTGTCAGGCAGGGGACGGGGGTCTGCTGTGCCCCACGTGTTCACCAACATTGTCTCGAGAATGCAGAGAAGCTGATAGGACCAGCTCCTGGGACCAGCAAAAATTAATAGGTGAAACTGTGGTTTTAGAAAATGGGGCTCTGGGCTGCCCCCTCTACTCAGCACTGGGGTAAGTCTGCTCGAGATGAATGATCTTTTTTGCCCTTCGCACTTTCATTTATCGATTCATGCTCTCTCCTATTAAAAATATCAGAATTCAAAGACACACAAGGGGATAATAAAAAGTCACAGGTTACTGTATAAAAAAGAATTTGTGTCTTTGACCTCAGTTCTAGGCAAGGAGCTTCTAAACCCTTGGAATTTCCCAAGCAAGAGGAGTATCTCTGTTATTCCTGGTGGGTCCCCATGCCCACACCTGAATCTATGCGAACAAGGTGACTCACATGGGGCTCTTAGATGGTCTCAGGATGGGGGCTGGCTATGAGAGAAATATTAATACCAACCATGCGATCACAGGGCTGGGGGTTTGAGCCACATATCACCCTGACCTCCAGGAAAGGGGGGTGGGTGATGATCAAGTGCAATTGCATAGTCAATGAACCAATCAAACATGCCTACACAATGAAACCCCAATAAAAACTCTGCACACTAAGGCTCAGGCAAGCTTCCCAGCGGGAGAACACATCAATTTTCCAGAAAGGTGATATGCCCCAAGTTCACGGGGAGAAGACAGAGAAGCTCTCTGTTTGGGTTCCTCCCAGATCTTGCCCTGTATTGTCTCTGCATTTGGCTGGTCCTGATCTATGTCCTTTATAATAAAACTATAAACACTAAATATAGTACTTTACCATGTTTTGTTAGTTGTTCTAGCAAATTATCAAAGCAGAGGGGGTCATGGGAACCTCTAGAATTTATGGGCAGTTGGTCAGAAGTGTAGATGGTCTGGAACCCTCCAAACTCGTGGCTGCCCTCTGGGCCATCCTGTTGGGGACGATGCTCTTAACGCATGTAGTCTGCACTAAGTACAGGCGGTTAGCATCAGAATTGCACTGCAACAGGGCGGTCATCTTCCTCCTTCCCCTAATATAAAAACAACCAGTACTCACTTTGCCTTTGTCAAAATATGATATAATTTCTTGATACAGCTTCTCTTTAAGCTCTTGCTGGGTATAAACATAGTAACTGTCTCTCTGAAGCAAATGGGGCACACAGGGCTTGTCAGACCACTAAAATCAAACAAAAGCAACAAAAGAGGTTAATGCAAGAGATCAATTAAAGAGATCAATGCAACAAATACTCAGCCAAAAAAAACAAAAATCAAAAAAAATTTGTATGTATATTTAACTCATCCATATCTTATGTTAGATTATTTATTAGACACAAAAATCACATAGACACACATATACCCAAGCAAGCTCCAAAAACAAGTATCATGCCAAATGGACACACACTCGTGGCACTCTTGTGTCAGGAATGAAGTAAGGTTGCCAACCAGCATGATTATTGTTGTACTGAAGGCATCATTAATACAACCAGATAAAAGAAATAAATTAGGAGTTTAAAAATGGATAAGAGAAGGTAACACTAGCACAATTTGCAAACATTATAGTTGTAATTCTTCACAATATAAGAAAGTCAACTAAAAACCTACTATCCACACAATAAAAGTCATAGCAGGATAAAAAAAAATTAACATATTTGGAAATAGATTTCACATACATAGGAAATAACCATATAGAAGATAATTGAAGAACCAAACAAAAATAAACGCAAAAAGGTGAGATTTCTAACAGTGAACATCACAAGGAATACGCAAGACTTATCTGCAGAAAACTCATATACACCACTGAAGGGCACAAAATCAGACTTGAACAAATGGAAAGTCATATCATGCTTTTGGATAAGAAAACTCTATTTCATAAACATGTAAATTCTCACTAATTTTTAAATGTCATGATTCCAAAGTCCATATGGGAAAATAAACAAAAAGCAATAGGTAAGAAAACTCTGAAAAAGAAGAGCAATCAAGAGTAACTACCAGATAATAAAACACTATAAAGAACTAATAATTAAAACAGTGTGGTACTGGTACATGAATAGACAGAGATCCGTGCAAAATAATATACAATCAAGAAAGAGACCCCTTCCCAACGTAGGAATTTAGTACATGATAAAGATGAGATCTTCTACCAGCAAGGAAAATCTGAACTACGCTGAACAAGTGGCATCTCTATTGAATAGCACTCTGGGGAGAAGAGCTGCATCCACGTCTTCTACCTTATACCAGGACAGGAGAGTTGAATTTTCTGAGCAGCCCAAACGAAAAGACCTACAGTTACAGACACTGGGGTTGCTTTCTGGCCATTCTACGGTGAAATCCACAGTCACTGAGACTCACCAATGATCCAGACACAATAAGCTATTTTTGTGCCCTAATCTTAACTACGAATTGTGAATTTCCTATGGGAATTGGTGAGGCAGGAGACTCCTGTCTTTAATTAGTAGCTCAGAACGATGCATGTGTATCACTTTTGTAGGAAATAAAAATTCAACTGTAGAAGAGAATTAATTGCTGGGGACAGGGATGGAGGCAGAGAGATCTGAGAGGAGGCTGTTGGAGCATTCGAAATGAGAGATGCTGGTGACATGGACGGGGATGGTGGCAAGGGAGGTACAAGAAGTGGGTAGGTCAGGGGCACAGTGTAGACACAAGGGCCACGCTTCTCACTCCTGGAGAAAGTGGGAGGTGGTGAATAACAGAGAAGAATCAAAGAAGACTACGAGCTTGTCTAAGCCGCTAGAATAGATGACGGTGTTTAGGGACACGACAGGAAAAGGGAGGCAGGATGGGTTGGGAGGTGGCAAGAGCAGGAAATAGATTCTCTGTCACCAATGTGCTATGTTTGAGCTGTCTATTAGTCATTCAAACATCAATGCTGAAAGAACCATTTATATATGAATCCAAAGTTAGAGGAAGAGGTCAGGGCTAGAAATAATTATTTGAGATTCATGAAGTACAGACGTATATAATCCATGCCACAGCATCATTTTAGTTAAGGAGAGAGTATAAAAGGAAAGGACTTTTTCGGTACTATGTTCACATACAACTCATCTCCCTGCAGTTTTACAGATCTTTTTATACATTAATCAATGTGTGTGTGTTATTTCTTTAATTAGAATGTCAAGAACCTTCTGGACCTTTAAGTTGTCCTCTGCATCTAAGGATTTTTAAATAAAAGATAACCAACATTTTTCCCCAATCTCATCTGAAAATCAGCTGGGCCAATTTTTAGAAGGGGTAAAATAATATTCTCGGATCAAAGGATATCCTTGGAATAAGGCTGTTGCTCATCAAAAGCACAAAGTGGATCCAATTTGGTCCTAAAGGACCAAACAGGTGATGTGTAGCGTGCGCCTTCCGCCCCGTGGGAGCGAGCTCCCCGACCCGCCCACCTGCAGCAGCTCCGCGTGCAAGAGAAGCGTGCAGGCGGCTTCCGTGTAGTTCTCACAGTCGCGGTGCAGATCTCGGAGCTTGTACAAGTATCTGGGAAGAGGGGAGACGGGCGTGTTGCTCAAGCACTGACCCAGCACTCAGCCCACCCCACATCCAGACGCAGCCCGTCCCCTGCAACCGTACAGGCTCACACGTCCCTGCTCCTAGACCCAGGAGTCGGTTACTTCCTACTTTGTCGTGCTGCCTCCTGCCTCTGCATCTTTCCAGTCCCATCTAGTCTACTTTCTACTCTTCCTTTAAGGCACTGGTGTTTAATTTTCTCCTCCTTTTAGGTCTTGGATCCCTTGGGGACATTAACGACGGCTATGGAATCTCTCCCCAGGCACGTGCGTATTGGTCAGGTACGAGTTTATTTCATGTTCAGGGATTCAAGGGCTCCAGGCCGAGATTCCTGGATAGGTTTTCTCGTGCTCTCCTGAACACCTTGGGCCAGAAGGATTCCATCCCTCCCCTCAGTCCTGGCACGACCTCACTTACACGTGCCTTCATGCCGTACCTGTCTGTGTATCTATCTAAAAAGTTTATCCTTTTGGGGCGAGCTGAGTATATGACACACCTTTGGGTGTTTCCCACAGCAACAAGCAAGGTGTTGAGGCACAGTATTTGTTTATTATTGAGGGAATAAATCGCAAAGCCCTGACATAAATAGCAAAAGCAGAAAATTTCCTTCCTCTTACCTTATGTATATGTCCTCTCTCTTCTTTTCTTTATAGAAATTCTGCCAGGGGAAAAAAAAAATCAGGATCACAAAATACCAACATAAATCAGGAGCTGTTGACAAGCTCGCCATGAAAATAGCCAAACCACGACTATTGATTCTCAACACTGTCAGTTTCCAAAGAGTTCATTGTTTCCCTTTAACGAATAGCCACACGAGAAAAGGAAGCGACAGGTTATAAAGAAGGTGAAGAATTGTTTTAGAACCATACTTCTGAAGAATGCAAGAAACCTAATGGAGTGGATACCAGGCTCATACTCAAGTCACCGCCTATACTGTCTTCCCGGGGTCTGTATTAAGCAGAGGGAGGCCTGGCAACCTAAACCTCTGATGTCTGTGGTCCGGGTTAACAATATTGAAAAAGGCGAGACCAAAGAGTTCTGCCTTCACAAAGATGTCACATACTAATTCTCTATCCAGGGTGTAGCGTTTCTGATGCATATTCGACTTTGCCCATAAACCAACCACATATACATACAACAGACAGACAAGTTGAAGACAGTGTGCAGAAAACAGAGTTGCATCAAGAGCTTATGGTGCATTTTTCATCCTGTCTCCAAATTTATCCTCAAAGTCTGTGGCCGCTAGTGTCTGAGTCCAAAGCTGAGCCAGGTGTTCCAGCTAGACCCATCAGGGCACAGACTCCGTGAAGGTGACCCTGGGTGCCCCCGTGCCTGTGAGATCTGCCTAGAGCTGCGCTGTGGGGTGCAGGGGCGGCCCGGCAGTGCCCTCTCGCTAGCCCAGGGGCTTGGCACATACCAGCACGTTCACCGTGCAGCTCATGCGGTTCTCCTTGCTCTCGTCATGCATGACGATGGTTCTGTAGTCCAACAGGTTCTCCAAGAGGCTGCTGACCAGGAATGCGAACACCTCCCCAGAGCCGGAGAGGTACTTATGTTTCCGGCAATGTTCTAGGAGCCTGGAGGGGTGGAGGGAGAGACAAATGTCTGTGTTTCGTGCTGCCATTCCAGCACCTCTTATGAGCATCAACCAAGGTCACAGAGCAGGTGGTGCAAGAGTAGATACCCCGGCATGCCAGGTCAGCAGACACATGCCCTGCGTGGACACCATCCCAGCCTGGCAGCCCCCCTTTTGCTGTCCTCTCTACTCAAGCTCTACATTTTCTTTAGGGCTTGACTGTAGTCCCAATATCACTTAGAATTGCAGCCCGTAATGTCCCCCTTTGACTGTCTGTTGGTGTTGTTTTTGTTTGTTTCTAGTCAATATCACAGAACCGAGAACCCTGCTGTTTGAAGGTTCTAATGTAGTTGAATGAGACCATAATATTCCTTACATCTTTATTCTCCCTAAGGCCTGGCACTCAGGGCATCTTCTGGCCATTCTAGAATGCCGTGGATGGACGCCCAGCCTAGAGGAACCGAGGAACCAGATACACCTCCAGACACGTGGCTCTTTAGACAAAAGTGTTATTTTCAGATGAAAACGCAGATTTGTAAAACAAGCAAATTGAAGCTAAACTTTTGGTTTGAGTCTTCTCCTTTTTGACCCACAGAGAACAAAGTCCTGGGGCTTCTCAGATTACAGCATTAAAGAAAAAAAAAAAAAAGCTGGGGAAAAGGGAGAAAAAAGAGAGGGAAATGGATCCAAAAACTAGTCCAGACTCTAAGATTTTTCTTGGACACTGGAGACTTGTGTGATTATATTTTGCTGAGTTAGTGATCCAGGAAGAACCAAGAAAGCAAAGTAGGATCTTTATATGAAAAAATCAGCTGTGGGCTAAAAAAAAAAAAAAAAAGGACAGTTTATCATGTGTAAATAGTGTGTGTGCATGTGCATATAACTTATTTCCACAGCAGATCAGAATTGCAAAAGTTATAAACTGGCAGGTCTGAAGCTCAGAGAGACCTAATGGAAACATGATAAAGAGTCCACCAAAAGGTCTTATCATTAAAAATGAAATAGGAAATACTTCTGGTTCTTTTGAAAGAATACAGACTATTCACTTATTCAATTCCATTTTGAGTATTCAGGATGCTGGTTCCTTATAGAATCTTAAAAAAAAGAAGAAAAGAAAACAGGTGGAGTCCATGTCCTTGAGCACTGTATCTAGTCCACAAAACAGGTGAGGAACAAAACGACCGAGGCAAGTGCTCAGCAGGTGACACTGTTGGTCAATACTATCAAAGTTCAGAGAGCACGAGAAAGCCACAGTACAGTTAGAACTGAATGATGGGAAGATCTGTAAATAATAACAGTGCCGACCACAAACACGAGGGCAGCCCACATCTATTAAGCGTGAACTCTGCTACAGACGCTGTGTTAGCACAACATCTTACTTAATCCTCCCAACAATACCCAGAAATAGATGCTATTATTCTCAGAGACGGGAGAAAATGAGGTGTTGGACAGGCTGAATCACTGGTCAAAAGCCAAACACACCCAATTCACATGTCCCAAAAGTTGTAATAAAAAAAAAAAAGAGAGAGAAAAAATAATTTTAGAAAATAGAAATTTTTAATTATTTTAAAATAAAATTAAAATTAAAAAAAAAAGCCAAACGCATAGTGTTTGGTGAAAACAGGGTTTGAATCTCAATCTCTCCCCAAAGCCAACGGCCAAGTGTTTCTCATCACTCTTTTGTTCTTTTTGTGCTGTCATTCCACATGTTTATAGAGGGGGGCAAAGAGGGTGGGAGGGTGACGGGTGAGCGTGGCGGTGGGGAGAGGGTGGTTGAGATCATGTGGATGGAGCATACGGTATTTCTGCATCTAAAGTGGACCTCGGAATTTTTTTTTTTCCTTTAGATTGTTGCTTTGAAGCCAGAATTAGAGGTGCTAACACTTTTGTCGAAGTTCAAAAATTCAAATCCTGGGCAACATGCCACCGTTGTGTACATTTCCTCCTTCTACTGTGTTCTCCAGGGCCAGGCCGGCCAGGAAACCACGCGCACCTGACTCGCATCAGATAGACAGTGTCAGTAGCGGATGGATGGTGTACACCTCATTAGCAGCACCGAAGACCTCCATCGGGGCGACCCCGGCGGAGCTGAGGCCGCTCGGTTGCTCTGCTGGTGCAGAAGCTGTGTTTTTTTTTCTCTGTTACTAAATGATGCCACCAAAGCGAGGTTCTGTTTCTGAACTACTCACAGTTTTTCCAGAAGAACCTTGTATTGTTCATCTCCTCTGCCCCCTTCTACCTCCTGGTCCAGCTTCGTGATCAACTCGTTCTCAAACTGAAAGCAGAGTGACAAGTTCACAGCACGATGTTGCACCCTTAGAAGAGGATGTGGCCGGTCTTTCTAGATTTCGTCCAAAACCTCTACTGACTTGTCAACTGTTTCCAGCACAGACAGGGGAGTATCACACTTGGAGTCGTTCATGAACGGGGCACCAAGGCCCTGCTGAAGCATTCGAAAGCAGTCTCATGTTACTCTGTCCTTTGCTTTACATTTATTATTATTATTATTATTTTTTGAGACAGAGTCTCTCTTTGTTGCCCAGGCTAGAGTGAGTGCTGTGGCGTCAGCCTAGCTCACAGCAACCTCAAACTCTTGTGCTCAAGCGATCCTCCTGCCTCAGCCTCCCGAGTAGCTGGGACTACAGGCATGCGCCACCACGCATGGCTAATTTTTTCTATATATATGTTAGTTGGCCAATTAATTTCTTTCTATTTATAGTAGAGACGGGGTCTTGCTCTTGCTCAGGCTGGTTTCGAACTCCTGACCTCAAGCAATCCGCCCGCCTCGGCCTCCCAGAGTGCTAGGATTACAGGCGTGAGCCACCGCGCCCGGCCTACAATTATTATTTTTTAATTATCTAAAACATTACATTCTGCTACAACCATGCATACAAAAATAGCTTAATGATTCTGATTTTCTATTTTAGTTTTGTTTCTCATCTAAGTCTCAGTTTACAGAGCTTCGTAGCTGCAAAATCTTCCTTTCAATATTAATGCACTTTGTAGATAAGAAAACTGAGGCACAGAGCAGACACATAAGGAAGGCCACATTCTCCAAGCTGGAGTAACGGTTTAGACCTCAGTCTATGGCAGCCCTCCCTCAGCTGTACCATAACAAATAATTCTTTAACTTAATTCACTGTGTTATTCTCTCCAGTGACACTGAAACAGACAGGATTAAAGTGCATTAAGTTAACTTTTCATTAGCCAGAGACAGAGTTTTGCTTTCAGAAAGATATGCAGCAAAAAGATTTCTTCCAGGCTCTGAGCTGGCATATCTGATTATATACCTAATTGCTTTACAAAGTTAAATGCAAAGTGAATTTTTAGGTCAACTTTGATTTGTATTATTCGGGCTACTGCTTCCCTATATAGAAAGAAAACAAATGAGAGTTGCCGACATATGCATTTCTAAGATGATAAGGTCTACCACTTCTTACCATATGGAAATTTCCATTGCCACTGAAATTGAACTCACACTGCATCATATCAAAGAAAATGGGGATTGTGGCTTTCTGGAGCTCTACTTCGGGGGTCAGAGTGACCTCCAGAATGGGACCCACCATGGATGGGATGAATTTGATTTTATGAGGACCTGAAAGTAAATGAGGATATTAAAACATGTATGTTATTAAAACATAACATTCACCATAAGTAAAGTGCTATGATCTTCCTCTAGAGGGCCCACAAGAAAAATTTATGTGGGAAACAAATCAACCCAATTCAGAAGTGACTTAGATACTGTATTCTGATAACATGTGGATACAAAAGTAAGCGTTCATTATCAATGTCCCAGTTGAGATGAGGGCGCGAAACCAACAAATCGACTTTCACTCCACAGACAAATAAATCTCAGGAGTGTTTGGATTAAAAATTAAAAAAAAAGAGAATTCACCGTGGGAAGCTTATCACACAGAAGCTGTGCTGGGGCTTGTTCGAGCTTGGACACTCACCCAGGTTATACCACATGTCCCGGATTCTAAAGCCGAGTTCTTTTCTCATGTCCCCGTATCTAGGAAGAAGATCAGAAACCAAGAGAAGGATTTGCGGTGGAACTGAGATGCATATAACACAACCACGAGAGGTATCAAAACAGCCTGTGTCCCTCTGGGTCACCTTTAAGGCAAGCTCACTGTTAAGAGACAAGGTTAATTCCCAAACAGAACCGAGTCTCACAGAGGACAGGGGACTTTCGCGGCATGAGAAGTCAAATGCAAACGCTGAACAAAAGCTGAGATTAACAAACTCAGCTTTGTTTGGTGAGATTAACAAACTCACTGAAGGGAGAGAGAAACTCTGGTGGCCGTGAAACAAAGAAATAAGCAAAAACACTCAGGAAAAGGAAGATGAATGGGGATGGTTTACACAGTACTGTGCCTGATGTCTAACAAACAGGCTGACTCCATATACCTATATTTGGTAACATACATCCATTCCAGTGTGTTCTTCAAAGTACTCACACTGGAAAGCTCTGGACCATGCATTCTCAACGGGGTGAGATTGTCCAGAAAGGGGTGAAAACTGAAACTGAAAGGGATGAAACTTTTTGTCCTTAGGGACAAAAAAACCCTTACAGTTTTTATGTATACAGCATAGTTAGACATACGGTACATCAAATGATACTTGGTGTATCTCTTATATTAGAATCTCATGGGGGGTATGGATGAGCAGAACAGTGTCTAAAAGGGCTCTTTGTCAGAGTTCATAATAAGAAAAAGAATAGAGAAACACTGGTCTAGACAGTGATTCTTGGGTGGAAGTGAATCAGAATCATCTGGAAATCTCTTAAAGGATACTCATGCCCGAGGCAACCCCACTGCAAATACTACAGCAGAGTTGGGGGGAGGGTGGAAAATAGGAAATGATATCAGTCAAAAGATACTGACATTGCAAACGTTCCCAGGTAACATGAACCTAGATTTATACCTCACTTTACAACCACTGCTCTACATTATTCTACTCATACTAATATTACCCAGAAAATTTTTTTCAAATTCCTCCTTTGGAAATATCTTCTGGAGCCAGCATTAAAAAAAAAATCACATTTAAAAACTTCTCATATGATTTCGCCCTAACAAAAATATTCAACCTAAATTCATTATTAATATTAGGTAAGCAAATGTAGTTAAGGTCTTATACATAATAGACACTGAATGATAAAGTACTGTTGATGCTACTTCTACTAAAAATAAGAGCAAGCTTGGAAAAAAACCTTCATTCATATCTCTACAACCTTAATTCAACAGGCTTCATTTTCCAAGTTTTATCTTTACTCATATGCATGCATATTGTTACATGGGTTAGATTCAGTCCTACTGACCCCAAACCAAAATCATTAATCCTAACTAGCCATTTTATTGATAAGAGTTGGCATCAACTATCTTCACTCATGGTTCTTTAACCAAAATCAAATCCATCCTTTAAAAAAGTTATATTATGCCAAGATATTTTAAAGAATGAGTTCAAGGTATCCATCTTAAAATCCACCTGAAATCTCTCAATACCTACCCCTTGAGAAAATCTACAAAATAGGTTTTACTTTTATCTTTTAATGCACAGTCACTAAATCTCAGTCTCTCAGCTAACAATCTCCATTTTGGGGGGAGGAACCAGAGGTAGAGGGATGCTACATAATTCGTTTAGAATCCCAGATATCCCAGTAAGGGGAACAGAACTAAAGTTTCAAAGTATTTAAATAATAAATTTCTCAAGTTGTTTTCTTAGCTACACAGTCTTTGAGTTTCCAGGCTCTCAGATTAATTCTGAAACATACCTGAGATGAAAGCAAAGAAAAGCTTTCCTAAATTTCTCTCCACTCTCGCACATCATTCTATTTTGAAACTCAGGCCAGGAATCTGGAGGGCATTTTTAGGTTATGCTTGAGTCTTAGCTTCTCTGCCGAAGTGACAAAGGCAGAGCAACTGTGCTGAAGGAATGTGGAGGCACTATGCCTGCAATTTGCAGGAGCTGCCAGCAGAGGGCGCAGCCGCTCAAGGGGATGAGTGTGCTGACAGCTGAGATGCCCCTCCAGGTAGATTCAATGAAAAGCATGGGACTGATGGGAAGAGTAATGGGGCCCTTAGAAACCAGACATGAACCTAGGGGACTTTGAAGTCTATTAAGTATTATTTAAAAATCCACCTCACTAACAACATGGGCAGCCAATAAACAGTAATTTCTGTGATACCAAAAATATTGCTCTGAATATAAACCAAAAAATCCCCTTCCCAATCTTAAACAAGGTTAAAAGGATACCTACTTTTTTATAATTTTGCTGCGCTTGGCTTGTGAGAAGGTTTCAAGCTGAAGAGATTCATGGGTGAGAAATGCTACTGCCAAATGGAAGTAATTGTTCCAGAGCTGTACAGAATTAATTGTGTGGGCAAAAAGAGATGGAAAATAACATTAATAAGGCTCATAATAAAACAGTGTCACATGGTGGAAAGTCATTAACTAGGGATTAATGAAAAAAAAAAAATAAGACTTCTTTTTCTTGGTTTTCAATTATTTGATCCTGAAAGTTTTGAGACTTAATATCAAGCTTTTTCAAAAAATCCAAATGATTTATATTTTTCTTTACTCCTGGGATAAAGGAAACTGCTGCCAAGAAATGTACCTATTTATAGTAGGTAGTTTGGCAACATGTATCAAAAGCCCTAAAATTTTGCCAAACTGTTGAATCAGTAAATGCTTTTAGGACGTTATCCTGAAAAATAATTCTGGCTATTTTAAAATGTTTAAAACAAGGAAGGCCATTATGGTGCTATTTAACATTACAGAAAACAGGAACCATCTAAATGTTCATAAGAAGAATTTGGTTAAATCAATCATGGGCTGGTCATATAACAGACTGTGCTCAGCCATTAAAAATGTCGTGAAAATATTTAACATCATTGAAAAGATCACAGATCATTGAAAAAGTAAATAAAATAGACTGATAGGTTACCAAAGAACTACACAGCTCAATTCTATTTTGGCCTATGTACATATATATACTAACATATATATATATACACTAACATATATATTTATATATATACACTATCTATATATACTAACATATATATTTACATATGTATATGAAAATATGTATATATAATTCTCTTCTACTTACAAATCTCCATTTTAAAATTTTCACAGATACAAAGACACATGACACAGAAAAAGCACATCACCAAAAAAAAAAAAAAAAGTACAGTACTCTGGAAGGTAAGCTTTAATGAGAGGAGCAAGGACCTCATCTGCCTTAGCTAGAGTCTAGAACAGCACCTTCTACATATAAATTCTCTAATATTTGTTGGACGGGTGAATGATTGAATGAATATAGAGCTCGTGGTCACTTGTTTTGCAATTACTTTGGACTTTTAAGGAATCGTGCATACCAACTGCTCTTTAGAACCAAACTCACTTTTAGGTGGGAGAGTTATTTGTGTGTCTATTTCTAACTATCTACGTGCATGTGTGTGTATATAGAGGAGCACCACCAAAATGTTTACAGTGAAAAGGACTATTTCCTTTTTTTATTTTCTTCTTTTTGTTGAGCTATATCGTCTACTATTACTTTTTTTTTTTTAAACATGTATTTTATAGACAGAAGAAAAAAAAAACTATTTTATTGTGTCTGGAGAACAGTGTCACAGGAGTGTGTCCTTTAGGAAATAAGAAAACTTCTATCATTTGAAAATGATGAAATCTAGGGCGATGTTTTCCAAAGTGGACTCATTCTCTCGCTGGGGCTGAGAACTGCAGGGGCCTGTCGGTGAGTCTCATCCTTACCTGAAGTTCAAACCTTGCCTGATCCATGAACAATCTCATGAGAACTTCGGCAAACTGATTTATAGCACGGAGAAAAACCCTAGGGGAGGAAAACACTAGATTAAAAAAAGGCAACTTCATACCCTTTGAAACATTTTGCCCCTGAATTTGGCAACATCAGACCTTATGATCTATCGATGTCCTTAGAGACCAACAACAGAGCAAACAAGGGCACAGACATTCGGTTTCTAGAACTGACCGTAAGAACAAATCAGGGCTGTACCAGAACGTAGGTAAACGAGGGCAGAGCTGAGTCTACAAAGCAGCCTCTGGAGTTTCAGACCAGGGCAATATGATAGATACTTCCCTTTAAGCCTAGAGTCTCTGATACAATTTTTTCTCTAATCCATACACCACTGAGAAGGGTTTTTCTAATTGGGTGTCAGTAGAATCACTCAGAACCAGGTATCATGAAGAGTGAACAATAAGGCTATGATAATGATTTGATTTAGCTCATTAAAAATTGTGTTTTTTTTCTATAACCTGTATCTTAATCTGTGAAATCAGAGTTTAAAAAGAATGGCTGGCAGACTATAATTTAAGCAGGGAATGTGAATATATACAACATTTATTATAAATATACAGGGTAGATATAGCTATCATCTGTGTTTGGTATCTTTTTATTTATTTTTTCGTTTGTTTTTTTATTTTTGGTTTTTCATATGCCTTTATTTAAGATGTAAACTTTGCAAATGTTATTAAAGAATTGGAATTGACATCTAATTATAGTAGTTGAGATGATATATTTAAAAATTGTTTTGTTTTTGAGATGAGGTCTTGCTCTGTTGCCCACGCTTGAGTGCAATGGTCCAATCATAGCTTACTGCAGCCTTGAACTCCTGGGCTCAAACAATCCTCCCGCCTCAGCCTCCCAAGTAGCTGGGACTACACAGGCACACAGCTGGCTTAACCTCATTAAAAATTCTAAAAGTCTTTTAATATAACATATATTCAGTTCATTACACTTCCACCCAGCAAGTATTTGCTGTGGGCCAGCAACTGCAAAGCACTGGCTCAGGTGCTGTGTTGAAAGACAGTTCCTGGTCTTAAGATATTTATAGCTTGGTGGGGGGACATTCACAACACGTAAATCAATCTGACCATGACCCAATATGGAATATAAAAAAAAGTTCTATGGGAGGGCCTGGGAAATCCAAGGGAGAGAAGGTGACATCCAGGTCAGAAAGGCTTCCTCTGGAGGTGATGGTGGAGAAGGACCTTAGGGAATGGCTGGAATGCTAACGGCCAGACAGGATGGGAAGGCATTGCAAAAGGGAGATGTGGCGTGAAGCAATGCAGAGCTTGTGTTCGGGGCGGGAACACAGGCTGTGCACATGGGGAAACTGTGGAAAGTATGTCTAGAAAATCAGGGTGGGTTCTGGATGTCAGGATGAAGTAGGTCACGTGAAAGCTGACATTGCTGATTAACCACTTCGGTATGGCACTCACCGCCCGCGACACCTTGCCCACAGCCGCCACTCATAGTCTGCACGATAGTGTGCGCTGTGCATTGATGACGAGTCTGTTTTGCTCTTGTGTGATGAGGAAAGCTTTAAAGCACTGAAAGCTTGTTTTACTTTACAGGCAGCTTGTGATGTAAATCAGAATAGGTAACATAGACATATAGGTTTTCATTACATTATTTTTAAATGTTCACAATTTTGATAAATGAAAAATTAGAAAAGTCATATCACAGCTGTCGGCTAAAGTCGCTGTGCGTGTTCATCTGTGGCTGTTGACTACAGTCGACGCTCGTACCGAAGTGGCTAATGTGAGTGCACAGGGAGACCAGACGAGAGAGGAGAGAGAGGAGAGCAGAGAGCCCGCGCTGGAGCACCTGCGGCAGCCCCGGACATCGAGATGGTGAGCACACAGGTTGGCATTTGGGAAGCAGGAAGACCCTTGCTTTACAGATGATTTATCTGAGGGAGGCAAAGAGACTGAACAGCACTTCCCCAAGTTCACCCCACAGGCTCGAGTATTCAGTCACACGCCTCAGGGGCGGCCACAGGCGGTCTCACCTGCTCTGTGTCATGTTCATGACCATCCAATCCTTGGCATAGACATTTTTCCCAATCAGATCCTTAAACATGATGAAAGTTTCCATGAGGAAGTCCTGCAGAGAACAGAGGAATATGGGTGGGGGGGCTGGGTCGCGTGCGTAGCCTTTCCTCCAGCGTGGGCACCAGGAGGCCCGTGATCTCAGAGTAAGATGTTCCCGGTGCCCCCGTAATGGCCCATGTTCCTCGTCCGGTTTCTAGGGATAACAAAATACTCTCACAGCTACCACATGACTTCATTTTTACATCGTAGGACCCTCTAAGGAAAACAAAAAGAACTGTCCACATTTTACAAATGGCACAACTGAGGATGAGAAAAATTAAACAACTCACTAAGGTCACAGAAATCAGGAAGCAGCAGAGCTGGGATGAGAACTCGGGGCGCTGGACCCCACATTTACAGCTCTTCCCTCCTTAGTCCTCTGCTGTCACATGTCATCTTGATGCACTTAAAAATAATTCACGGCAATTGTGAGAAACTGGGTGCTTTCGACAGATCTGAGCTCAATTCCCCTTTGTTTGGGTTGGAACAGAACAAAAACACTGCAGGTATCAGAGTCATAATTCTTCCCTATTCCAGAAAGGCTGCCTCGTGCAGCCTGGAAGAAGGAAGGGTCCTAAGTGGTCCTTAAAAAGAGCTGACAACCACGACTGTGATGGGTGGCAATAACTAATAATGCAAGCTCAGCCAAGAACAGAAAAACCGTCTCTTCGAGTCCAAAGGGGATTGTGAGCAAAAAGTAATTCAGAAATAGAACCACCGGACTAAAAATCAAAGGAAAAGGTTTCGAAAGCATTTTTATTAGTGAGCTAAATTTAGATATTTTCCACTGGGAGTCCTGAAATGAAAATGCAGTCCAATTCCTCTGCCATTAACCTGCACAGCCCTTTCCTTAATCAGGGGTCCTCAAACTGTAGCCCGAGGGCCACATGCGGCCCGCCAAGGACGCTTATCTGGTCTGCGGGGTGTTTTTGTCACCGCTGCCTGTCCTGCTTAGCAGCTGACTCGTCCAGGGTCCACAGTGCGCATGTGTGGAATGTGCGCCGACTCCCCCACGGCCCTCCAACGGTCTGAGGGACAGTGAACTGGCCCCTGTTTAAATAGTTTGAGGACCCCTGCAGGCTTAAGTACCACACATAGCAGTGAGAGCTCTGAGCTTGAGAGGCAGGAGGCTCAGGTTCTATTTCCAGTGATATCTTTCTGCTACACTGGTCATGGCAGTTAACCTCCCGCACGTTGGGTGCCCACTGGCACAGCCACGTGACTGATGCCGGCCACACTGTGTGACACGTGCCGTGACCCACTCGGAAGGCGGCATGACAGCAAAGGGACAGTCTTTTCGGAGGCGAGAGGCCTCACTGTGCGCTGTAGCTCTGTCGTGGAGGGGTGTAAGCCCAGGCAAGTTGCCTGGTTTCTCCAGGCCTTAGTTCTGCCACTGGGACAACGATCCTCTTTCAAATTAGGTGACACAGACGGAAGAGCTCACCACCCCTCCAGCAAGCAGGAGCTATGCCTCTTTTTCTCTTACCTTTTTCTCTTACCCTAAGCAAGGGAGCCAAACTGTTAAGAGTCTCAATTCAGAACTTCCCTATTCTACCTGCATTCTGAAGGAAATTTGGAAAAAAATATATATCACTAAAATATTTCACTGTTAATTTTATCTTCTATTACAATAACAGCAAAAGTACCCTTATACATAGTTAGTCTTCATGGGCATTAAGTACATGTCAACTTGCACACAGCTAGGCACTTCCCATGCGTGGAATTCAGCTGATACTCATGTTAGCCCTCAAGGACGCACTGTCTTTCAGATGAGGAAACTGAGGTTTCGTGAGGTTAAACAGCTTGCCCAGAATTTCAAAGCAGGAAGTGAAATGCTCAGAACTCAAACCCAGAGCTGGGTGTTCTAAAGCCTGTGCTCTCACCCGACGTATCATCGGCAGGTGGAAGAGAACACACCGATACCGCTGGCCTCCATCTCTCCCCCCACCCCTCATCTGGACCCTCTTGCTCCTCAGTTGTACCATTTGTTAAATGTGGACATCTACATACCGCTGTGGGTCCTGGGCCACCCTGCCCGCTAGAGTGGGGCCCTGGGGGAGGCCCACATCCAACATGGCTTGATGAGTGTCCACCATTGGACCAACCCTAATAATAAACACCACCTTCTCTCCAGTTCCTTGTGTTTGCCCATCACGTGGGCATCAGAGAAAGGAGGGAGCTACATATCTCTGGGTGCACTGGCCACATACTCTCAGTGTGATGTAGGCAGAAAGTAGAAAAATCTAGAATTCAAAGGCTGAAAAACCTGCATGGATGGTGGGAAGTCACTCAGAGCAAAGACTAGTACAACATGGCATCAGTTTGCTAAGCCAGCCCTATGCACCCAGCCCACTACTCAGAATCAGATAATGTTTTCTTTTTGTTTTGTTTTTTTTGTTTTTTTTGAGACAGAGTCTTGCTCTGTTGCCCCAGCTAGAGTGCCGTGGCATCAGCCTAGCTCACAGCAACCTCAAACTCCTGGGCTCAAGTGATCCTCCTGCCTCAGCCTCCCGAGTAGCTGGGACTACAGGCATGTGTCACCATGCCCGGCTAATTTTTTCTATATATTTTTAGTTGGCCAACTAATTTCTATTTTTAGTAGAGACGGGGGTCTCGCTCTTGCTCAGGCTGGTTTCGAACTCCTGACCTTGAGTGATCCTTCTGACTTGGCCTCTGAGAGTGCTAGGATTACAGGCATGAGCCACCACGCCGGGCCCAGATAATGTCTTAATGGACGGCTAAGGGCCATGAACAGTCCTCTGAAGGGAAGGTTCAGTGAAGAGGTAGCCAGAGGCCTAACCCAGCCTCTTAGATGTGTGCTTAATGGCAACTATGAGAACAATTTCCTGCTTAAAACAAAAAAGAATGGAATATTTCCAGCTGAAGACAACTTCCAAATGTTGTAAGGGGTAGATTACCCCTTTTTGCTTTGCACTCAAAAGTGATGACATCAACCATTAGAAACCTTTGCACGCCCTGCCTCCTAAAATCCTTGCCATGAACGAGAAACCACCGTCCCCTCATGTTAAACACTGTCCTTTTTCAGAGCAAAAAAGATGCTTCTAAAGAAGGGCTCTGTCTCAATCCAAGAGAGTTAGGGTGGGCGCGATGACCTTTTGGTATATGCATTGCATTTGTCTTCCAATCCTACCAAAGAGAGAAAGAAAGAATCAACTCTTTCCTTTCTGTCTTCACTATGGACAGCCACACAGTATTGGTGGTGGGTGGGAAGAGAACCCTGGATTCATGCTGGATGCTGACTTTCAGTTATTTTTATTTTATTTTATTTTTATTACCACATATAAGAAGTCTTCAGGTTCCCAGGCCCCCGTGAAGACAACTTACAATGATGTCCTGTCTGGTTTTGAAAGTGCTGATGTAGTGGCCGTAGTGGCTGTCCTCCATTTGCCGCAGGATGGCAATCATGCAAGCCACAAAACTCCCCTGGAAGGAGAAAGGAAACAAAAATCCAGGACTCCTTAGACCACTCGCTGACAAAACAAGATTCGAGAGCCATGTTCTTTGGTTTTTCCCACCCAGTGAGCTATGCATGGACCCTACCAACTGGAAACACACGGCATTCTAAAGGTCCAAAGGGCCTTTCTATTTTTTGCATTTTTGCTCTTGCTCAGTCTGGACTCGAACTCCTGACCTCAAGCAATCCTCCCACCTCGGCCTCCCAGAGTGCTAGCGTTACAGGTGTGAGCCACTATGCCCAACCTGGCTAATTTTTCTTATTTTTTGTAGAGAGAGGGTCTTGCTATGTTGCCCCGGCTTCTCTTGAACTCCTGGCCTCAAGTGATCCTCCTGCCTTGGGCTACCAAGGTACTGGGATTACAGGCGTGAGCCACTGTCAGGGAAGCTATTCTTAATCACCATATTTAAATTCGTGACTCCCTCTCCCTCACTTCCCTTATGCTGCTCATTTCTTTTTCTCCATATCGCCTGTTGCCTTCTAATGCTATGCAGTTTATTTCGTCACAGTTGTGGTTGTTACTGTTATTAATAGAATGGAAGCTCCTGGAAGGCAGCAATTTCGGTCTGTGTTGTTCGTGGTATACCTCCACTGTCCAGAACAGTGCCCGGCTTACAACAGTTTCTTAATACATATTTGTTGAATAAAGGAATGGCTTTTATTTACATCAGGGACTTGAGATCGTTCTTCTCCTATGTTCCCTAGTTGACATCTAACCTTATTAAAACATAGCAAGTAAAAGATGCTTCGTTTCAATGACGACACCTCTGGGTCTTTCAACAGTTACCTCCGGTCTCAATCATATTAATACTTTTTCTCTGGCATTGATTTAGACGTAGTAGATGGGAAATACGAGGCTGTTCCACAAGCATGCTAATCACAGGGTCTTTAAAATGTTTTGTTTTGTTTTTTTCCTTGAACCAAAGGGGCTGGGTGGTTTGCATTGGATCACTTCCCCGATATAGAAAATCCACATCATTACTGAGATCTGCTCGGGGCTATAACTGATAGACTGTGGTGTGAGGGGCCTCGTGTGAAGCTGGTCTGGAGCCACCAGCCCCGCAGTCCTCCCCACGCACAGGTGGGGCACAGGGGGCAGGGGCAGCCACGGGACCCACTGCAGAGACACTCACGATGTGGGGAGACTGCCGGTTCATCCCGATCACCGTGCGGTTGATCCTCCTCAGCAGCCGCTCCATTATCAGCTGGACGTGTGGCGCCGTGGGGCCCTGGGGGCAGAACACAGGGTTGGACACCCCCTTTCTTCTGGCTCACTTTCACTTTTCTTAAAGGAACCTTGGACAGATGAGTTTTCCCTTTAAATCTCTTCCCTACGAAGCATCTCTTGTCCAAAAGGGCAAAATGGTTTCACGGAATGATATATAACTTTACAAAGGAGATCAACTGAAAATGATCGGTTATAGCACTTAAAAGATGAGCGTGGGTGCGCAGAAACAAACGCCTCCCGGATAACCCAGACTGTTCGGGTTCGCTGAGAGCTCACCGTGGCCACCTCCTCAATAAATAGTCTTGGGGGAACATGCATTAGCAGAGGTGTTTGGTTCTGACGCTGAACAGAGCAGGATTGCCCGGGACAATCAGGCCTATGCGTGGGAACCGAAAGGCAAAAATACAAAGTTCTTGCCACTGTCTGTGTTGGGGAAGGAAAACCAAGAAATGCAAGTCAAGGGGAACGGGATGGAGTGAGTGTTTGTGCATCCTCCAAGTATGTTAGAGCCCTAGCCCCCAAAGTGACGGCGTTAGGAGATGGAGCCTTTGGGAGGTAATTAAGGTTAGATGAGGTCATGAGGGTGGGGCCCTGGTCTGCTGGAGTTAGTGCCCTTATTAGAAGAGACACCAGAGAGCTTCATCTCTCTTCGTCCACCACACGAGCACAGTGGGAAGGCAGCCGTCCGCAAGCCAGGAAGAGAGCCCTCACCAAAACTGACCTCCTGGACTGTGAGAAAATAAATATCTGTTGTTCAAGCCACCCAGTCTGCGGTGTTTTGTTATGGAAGACTGAGCAGACTGATATAAGGATTTAATATTCTGACTCTATCATGTAAGACTCTGAGCAATTATTCAACTTCGTCAACCTTCAGTTTTCAGAGCTGCAAAAGGAGGATAATAATTTTCTTGTAAGAATTAGTTGAGCTGATGTACACAACAGTGTCTAATAAATGTCTATTCTTTCTTTCTCCTTTCCTTTTTTGTAATTAGATATCACATTCATTCAGCTGCAACTTACCAATATTCAACTTGACTTTTCAAAGCCTTCATCCATCCTTGCTTCGTGATAAATATTTTAAAACTCCTGTTCAATGCTCCAATTAACTAAATGATTGCTCTATGTATTTTTTTGGCTTAACATTTTATTAATCATTTTTAAAATATTTAACTGACAAAAGACTATATATATTCAGTGTGTACTACATGTTGATTGGATATATCTGTATACTGTGTACTGATTACTGCAACCAAGTTAATGAACATATCCATCATCGCCCATGCTGTCCATTAGATTCCCAGAACTTGTTCATCTTGTAACCACAACCTTGTATCCTTTGACATACATTCCTCTATCTGCCCCCTGCCCCAGCCCCTACAGCCAGATAACCAGATAACTGCTGCTCTACTCTCTTCTTCTATCTAGTATAGATTGCACATATAAGTAAGATCTGTCTTCTGCTATATATAACTTTATTAAAGTACCAAGTATTTCTAGTTCTTCATTCCCTCCCTCCCTTGCTTTTTATTATTCATTTACTTGCTTCCCACGTCTATGAATGAAAGTGATTCACAAGACCAGCCCCTCCTGGAGATGCTGCATTCACATCCATCTACGTACCATTTCCTCACTGTGGACCTAACTAGATCTGCAAGTCACGTGCTGGGCCCTGCGTGGAGGTGTGAAAACGAGTATGGCTCCTCTGAGCACTTCAGAGACTGATGTTCCAGGGGAAGGTGATGGGGACAGAGGGGACATGCAGCATGAATATAAGCAAGCACAAGGATCCCCCCGGGGGTGGGTTCCACGGGGCAGGGCGCTTGCTTCCCTTGTTCACTGCAATGGTCCCAGCCCATCCCAGTGCCTGGTGCAAGCTTACTGAGCATTTGTGGGCTGAATTTGTAATGCAAGGTACAAAATGATAAAAGCCTCAGAAAGGACTTAAGGAGAGCATGGGGGTACATGTGGCTGTGGCCACACAGCAGTGGACTTTGACAGGAGAGAGCTGTGGGTTTAGCCATAGGGACAAGGCAGAGTGATCTTCATGTCTTTCGGCAGAAGAGAATCTGAAGATACTGGTAGGAGAAAGGCTATAGGCAAAACCCAAGAGTGGTTTTCCTCTTCTGTGGGGATACCTGTGCCACCCAGCCTGCACGCAAGTGGGGACTGTGGTTTGGGGCAAGATCCCTTTTTAACCCCAAACCCTCAGTTGCTCAGCTGAACACATGCAGCAGCAGGGTTCTCCAGCCTCCCGCCTGGGGCTCCGCCTAGGTCTGTGGGCTGCTGCTGTCTCAGGTGCATGGGGAATCCAGGCAGACTCAGCCTCATTTTCAGGGGAGCAGGGCCACACAGGAAGACCCACGATGAAAAATATAATTTCCACCAGGCTCCTGAGAAAGCATCCGCGCCAAAGAGGATATGAAATTGGGAACTTCTTAGCAGCTCAGGAAAATCTATAATAGCACTGTCAGGCACCAGAGGATAAGTGAGTAGAGGTTTCTGTACAAGATCAGAAAGTCACAGTAGGCCTCTGATTTTTAAGAGTATTTGCAGGGATGTCCACGATGAGCAAGCCAGGAAAAGCGGCCCGTGGAGGGCCCAGCAGTGAGTTGACTTCACCTGGACCTAGCTCTGCACACGAGCTTCTGGCCTTTCTCATCACCTCCAAAATGGGCACACCCTGCCCCAATGCCCGGGTGCAAAATGACCCAAGACCAGAAAGGCCATGGAATCTCTCCTGTCTGTTGCAAAGGGGTCAGCGTGAGCTCCCTGCCGCGTCGGTGACGCCTCCACTCACCACATCCTTCCTGTCCAGCACCTCCAGGATGCCGCTGAGCAGCTGCGAGCTCGCCTCGTGGTCGGGCTTGCTGGAGTTGTCGTCTAACTGGCCGCTGAGCTGGTCCGTCAGCAGCGGCAGCAGCACGTCTCTGCACTCTGGGAGGGAGAACACAGGCAGTTCACACGCAGCCCTGCCACCTCCCGAGCCACCTGCCTGCTGTCTCCTTTCTGCAACTCTCCCGAGGCCCGTTCCTGTCCCTCCAAGATCTGGAACCGGCCCTACAGGAGTGGCCCCCCTACCCCCACCGGGCCACCGAGGAGCACCTGGTTTTGGGGTCTGAACGTCAGCCTACTCACTGGATTATACAGACTGAGAAAAGTAACTCCGCCCACGAGAAAATGTGAGGACTCGGCAAAAGGTTTCAAGTATTTAACAAGTTCTCTCGCCTTTTTAAATGCCTACTTGGTAAGTGAAAGTGGAGTCATGTGAAACTAAGAAAACTAAGCAAGTGAAACACTTTTTCAAATATTTTTGCACCTGATAAAGAACATTTACTATGAAATTCCTATAAATACTGAGCTTTCCTAGTATATTTCGGTAGGATTCACAGATACCCTGCTCGTGTCTCTGCAGGTGTGTGGATTACAGATAGTAAGGTATGATCTAGTACATCTTCCTACTGGAATCGTCACTATTATAACACCTTTTATATGAGCCAAGGTACTCTGGGTGCCGCAGAAATGACTATTAACAGTGACCACTCTTTGTCTAGAGTTATCTAACGTATGCTCAAAACATCTCATTTTTTTTTTTTTTATCTCAGTTATCCCTTTTGTATCTTTAGGGGCAGAGATTATCAAAGCACATTAAGATGTTTAGTAATAACTTGTTTTCTACTTAAGAACATTCACTAGGCTTTTTTGAAGGTGTCACCTCTAACTCTGTATCCTGGGAACATTTGAAATTTCTAAGCACAAATTCACAGGGTTGGAAAATACCAGAGAAAAGAGAGGCTACCGATATGATCCAGTTTAATCCCTTCCTTCTTCAGATAGCAGCTGAGACTTTAGTGGAAGTCAGTCACATTTGTGCAAAGTTACATCATCATTAGCCAAGGACGAGGCCAGGAGAGTTCTCCCACCGACAAGGCACTCAACCTGTCTGATTTCAGAGGAGGCTGGCCGACCCGCAGACCCCCAGGCAATATACATGAACAACATGAGGTCGCCCTCTGCAACTCTCTGCCCTGGTAATAGCTCCAAAAGACGTTCCCCCAGCTGCCCGACTCTAGCAAGGCTTGGCTTTATGGGGAAGGACGAGGTATTAGAGCTCCTCCTCCTATCAGCTTTAGGAAAGCAGCACAATGACTTAGGGTGGCTACATGCCTGACTCTACTTACAAAATGAAAAGTATTTTATCACTATAGGAGATATTTTCCCCCCTCTATGGCTCTCATAGTAGTATGCTGGTAACCTGGCTCCCTTGTGCCTCCTAAAGAGAAGCCTTAATTTATAGTGTTTGCCAATTGCCCTTGTGTAAATACTTCCGTCGTGGTCAATGTCCAGCTACTACTGTGATACCACTGAACATGGAGTTGAGAAGAACGGCACATAGCAGCTCTCCAGAGCTGGTGCAAGTAGAATCCAGCACACTGCTGCCTCTTTGCCCTCTGTTTTTTGAGGTTATGCAATGACCACAGGTTGAAGAAGATGAATTTATTTAAAAGGACCATATTTCCTGTTTGCTTGTTACTTTCTGGGTTCCCTGTTTTTTGAAGACAAAATTAATAAGCCACTGGCTGATGGTTTTGATTAAAGACATGATTTTGCATGTCTTGCACACATGATTTTGTCTTTTTAGGAATTACTGGAAAGCTTGTGCCAACTTCAGCTTCTCCTTAAAACTGGTCCTCCAGGAAGTCCCTAAGTGCCACCAAATGACTGGCTAGGACATTATCAACATTTAAAAGATAAAAGTCCAATGCTGGCTGCAGAAGAAGCAGGGCTGGCATCTCAGAGTAAGCAGCAGTTTCTGGCGGAGACTCACCCGACTGCCGGAAGAGACTGCTCTCTACTATCTTGGTCATGCAGTTCAGTTTCTGCCGAACCAGCTGGTTGTCAGGAATGCTTTGAATGAACTTGCAGAAGAGCACGCTGCAAAAGAACCCCGGAGTCAGTGTTTTCATTCTGCCAAGCTGAAGGCATCATTGCAAACTTCTCTCCTCCACTCTAGGATTTGGGCACGGAGAGGTTTGTCTGCAAAACCCCCAAATGACCCGAGAGTCTGTCTCTAGGCAGTGGCAGGGAGACCATACTCCTTGCTCACCAGGGGGCTCTGCCTTAGAGCCGACTGCGCCAGCTGCCAAAGCATGTCCACTGTCCCTTTCCAGACCTGCCTTTGTGCAAAACGCCCTCCCCGGCTCTAACGTCCACGGCAGTGTGACGTTGCATTCCTGGGAGGGCGGGAAGCCAATCATTACGCACTATCCTTCGGAGCTAATTTTATGTCTGTCTGTCTTATTTCCCCAGAGAAAGTGCAAACCTCTCTCAGGGCAGATTCTGTATGTGCTTTTGTATCCTCCACAAAATTAAGCACAAAAAAAATAAATAAATAAAATAAAAATAAATAAATAAAAGCCACCTGCAGCAGCCCAGGCTCCAGCCAAGCTGGGGAGCTGCTTCTCTGTTAAACTCAAGGAACAATTTTTTTTTTTTTTTTTTTTTTGCCATTTACCTGAGCTCCACGGGATCAAACACAAGTTTGACGTCATTAATTATGCTAGGAAGGTACTTCAAAGCCGCCCCCTGTAAGAAAAACAACAAAGAACAAGTACAGAATTGCTATCTGATCCCAGGAAGAAAAGGCTGTACTCGGAACTTCAATCGGGAACTGGACACAGATACCCTCGGAATAAAAAGGAAATCTGGTGTCGCTATATACAATCTCCTAAAATCCTTTTCCTGCAAATGCAGGAAACCTCATGTTCACAGCTAGTGGGCGCTGTCCATTTGGGATTCGTTTTTCTATCTAAGGAGGTAGTTAAATGCTTAAATCTCCCTCACAAACTTGACATACAGAGCAAGAAATAAGTAATGAAGTTCAAATCTGAGTCTTCAGGGATTATGTATTTCATATTTTTAACAATTTGATGATAGTGAAGAGGATGGTGACTTTATGCATCTGGGAAGAACTAGAACTAAGAATAAAAAATCATCGCCTGTAACAGCACCGAGATCGGTTTGCTGAAATCAGGGGGTCAAACAGGGGTCACGAAAGCCATTCAAGGGATGTCGAAAAGGGTAACTTGTCTTTGGCAAACTGACGTTTGAAAATAGAAATATCTGCCGGGCATGGTGGCTCACGCCTGTAATCCTAGCACTTTGGGAGGCCGAGGCGGGCGGATTGCTCAAGGTCAGGAGTTCGAAACCAGCCTGAGCGAGACCCCGTCTCTACCAAAAATAGAAATAAATTAATTGACCAACTAAAAATATATATACAAAAAATTAGCCGGGCATGGTGGCACATGCCTGTAGTCCCAGCTACTCGGGAGGCTGAGGCAGGAGGATCGCTGAGCCCCGGAGATTGAGGTTGCTGTGAGCTAGGCTGACGCCACGGCACTCACTCTAGCCTGGGCAACAAAGCGAGACTCTGTCTCAAAAAAAAAAAAAAAAAAAAAAAAAAGAAAATAGATATATCCACTGGTAAATGACTTTTCCCTTTCCATTCTACAAGTCATAGTAAAATTCACAAGCTCTCCGTGAACCACAATTCACTCTGTTTCTCTCCCATGATGGCCCATTCTAAGTTGTCCTGGAGGAGGAGCACCCTCACTGACGGCCTTACAAAAGGAATCCGTGACGCCCCCCTGCTGACCTTGATCTTGACGGCTTCCTCCAGAGGCCTGTCCATGAGCGTGTTGAAAGCAAGAAACAACTGGCGGATTGAATTGTTAAATTCATCTCCATCTTCGCTCTGGCCGTAAAATCTTCACAAGAAAAAAATAAGAGCAGTTGGACTTTCCATCTTTAAAAGAAATTTTAAGATAGATTTGTTGGGAAGCACATGCCCCTGGCTTGTGGCTGGAGCCATGATTCCCATTAAAAAAAAAAAAATTGTTGTATCGAAAAAACAATGCTCAACCTCAGCGTGAGGAATGAGGGAAACTGCACGAAGAAGGCGCTGATAGCATCAACATCTTAGTGTAGCTACCATTACCTCAAGTAGAGCACTCGAGACTGGATGATGAACCTAAACAAATACTTCAAGGCTTTCAAAGCGGCAAAAAGCAACTCTGTCTTGCTGGAGTCTTCTGCATTCGCCACGTAAAAATTCAGTACCTTGGAGAGTTTCCTGAAAAGGGTGAGAAAGAACAATTAAGGCAATAGGCACCACAGCCCTCTGAAGCTTGGATAAGCCACGTTAAGAAGGGAGTTTGGCCTACTTCAAGTAGAAGTTGTAACTCTGATGGTATCTTCTAGAATTTGCCCTGAATAGGAAAATTAACTCTTTTCTAATTTAGTTTCCTCATCCACAGTCTGGGTTTGGAACACCCTTCTGCTTAGAAATAGGAGGAGCTTTCTTTCCCTTTGTGGGATGAAACAGAAGGGTTAAGAAATGAAAGAGGTGAAGTGAATCAAATCTCAAGGCTATTTGGTTATTTTAATCTCTGGCATGTCATCATACAGATACCTTGAGATGCTTTTTTTTTTTGGAGACAGAATCTTGCTCTGTTGTCTTGGGTAGAGTGCAGTGGCGTCATCATAGCTCACTGCAACCTCAAACTCCTGGGCTCAAGTGATCCTCCTGCCTCAGCCTCCTGAGTAGCTGGGACTACAGGTGTGTATCACCATGCCTGGTTATTTTTTTCTATTTTTAATAGAGATGGGGTCTCACTCTTGCTCAGTCTGGTCTCCAACTCTTTACCCTCAAGTGATCCTCCCACCTCAGCCTCCCAGAGTGCTAACAGCCACCATATCTGGCCTCAGATTTTCCTTTAAGGGAATAATTATGCTTGACTAAAGCAGTTGCTTTAAAAGAAGTCTAATTCCTTCCATTCCACCCAAAACCCTTTGAGATCCATAAATATGGAGCCAGCTGGAAACTTCACTGGGTACAGTTAGAAGAGCTCAATCAGATTGTGTAGAACATTCCTGGTTCTCAGCATCTCAACATACAAAAACTATTCTAGGATTTTAGATTGCTCTTTGTATCTTTCCAGAGTTTTGGGGCTAGGAATGGTCTTAATCTTGTGCTAACTCAAGAGTTTTGAGGGCACTCATATTTTACACATCCCCTCTAGGAATCTCTGAGTTTTTCTAGAATTATAAAAAACAAAAGACCCAGAGGAAACATATAGAATTGATCAAGTCTTGTAAATAAACCCAGATTATTATGCCACTTGGAGTGTCGCTTTGTCTCAGGGTAATTAAGATCCACAGGGACAGGATTTTGTCACGTGTGGCCACTGCCTTCGTGCAACGAGAGGCGGCTGAGTGGAAAGAACCCATGGCTGGAGCATTTGCTGAGAGATCGGGTCGGCGGCTGCCCTGCCAGATCAGCAGCAGCAACCAACACGAGCTGGTACAAGCCATTGCCAAAAAAACACAGAACACTGTTGACCCATCCCAGCTCCAACTGCTGCATCCACCACGTTCTGCACAGTAGCCGGGATGCCAGGGGGCGATATGCACGTACGACACCACAATGAGCTGAGCGCTCCGGGCAAAGTGCAAGAGTGGACATTAGTTGCTTTCCTTAAGTCAGGGGGGGCTTTGTGAGCCAAAGACAGGAGGACACTACAGAAAAGGCAGAGGCCACTCCTCCTCCTGCAAAAGGCAGGAAATAAAAATCTTCTCACATCTTGTTAAGAAATGCATCTTACAAAGCACCTGTGGTATAGGGTTAAGGGCACAAGCTGTTCTTCTGCCAGACTTGGTCTTGCTTAATGCTTAACGCGCTGCTTGTTCCCCTTGTTCTCTCCTCCTGCTCATCCCATCACTATCCAATCGATAAGATCCTCAGAGTTTGGTCATCTGTCCTTGACTCTGCTCCCAACTGGCTCCGGCCCCTCACCTACATATTCTGGATCCTTAAGGATATGTAGCCTTATCCAGATGGGAGGGCAGGCACTGACCCCTGTTCCAGGGTTAGGGTACTGAGACAGTTCCCTCTTTTTGCCAGGAGGCTTGGAACAGAGGTCTGCGCAGCGGCCACGTTTGCTGGACGCAGCTCCCTCCTGTTTCCCCGAGGATGCAACCCTCAGAGCACAAACCCAATTTATCAACACACGGATCATACTTACACGTACGCCAGCGTGGCACTGAAGTGCTTGTAAATGTAGGTTTCAAGTACAGGATTAAAATGCTGGAACTTGATGTCTCCTATCAGTGAAATAATAAATACCTGCCAAAGGTGAAAAATATAAATAGCAGCACGGCAAAACTCCTGGGACCCTGTATAAGTTGCAGTTTAACATCTTGGAGCCTCCTTTCCTTCCCTGATCATTTTTGGGGCATTCCCGCTCCACTAATCCACAGCTGCAGTCAATTCTTGGGGGTTTATATTTATTTAACCCGAAGAGAGACATTAGTCTGTGTCGGACACTGCATTAAATGCTGTGAGGAAACCAATCCAAGCCAGCACCCCTGGCCTCAAGGATCTGACTGTCCCAAAGACAGGGCAGTGAGGGCACCAGTGACCTAAGTCAGGGAAGAAAATGGGGCAGGAGGAAGGAGCCTCTGGAAAGGGGTTTTCTCTGCTCTAAGGATGGAGCTAGTGACACACTTCATGACACTTTTCTCCTGGGTACAGTCTGAGTGTCCCCAGTAACTGGATGTCAACAGAGTTTGGTCTCCCAATCCCCCTCTCCCCTTGTATGTTACCTCACACCGCTACAGGTGCGTAACTTATACGTAACCACACTGCACCTGCTTAAGACAGGGAAGTACGAGGGAAGAGGCACTGGGATTTCCATACGTGCCCACTGCCAGCCGCTGTGTCCTATAGGAATTTGTCTCCTGACCTTGTTGCATAGTGTCCATTAACTATTATCTCTCTTTCCCCAAAACCTGAGCCTGCCCAGGTTAGATCTCATCTGGGTGGCATTTCCTCTCTTTACCTTACATCCTTAGCCTTAATGCCTGGGCCCACTTCTTAAACTTATCAATCTCTCCAAGCTGGTGAATCACTTAGAGCTGCCACTGACTTACCTGCTCAGCTGTAACATTCAGGTGACAGCCTGCCCTGAACTTTCACCCCAGCAATGTGAAAACAAGGAATGGCTTAGACCTTTTGGCTTCCTGCCCTCCACTGCCACCTCTGGCCTGCTTAGATTCTATCACTTACCCCCGTTCTGAGTTCAGCTCTTGGAATGGGCTGTATGTTTCATTACTTTGCAGGACAAATTCAACTGTCTGCTGGGTCCATCCTGTACCCAGTGAGGCTAAGATTCATCTCTGACTTGTGAATTCAGTCTCCCTTGCGTGAACATACAAGAGCACATGTATACAACATGTAGCAATGTTCTCGGTTAAAGTCATCTCCTGGCTTGTGACTAGATGACAAACCAGGTTAACAAAGTGGTTCCTGATTTCTACTGTCATAAAGCACCTTGTTTTCCCCAATGAGAAAGAAAAAGCATATCAAAAAGCGAGATCTAGCAGGACAGAAAGAAATAAAGACCTGGAGTATAAGTCATCTGTTACTTCTAGGAATTTAGCCTAAAGACATAATCAGAGAGAGGTAAATAAATATTTAGGCAGAGAGACATGTATCACAATTTCTTATAATAGTGAAATACTGAAAACCACACAGTTGTGAGAATAAAGACTAGGGAATATGTTTAACTACTTACCAGTGCATCAAACACAAGGAAGTCATACGTTTCATTGTCTGACATTTCCATCATTATGTTAAAAAGTGCATCTAGTGTATCTTGCAAAAACTGAAGGTAAGAAAAACAGAGAGGTTATTTTGGCACTTTCATTCAGCTCCATACTGCAGAAAATTGGGGACAATCAGGTTTCCATAGAATAGGTTTAAAAATAGCATTTTCTTAAAAACTGGCACACTTGCTTAGCAATGTAGATAACTTTTTATATTTACAATGGTTGAATTTAAAATGGTAAACTAACGATAAGTAGGTATATGTCTCACTATGAATATATGCACCTACCTTAACAATCTCTCCTCCGTCCACCTCCATTAACTTCTTGAGGTTGTGTTTAATGTTCTGGGAGCTGGAACGCCAATTTAGCAAGCCTAACAGGTCCACTGGGAAGAATGACCACAAACCATAAATGTTAGACACCGATTAGAAGGAGAGACCCGGACCACTTCAGGACACTGCTATAGAATTCTCTAGAAAATAACTATTGTTTTTAATGGTGGCTAATTCAGAGAGTACCTTATGTATTCTTTTAATTTACTATCTCCTATCCAAGTCAGAGAAAACCTTGTGGTCTTCTCTCATTCTTCAAAGAGAAAAAATTAACCACTAATGTACAAGTACATAAAAGAATATCTGACTGCAGCTTGCATTTCTCTAATAACATCATAGTCATAAAAAGCAAACCCCAAAAAGCATTCTTACGTAATTTTACTACCTTTAATTTGCTGCCTTAGTTTGTCCCTGATCTACATATGGGTGGATTCAGAGGGAAAAAGAAACTTTTATATATACACATATATATGTTCATTAATTCATTTCAACCACACGACTGCACTGTAGATTTTTTTCCCCCATTTTTTAATGACAAAACTGAGGCTTTGTGAAACTAAATTACTTAAGTCACACACTGCTAAGGGCTAGTAGAAATGGAATTTACGTAGAGATTTATCTGATTCCAAAAACCAAGTCCTTGCTACTCTATCCTACTGCCTCCCCCAGCATTCTCTGAAGAAATAACCAGACAAGCACATCAGACTAGTCGCTATTTCAAAGCAAGTTAGAACAGATTCGTGGCCCAAAGCAAAAATCTGGGATAAAAACCTTGAGGTGTTTTTGGATTTAAAATGCAGAATTTTGGATCTTTAAAAGCTACTTATAGCTTTAATGAACGGTGAGCTATCAAAAATGTCACAGGTAAATGGCAGTTATTCAGACTGTGACTATATTATCATCTTGTTTAGTACAATAAGCTGCTACTGCCATTCAGAGTATTATACAGTAAAAGTAGCAAATGCGTAATTTTAATCAATGGATCTGTATAAATATCTGTAAGTAGCTGTAAATGTATACTGTTCATTAGAATAGTCATTATACTTCGTGGGTTTATTTTATTAGCTTCCATATTGTTCAGGCCCCAATCACACCTGGGTCACTGGGAATGACTGTCCTACGGCCTTATTAGATATTATCTAAATGTTACCCGAAGTATTACCCCAATTCACATTCGCATCAGAAGTGTGGAAGAATACAGGATATTCCAAATCCTTGGCAATGCTGAATGTGAAAGGGCAAGTTACAGAAGAATTCATACAGGATACGATGCCATTTATAGAAAGGAAAAAAGTATGCAAAACTAGGTAACATATTTTTCGGGGCTACAAACATAGTAAAACTACGCAGAAAAAGCAAGGATATGACGATCCCCAAATTTCAGGGCAGTAACTGCCTTTGGAAGAAGATTAGAGAACACATACTTTTAAAAAGAAAAGACAGACATTAGAAAAATCATTAGTTGTGGAGCTAGAAACATCTGTTTCTAAAACCCAAGGCTATGGCTTCTGAGTTTAGGCAAGATATTTTAGCACTTTAAAACTCAAATTTTCTGATCACCAAGCTGGAGGAGATGACGGCAGAGTTGGTACCTTCACGTCCCAGCGTGGTGGGGGCAAAGCGAAATGCCGAGTGTGCCCACCTGGCACGAGGCCCCCACCCTCAGGGACGCACACTCTTCTCTCTTTTTCCCCGAATCCAGCTAACCCATTCCCAGCCTCCCTCTGGGCCAAGCAACACGTAACTCCACACAAACTGGGCTGTTCCAGTGTTTTTAAAACAAATGGACCAAAAAAAGAGAGTCTCTGAGATCGATTTGTGACAAATCTCAGTGGCCTTTAGCCTTTTGAGCCTGAATGATTCCCCTTTAGGGGAAGGAAAAAGGCCTTTGGTCACGGTCTCAGCGAGAGGGGACAGCCACCCTCTCTGCTCCGCAAACACCCTTGAAGAGTAATGGTTTATTAACGGTCTTCGGCTTTTTATTAAATTGGTTCTTTATCATTTCCATCAAGTCGGAAGAAAGCAAATGCACGAACAATGCACGATTATCTGGCCCCGGAACGCCCTGTTCCGTCTGACGCTGGCCATGTCCCTGAGGTGTCTCCAACTGTCCCACTGTGTCCCCTTCTCCCTGAGCTCGGCCCCCAGTGGCAGGAGATAACTCGTCTCGGGTTCAGACGAGGTTCGCCTCTTCAAACCTTCGGACTGAGATATTATTTAAGATTTTTATTTTTTTTATATGTTGAGTTTTTTTCTTTTTTGAGATCTAAACAGTAGATCTCAATGGGAATGACAACACAGAGAACAGTGTCAGCCAATGGAACGTCCTGTGATGATGGAAACACTGTATATCTGCACTAATACAAAAAACACCAGCCTGCAGGAGACTACCAAACTTAAAACACGACTAGTGACTAAGGCACTGATCCCTAATTTTATTTACATTTTTATCATTTATCATTTACAAAAACTGTGTATATTTATAGTGTGCAACACAATATTTTGATATATGCATGCACTGTGGAATGGCTAAATCAAGCTAATTAACATAGGCATTAGCTTACATACTTACTTTTTCTGTGGTGAGAACACTTAAAACAGATACTCTCTCAGCAATTTTAAAGTATACAATATATTATTAACAGTATGTACAATAGATCTCTTGAACTTATTCCTCCATTCCTCCTGTCTCATTTAAAATTTTGTAACCTCTGGCCAGTATCTCCCCAAACGCTTCTCTTTTAATTTTAATTAATGTAAATTTCACAAGCTACGTGGACGTAATGGCTGCCTCATCAGGACAGCACAGGTTAAGAACATTTAGAAGATGGGTGAAGTAGACAGCAGATCAAGTGTTTAAACTGAGGACTGCAAGTTGCCAATAAACCTTCCTGAATTTTTGACTTCTGGATAACAAACAATGTAACAATATGGGTTGTCTGCAACAGAAATCCCTTTTGCTTTTCATTACAGATTAACTTTACAAACTTTCTTACTTTCTTTGCTATTCTTTGAATCTAGTCTGGAAAGGCAAATCTACTAGATGTTTAATAAGTACCGTACCTCTCAACTATCCCTTCATAGTCCTAAAAGTACATTAACGCTCTGTATAGTCTACTACCATACTTATAAAAATAATGTTTTGACGCTGCATAGGTAAAAATTTGGAAAATACCAAACAGAATAAACAAAATAAGAATTGCCCAAACTTTTGGAATTATTCCTTTTAAAGTCTTGTACAAATAATGATGATGGTAATGACAATGAGAGCTGACCTTCATATAGTGTTTCCTACAGGCTAGACACTGTCTTGTTTTCCTTTATTTTCATTTACTTCATTCTTCGAAATATATACTATGATTACCCATATTTTAAAGAGGAGGAAACCAGGTCACTCGCCCAGGATGAAACAGCTTGTATTTGGCAGAGCTGGAATTTGAACCCAGGCAATCTGGCTCCCAATTGTTCCCATGTATTTAAACAAACCTGAGATCACACCATACACAGTGTTATTAAAAAATTTGCCCTGTCCTTGACTATGTTTTGAAAGACAGTATTTAGCAGCTGTACATATTTCGTCACTTAATTATATCACGAAATTTAGTTACATTGACCCTGACTACTGGACACATTTGGGTTGTTTCCAGAATTTCCCTGTTATAAATAATAGGGGAATATCCTCATACATAAATCTTTGTGCATACCTCTCATTGTTTACTTGGGTTCAACTTCTAGGAGTCAAATGCCTCGGCCGAAGGGTCTGAAGACATTTAAAATCTCCCAAAAAATATTGCAGCCTTTAACCTATCAGCAGTTTATTGTATTTACTTTTTCCACAACAAGGGTTATATTACTGATACAATTTTGTTATGTTTTCTACAAAGCTCAGAATGTTCTCTGGCTTACAGTTTTTGGTGAGTGTGCTCTTACTTTTCTAAATGGCTCAGCCATGAACTTCACTCTGCTCCATCTAGCCACTTGTCCAAGTTGAAATACTATCCTTACTCTCCAGGCAACCACGATTCACCAAAAGAAACTTAATACTGACCACTTTTAAAGATCAACCAGCATCTGACCCCTGAGGGTACATTATATCTAAAATGTTTTGTCTGTCTTTGCACTTCCTTAAAGCAGAACTCCTGCCAGGCACCTCGCCCAAACTGTCCACAAGGCCAAAGGCAGTATCCCCCTATATCCCATATGGGAGATAGAATTTCTAAGCAAGTCTCCCGAGCAGCTACTTCTTGACTTATGATATTCAGTAGGACTCCTTAGACATTACGTAAGTTAAATAAATAAGAAGCTGTTATTGGCTATCAAACGCCCTGATACACACAAGGAGAGGTTAAAATTGGTATCAGAGATTTGAAGAAAAAAAAAAAAAGAAGTCTCCTTTGAACTATTTAGCTGCTTTTATGGAAAACCCCGACTCTTGGAAAAAAATGGGGGAGAGGGGAATATATGGAGGAAAACCACAACTCTAACAGGAAACCCTGCCGCACCTGTTCGGACAGGAGACTGATTCCATTTCATTGCCAGTCTTCCCCCACCTTTATTACTAACACCTCCTGCTGCATGTGCAGAACACATCATCAGAGCTCCTCGCTGCCTTGCACTGAAGGAAGGAAACGTAAGGCTTGGATTTCCCATAAGTCTCTGTTAATGAGTATGTTTATAGGTTTCATGATATTTAAAAATGCTGAAATGCTTTTCACCCTGTTTGAAGGATGGACAACCAAACCTCAGAAGGAGAGGTACAACTGGATCAGCACTACCCAGATTAACGTCTGAAAAGCCCCGTGAGTCTGACAGAGGAGCCCGGGAGGACCGAGCAGAAAGTGGACGTGTGTCAGTGTTGTCACCACACCTACCGTTCTGGGTGAGCTTTGTGGAGCAAATGAGGGTGGCGATCTGAAAGCTATCTTTTGTGCTGTCCTTGCTTGGGGCAAAGGTGGCCGGGGTTTTGGACGCTTGGAGCTCTTTTTCTTCCATCTCCATCTTGGTCCCAGGCAGAGTCAGGTAGAGTTTAGCATCTTCCATTTTCTTGTTGTCGCCCTAAAAAGGAAGCATGTTAGATGCTCCCACCAAATGATGGGGGACATCTCTTACATGCAAAGGAAAGTAGCTTCTATCACGAGCACAGTGCATTTCCAGAAGGAGAAGCGTGGCTTTATGTAATTATACATAAGGTCCCTTCTACCTCTGAGACACTGGGGTATCTTTCCACAGAGTCTGAGCCCAGAAAAATTATTTCATCACTGAATGAACTTGTGGTTCCTGGTTGTAAACTAGAAAGATTTGTCCAAGTCTATGCTAGAAATAATAAATATATCACAGACTAAGGTTGAGTTTCATTTTCTTGAACCCATAAATGGTCACAATGATACTTCTTTGGGTTGATGGAGGAAGCAATAACTTGCTCTGCGCCTTGCAAAGCTATTCACAAACTAAGATGTTAAGAAAAATATTCATCAGGTAGATGCAATCAAATGAGCCGCCAGACAGTGTTGGATAAATGAGATCTTCCAGCATCTACTTGATACCCTAAAGCTTCAGTGGAAGCGACAGCTCAGCAACTGTTAGAAGGGAAGGATGGGGACCAAACCCGTAGGGGAGGAAACAAGGCCCCTAGAGCAGAGAAATGGTATCTGGTTCACAGTGATATGAAAACCACATCCTACCACACTCGCCACTCTCTCTCCACGCCCGACAGTGCGACTGTCGGTGTGCCATGCAGGACAACGAAAAGGCATCAGAGGGGGCCAGCCCTTTACTACTACTGCCATGCAACACCACTTGCAGGAGAGGGTGAGATGTTTCTTAGAAGACTAATAATGCAACTCATTCTCTCCAGAAAGTGGACGGGAGACCACGCAGCTGGTGCAACCAGAGCCCTCTGGGTTTCTAGACTTTATTGGGCAAACACATACAGTTCTAGAGAGGTTCCTGATGTTTATGCACAATAAATCTGCAAGGAGCCTTAAAAGCCAGTTGAAAAGGGAGTGAATATTTTTCTCAGCCGTTTTCTGGGCCTCATTCTGTTAGCGCCACCTTATAAACCACCAGATCGTGCCTCCCATCCTGCAGAGTGGTGCCGTCCGGGTTCATCAGCTTCACGAAGGCCACCCCGAAGGCTCGCTCTGATTTGTCTCTGGCTGGAAAGACAGAAATACGTGTCTGAGCGGTGTGGAAAGGCACTGGGAGGCGACAGCCGTGACGGCTGGTTTTGCATGCTGCTCTGGGCTGTGACTTCAACCACGTCACCACAAACATGCTTTGGCAAGCTGCAAGAAACCACACGTGCCGTGTGTACCACTGAAACTGGCTGGTACTCCCCAGTGTGCGCCTCTCTCCAGCCCCTAGTAAGTGACATGATCCAACTCTACCCCATGTCAACTCCACGTTTCGAACACCTCTGGAACCTGTCCCCTTTCTCTCCCTTCCTCTGTCCCTACCTGTGTCCAGGCCACCCTCACTTTCTCGCTTTATTTTTAGAAGACCTTCCTAACCCCCCTGTCTCCAGTGCTCTCTCCATGCCGGAGTAAGGTTTCCAAAATCAAATCCAATCTAAGTCAATCGCCCTGTCTCAAAACCCTCTCTCTGGGTCTTTCGGGGGTCGGCCTCTGAGCTCACAGGGTCCCCGGCCTTGGTGTCTGAGGCTGGGATAACTGGTGGCCTGTTCTTGTCACACGGCTCTGAGGTCTGCTGTGACTCTTGGGTCCCCACTTTGGCTGAGTAGTAATCTGTCGTATGATTATAACTCAGTGTGTTTATCTATTCTCCTGCTGGTGGCCATCGGGGCTATTCCAGAGTTGGGGTATTATGAGTAAAGCTGTTACGAACATAGACCAACCCGTGCTGGCCCCTAAAAATCCCAACCAGAAACGACCCTTTAATGGTTCCTCCATGACATGGTTCAAAGACATCTTCATCCTTCACGATCTGGCTCTAGCCCTGTTAGAATCACATTGCCCAGGCGTCAAACCACCTCACTCATGTGCCAGCCTTGTGACCCCAGGCGAGTATCTGGCCTCTCTGTGCCTTAGTGTCTTTATGTATAAATGTGGCTAAAAGTAGAATGTGTCTTATCGGATCATTATGGAAACTAAACAGAGCCATGTACAAATAGAGCATCACACGATGTCAGACCTCCATAACTGCTAACTTAGTACATTAGAACCGTACGAAATGGATGTTTGACTATTTTGACCCACAGAAATGGCAATTTCACAGGGCTAGACTGATATTATTGCCCCTGCTGTTCCCACTTCAGCCACACTGAGCTCATGTCAATTCGCCAAACACATTTTCCCCTTGTCACTCTTTACTGGGCTAACGTTTACTAACTTTTAAGTCTCAGCTAAGACGTAGGAGACTGCACGCACACATCTCCCAGTCTGGGTAGGTGCTGTGTTACATGCTCCCTTACAAGTCTTTGCCCCTGTTGTGTACATGCCATACTATTCTGTACGTAACCACCCATTGTCTTGTTCATCTTCCTAACCAGACCCCAGAGGCTCTGAGTGGCAGTGTCCTGTGGCTGTCATACACCGGGGCCCAGCCTGCAGCCTGCTGTGTGGATGGTGTTTGACAAATTCACTTTGGAAGAAGGGGTTACATTTTTATGCAGTGCTGAATGAGCACAAGACACTGTCAGAAATTCCGTGATCAATCTGAAAACCATCAATTTTCTTCTCTGCTCACACTTTAGAACAAGCCATGTCATGAACTATGACCCAAGACTTGACATAGTTCTTTCATGATGAAAATGGTAGTTTCTGGAGATAAGAGATTCAACAGTTTTCTTGCTGCAGGACTTCTCAGCAACATACACTGTGAATGTCTCAGAAGGAGATATAATATATAGCATTTCCTACACCTATTTGGCTATCAAACCCTTTTTGTCATGGAGCATCTATTCACATGTCAGAGAATGCCAGTGTTAACAGAACAGATTTCAGTGGAAATTCTGATATAAAGTGATTAAAACAGACCCTGGAAACCCAGCAAAATTCACGATTCTGATTTCCTTGGCACCAAAGAATTCTGAAATCAAGTTGCCACATATTTAGTTTCCAAGTATCTTGTTCTCTAAATACACCAAAGGGCTGTAAGGAAAAGTAAATATTTTTTTTTTTTTTTTTTTTTTTTTACAAAAATACATCACAGATCTCCTAATACTTACATTCCTGAGATGACCTGTGTCGGAAGGTAAATCGTATATGACAGTGTGTGACCTCTTCTATAGCGATGGATACCTGCATAATAGCAAGAAATTAACAGTTTACAGATACACAGCACTTTGCATACATGGCTCATTTTATAGAATTAGGTTCAATTTTTAACAGCACTAATTATCATAGGGTGAAATTTGGTATAAGGTTTCAATCAAAGGAGACAGCTATTTTCAAACCAAAAGAACCTCAGGACATGATCATCTTGCTATTTATCACAGATTCTAAGTACAGAAATGTTGTAAGTTTCTAGTCTTTTCTCAAGTATGATCAGTAAATATTTCAGAGGGAAAAGACTGTTACTTTGAGGTCTATAGATGACTTTTCAGATGGCAAGACATATATTGATATGGTAATAATTAGGGTCTATAACAAAAGGAGAAGATAAAATACTGCGGGCAAAGAAGCTTTCTGCTGCTTACACATACACAGGCGGCAGGGAAACAGCACCATGGGGTAATGAGAAGAGTAGAAAATTTGTGGTGAGTAGTTAGATTATGGCATGATCATATATATCCTGGAACATTATGCAAGTAGCTAAAAATACACGTCTAAAGAACTTATGCCTTGAGATAAGAAGTTTTAAAAAGCACAATATAAATCTGTATAAACAGCATCATCAAAAACATATGAACTATATAAAATTGTTGAAAATGGTTACTTCTAAATTAAGAGATGAGTGCAATACTTTTTGTTTCTCCCCCATGGAGAGCTCACATGACTTCAACAATCAGAAAGAGCTGTTTGGAAGGCTGGGTACAATGGCTCATGCCTCTAATCCTAGCACCTTGGGAGGCCAAGGTGGGAGGATCACTTTGAGGCTAGGAGTTCAAGACGAGCCTGAGCAGGAGTGAGACCCTCTCATCTCTACAAAAAAATAGAAAAATTAGCCGGGCATGGTGGCATGCAACTGTAGTCCCAGCTACTCGGAAGGCTGAGACAGAAGGATCCCTTGAGCCCAGGAGTTTGAGGTTGCTGTGAGCTGGGCTGATGTCACTGAACTCTAGTCCGGGCCAGCAGAGCAAGACTCTGTCTCAAGAAAAAAAAAGGGGGTGGGGGAACCCAGGATTCAGAAGTGGCCTCCAGTTCAGGCTCTGACACTAGTTAGCTCTAGTATCTGGGCAAGTCACTTAATTTCCTTGATTAGTGCCTAATCAGGGAAAGGGCATTGCAACACCTGCTTCTTTTAGCCGCAGGAGCTGATATGGGGCTCAAAGGAGATGACTGATCTGAAAAGCACTTTGGAACTTGTCACACACATATTTAAGTTGAAAAGAGGCCCAGAAAACTTGGTTGGAGGCCAAAGAGAAAAAAATGTTAGGAAACTGTTTGCACAGTGTGAAAATTTCCGTTTGATTTTGGACCCTCTTGGCAGCCTATTACATCACGACAACTGTAAGTTTCTCTATTCAAACTTCTGTACATTTTATGAATGAGAATGTTATTGAAGGATGCTGCATTTATTAAAGATGCATGCTCTTCTACAGAACTATAATTACACTAAGTTCTTATTGCATACCATCGGCAACGTACCTAAAACGTCAGGGGAGGTAGGAATGATTTGGAGGTAAAAAGAAGACAGGAATCTAAACGTGGTTTAACAGATGACAGGGGTGACCCAGGACTCATTCTCACCTTGACAGTCTCATACCAACAGGGCTGCTTGACTTGGTAATAGACGACCGATTTGTACTCTGAAATGCCTTCGTATCCTGCACCTGGATGAATTGCTTTCTTTGGATGGAAAGAGAAAATGAAGAGGGGACAATTTTGTTCAGAAAAGTAAAAGGACTCCACACAGCATGCATGACTCCCTGATCCCCCAACATGTCCACGTATACCCTATGCCCGCATCTCTAAGCTAAGTTTGGGGTGAAGAGTAGAGAATTTCTACCGCTTCATTTGAGGGGCTGAGTGTATACATCTGGTAGCAGTTATGGGACACCCAGCACCATCAGAATACACTGTCTTTCCTGTAACTTCTCTGTCTTCCATCCCAAGCCATGCACTCCCGATTCCTTCCTCTTCTTTTCTCTCTCAGGGAACAGGTGGCCTGGTGACGGTGACTACAGTTAGATCACCTGTGCAGATGCACCACTGTCTGGGGGAAGGGGTTTCTCCTTCCTGTCTACATTCTGCTTTGGAGGGATGGTGTGTGGGTACGGCACAGTTACTCAAACTCAGGGATGCATTGTTTCCTAGGAATGAACCAGTTAGTGCAGTAGAACCAGGACTCCATGGGGCACTTCCAAGCTAGTTGGTAAAGCTATGTAGTCACCAGCCAGGAAAAGACGTATACTTGAAATGAGCTCATCGGGTTTGAGGGCTCTTATCAATGGTATGAATAAAACACTCCCAGCTGGGTGTGGTGGCTCACGCCTGTAATCAATCCTAGCACTCTGGGAGGCCGAGGAGGGAGGATTGCTTGAGGTCAGGAGCTGGAGACCAGCCTGAGCAAGAGTGAGACCCCATCTCTACTAAAAATGGAAAACTTAGCCAGGCGTGGTGGTGCACATGCCTATAGTCCTAGCTACCTGGGAGGCTGAGGCAGGAGGATTGCTTGAGCCCAGGAGTTTGAGGTTGCTGTGAGCTAGGCTGATGCCATGGCACTCTAGCCCAGGAGACAGAGTGAGAGACTGTCTCGAAAAAATAAATATAAATAAAACATTCCCATACAGTGGGCAGTGCCTTCTGTTTACCTCTCTAACACAGAATCCCACTTGACTTTGCAAACCGTTTGGATGTGTGTTTCCTTCAAAGATGAGAACAATCATGGGACATGGTGGGAATATACTTCATCGCTCCTTAAGCACTGACGTAATAGGACACTTGGGGGGTTGGATGTAGCGAGAGCCTGATCCTTGGATTCCAAAGCAGGCAACTGTGGCTCATACCAGAGGAGCCAGATTTCCGTCCTGGCCACGGAGCCCTCCTGTGACCACGCCCTGCCAGTCCTCCTCTTCGATGTCAGAATCAGGACTTAACGTCTCTGTGCAGACAGAAAGCCGCCAGACTTGGAGGAGCTCTGGACCAGAAATCAGGAGACCCGGATCCTCCCCCAGCTTTGCCACTAACTGCCGTGTTTCCCAGAGAAACGAACTCATCCCTTTTGGGTTTTCTGCAGTTTCCTGGTCATTAAAACTAAAGAGCAGTGGTAGCTGACTTCCACCCAAGGGCTCGTCTAGTTTAACAGCCCCTGATGGACACGTCTCCTTTGGTTCTGTCACTCAGGAGAAGAAATGTGCCTTCCTGCGCCTTTGGAGCACTCGGGCCACTTCGCTCAGCCCCAGGGGAGCCGAGCAAGCTTGAAAGTGGGTGAGTGACTTGGCAATGACAAAGCACCTCCCCGTGGGAAGCACACACGTGACATCACTCATGGCTGGAGTTACGTCCTAGCACCCTGTGGACACTTAAAAATAAGCATCTCAATGGCCTCGTTGGTAAAACTGGTCATTGCTAACCACAAGTTTAACAGGTTTTATTATTTCTTTCCTTGTGAAGAACCAAACCCACCCCGATGTGGAGAAGAAATTAAAATAAGGCCAAAAGTCTACAGTTATCGTAAAGACGGGGGTGGCGACAGTGGGATTTCCGGGCGACCCCGCCTACCTCCAACACCTTGCCGTCCTCGTCATGCACAGACATGGTCACCTCCACGTTCTTCGGCGTCTTCTTTTTCCCTTTGTCAAACTCGCCGTGGATGAGGGTGACATAAATATCATTCCGGACGTCTCCTGCAACATGACAACCCATCCCGTGAGTGTTGCTGAGAGATGACATTTTTAAGCCTCAAAATGTAATAAGACGACACAGAAGATAAATAAAATATGAAATGGTCTGGCTTTATAATGAACTATTCATACGACAAGAATCTTTTATGCATATTTCTCTTTTCAGCTTACCTCGTTTTACTTGTCCACGCATACCACGCCAGATTTCAAAGAGAAACGCGTCTTGCCCAAAGAATGTATTTCTCTATTTTTTCAGATTCCTGTCTTGCTATAGCAGTTAAAACTGCCTTCAGTTAGGGAATATTAGCAATAGTTATTTTTTTCCTGCACTGCTACTTTTTAAAATTTTTATTTTTAATTATGGGTCTATAATAGTTGTATATATTTATGGGGGTGCATGTGATATTTTGATACACATATACAATGTGTCATGATCAAATCAGGGCAATTGGGGTATCCATCACCTCAAGCCTTTATCATTTCATTGTGTTAAGAACATTTTAATTCCATTCTCCTAATTAGTTTAAAATATACAGTAAATTACTGTCTATTTTGCTACCGATTTCTAGATCTTATTCATTCTAACTGCATTTTTGTTCCCAATAGCCACTCTCACTTTATCTCATCCCTCAAGACAAAACTTTTCCCTAGAATGTTGATGAACACGTTATTAGAGTAAAATAGCTCTGAAATGGATGAAATAAGCAAAGAACTATCTTTTTATGAGTAAGAAAACCTCATTTTATAACTTTTGTTAATTCCAAAAATATTAATTTAATATCCACTACATGAAGACAATGTGTGCAGCAACAAATTATTATTGTCCCTTAATTTCCCAAAGGATGAGTAAGATTTTGTATTGTTTGAAAAGAGAACCTGAGTTTTTCATGCAATAGATAAGTTGGTTTCCCAGAATTTTTCTAACATGACATAGTTGACTTTCTGGAATTTTAATTAATATCAGTTAGTTTATATTAATATATATATAAAGTTCATCGAGGGACTAATTTACTTTGACTAGAATGAAGATTAAGAACTTAAGTGGGTGAACTCATTGAATTCAAGAGAACACGTATGTCGATCACCCACATACGATGGCAGAAAAGATGAACCTAAAGCAAGAAACTAGAGAATGTTTACATTCTTGTCCCCACCAAGAATGCGGAGAGCCAGAGCTCAGTGGGAGCTTAAGGGAAAGGAGCAGGGGGTCCCCCCCAGATTGGGCAGAGCAAGGAGCCCACACGCTGGAATGTCATTATGAGAAAAGGGACACGCAAACGAAGCATATTCATCTCTTGGACTAAGACCCTGTGCTATTTGGGAGTGTTTGCATGGAGTATAAAGGAAAAGAGAGTGAGGAGAAAACTCTGAGCGATGTTTAAAAGCATCATCTTGGGCTTGTACGCTGGGTAGCTTTTCAAGGGACCGCAAGCAACCGTGTTTGCCTGTTCCACTGTTGTCGTTCCACGGAACATAAATAACCAAATCTTACGGATCCAAGTGGCCTCAGCTGTCCAGTTAGAAGTGACTACTGCCTGGGAGGAAGCAAACAGGTGAGTAAAAGCTGTTTACCTGGCAGTATTATTTCCGGAAAGCCCATTTTCCGGGCTATTGCTGTTGATCTATCAACCAAGTGTGAAAAATTCTTCTGGACCTGTGTCAGGTCACCTGGCAACAGCTTCAACGACACCCAAAGGCCTTTAAAGAAACAAAGGATCAACTTTTAGTTCTCTGTGTGACCTATATAACACATATGCGTAAGTGTTGAGAAAAACATGCAAGTTGTATAGTAATAACCGGATACCTTATTATAAAGACATAAATTCTTCCCCAGTTAACATAAAATTTTAATAACACTCCCATCAAAATCACAACAGGGCTTGAGAATTTGGCAGAGATGTGAAAAGATGTTTATTTTGGGGGAAAAATAAGTAGAAATAGGCCCTATCACACACCAAAATAGATTTTAAAGCTACAATGCAATGTATGATACTAGTGATTAAAAAGATATGTAAAACAATGAAATTAAATACTGTAATATATAGCAATTTAATATATGGCATAAGAAATATAACAAATCATGAAAAAACCCAATTTCATAAATGTGCTGGGATCATTTTCTTGCTGCTCAAAGCAGAATTTAATTTCACACCTCGTATTTTCATTAAAATAAATTCCTAACATAAGTAGGAAAAATACAAAATTAAAAGAAAAATTACATATACAGTTATTAAACCTCTGAGAATGAACCACTTTTCTAAAGAGAAACAAATGAAAAAATTTATAAAAGTAAAAGAATTATCTATATACAAACTAAAATATTTTAATATACATAAAGTAAAAAGCATACTACAAAATGGTAACATAAGAAATTATGAATTTATATCCATTAAAAGAAAAACACTAAGATTCTCACAAATAAACAGGACATGAACAGACAACTCACATGGAAGTAAAAGCAGCTCATAAATATTTGGCAAACCAAAAACTGCAAAAATATGTGTCTTAAATAAGAAAGATTATTATCCTCATTACATAAAGAGCTCATATAATCTCAGAAGGAAAATTTTAAGAAACTCATAAATATATATTAAGAATAGATTAATTCACCTTCAAGTCTTTCTTAAAATGCAAAAGAAGTATGGGAGTCCATGATTTACCTTTTGACAGGTAAAGACATTCAAAACTCAGTCCGCAAAGTGAGCAAGAGTACAGATGGATGAACACTCAGACGTGGTGATTAGTACCCACTGGTAGACGTCTATGGCAAGCAACCTGGCAATGTGTATATCTATGGGATTAACACACTGACTGCCATGTGAGTTGTATTTAACTCAGGCTAGTTTTGAGCCGGGGCCACATGAAGCAAAACCCTGCAGTTGGTTTATGAAAATCTTACTTGTTGATGTTCTTATTGTTATAATTAATATTGACAATTTAATTCTAAAAATGTGGATTGAATTGTATATAACTCATGCACAGAAACAATAAAAAAAAAATAACGAATTAGAAAGGATCATTTGTTTTAATAAAATGTCATGGCCCCAGGGAAACATTTTCTTCCTCTAGTATGGCAGTTAATGTGTTAAGCTTGTTTCTACCATGTGACCCAGAAATCTTACTTCCAAGAATTTTCTTGAGGAGGTAGTCCTAAATATTGAAAAAGTTGTATGAACAAAGATAGTCATAGCATTATTTAAATTTATAATTGTGAAATATTAGACAATACTTAAGTGTTTATGTAGGGGATTCAATTTTCCTATACCTAAACAATAGAATATTATGCAGCCACAAAAAATATTTGCGAAGAACATAAAAACAGTTGGAAAGTGCTTGTTTTGTCAAGCAACAAGAAAGGAAAGGACTTTTTTCCAGTTTTGTTAAAAAAAAAACCACATATAATAATCTATTTAATATAAGAGTTTTTCACTGTAATTGAAATTATATTCTTAACTTTAAGAGCTCTAAAAAACCTGAAACATATTTAGCTATTTGTTTTCAGATTCCATTTGATTTAAAATGCAATTTCAATAAGCAGAACTTCTCTTAGTTAAAACTGTATCAACAGAATGTTATGCAGAGATAATAAAAACTTTAAAAGTTCTGCATTATTTTATATTTATACTCACATTACTTTCCTTCATATTAATTCATATTACTTTCCTTCCTCTCAAATTTAGGAAATGTAATGGGATAAACCTATTCAGAGTGGAACATAATTATTCCCAAATCTCTTTTTTGTGTGTGTTCACCTGGAGTCAGCATCGGGAATGACGGGTAGACAAAAGTGAGGAAAGATTCAGGAGGTAAAAATTTGTTCCATATGCCTGTAATCCTAGCACTCTGGGAGGCCGAGGCGGGAGGACTGCTTGAGCTCATGAGTTCGAGACCAGCCTGAGCAAGAGTGAGACCCTGTCTCTACTAAAAATAGAAAGAAATTGGCTGGACAACTAAAACTATATTGTAGAAAAAAATCAGCCAGGCATGGTGGCACATGCCCGTAGTCCCAGCTACTTGGGAGGCTGAGGCAGGAGGATTGCTTGAGCCCAGGAGTTTACGGTTGCTGTGAGCTAGGCTGATGCCACGGCACTCTACTAAGGGCAACAGAGAGAGACTCTGTCTCAAAAAAATTTTTTTTGTTCCATAGAATTTACTAGATACAACTGTGATCCAACTCACCACTGGGCGTATCTCAATGTTCTTCAAGTATTAAAAGCCTGTGATAGGAAGAGCGGTGGGCGGACCCCAGCACCAGCGGAGGCTGTTTGGTATCAGAGAAAGATAATGCAAGGGCAGGAGTCCAAGGACCCAGCTCTGCATGTCCCCCACCACCACCCTAAGCAAAGTCCCCTCCCAGCTCAGTAAGACAGGGCCACCGGGCTGTGTACCTTGTCCTTTGTGATTCACTTCCTTGGCTGCTATCACTTTGTTTAAGACCGAAGTGAGTGGCTCATTCTCCCCGATCACATGCGACGTTATCAAGGGCGACATGATGAGCTGCCTCTGGCGGATGTAGGTTTCCATTGCGATCCTGGGAAAGGCAGCAATCAGGGGTGAGGAGGGAAAGGAAGTCTCTGCAGCACAACCCCTGATAGACCCTTTCCATCTTTCCTTTATTTTGCCACTGGGCATCTATCTTAAATTCATCTTGGAAATGACTTGAGGCAAAGAGAAAAAAATATATAAACAAAGCCAACAATAAACAAAACTGAAAGCCAAATGTTAACAGCTAAAATCACAGGCAATGCTCCATGCTCCTTTGGAGGTAGAAGAGGCTGCTGTAATGGGATTTAAGGAGGACGGCAATAAGCTCCACTTGAACGCTCACGTCAGGCCGAGGCTCAGAAAGGGTGATCAAAGAACCCAACGCAGCCCCCTTTCTATGCACGCAGACATGCTCTCAGTCACTGCAGATCTGCCTGGACAACAGTCCCCTGTCTTCTGCGGCCGCCACATGCAGGCCAGCTTTCTCTGCAGGGCTCCTGGCACCCTGAGAATAACACACACTGCATGTGTGGCTGCAAAATGGGACTGTTCTAGTCTGAGATGTTGGTTTTTATTTTTTTTTTCCCAAATGACTCTCTCTAGACAGATTTCCAACATACACATACAAAACCCTCCTAGAGGAAAACGCCATAAAGGTTTTGAAGTAGGTTATGAAATAGGTTACGAAGCGGGTTATAAATCTTAGGAGTCAAATGCCAGAGGCTGCCACGTGCGTCGTGAACGCTTTGCTGTGGCTGAGTGGGGAGCAGTGATGAAATTAGGGCTGGGTCCGTCGGGGACTCAAAGCATGTATTATTTCACAGTGGGGACAATCTCAGGGCTCACACTGTGGCGATGTGGCTGCTGAGGAGAGCTGGGGTTCAGAAATTAAGCAGGCGGGGACATAACCAAAGAAAGAAACCCACCGTGAAGGTGCAAACAAATATAAAGATGTATATTTCAGGTATATCCACGAATGCTGCTCCTACCATGTAAATGTGCACATATAACAATATTAACACATATATACATATACAATACATTACATATGCATAGGACGGGTCAGTTCTGGTAATGTTTCCAGTGGCCACCAGGCCACCACCCCCTGCGCTGGTGCTGGAGCCAGTCACACTTGTGCCCCACGGTTACAGGGACTGAGATTTGCTCCCAACAGCTCCCCAGTGGCCCACCCACGGCTCCAGCTCCCGAAGCTCAGTATGGGGGACCCTTTCATGCACTGCCGGGCTGGCTGTCCCCCGACTTGCAAGAACCCCAACCCATGCGTTCATCAGCTCTTTACTCCTTTACCTCCTAACTTGCTTCTCAAAGTGTGGGTCCCTGACCAGTAGCACCAGTAATCCACTGGAATATAGTTAGACACAGACCTACTAAATCCAATTCTTTATTCTAGCAAGACCTAGGCGATTCGCATGCACGGCGCAGTTGGAGAAGCCCTGTGCTGTCCCACGTGATTCCTTGCCTTCCGTGACGCCGGTTCCATAAACACTCTGGCACTTCTGACACCAAAATGGCACCCTTCTCAGGATTCCAGTACAGACAGACCTGTGTCTTTTGTTTTAATTAATATATTCCTCTGGTCATCTCTGTAGAATCAGGGAAGTTTGGTTTACCATCTTAAATGAGTCCAAGGTAAAGGACATTGAAGAGAGTCTTCTGTCCAGCTCTTATCTGACAATCTTCCCTAACCAGGAAAATGACTCCCCGCACCTAGTTCTGCGATGACACGCCACCCAGACGGCTAATTCGGGTCTCAAGTCACCTGGGAGAAGTGCCAAAGTACTCACTGCTGAAAGGGAATAAAATGCTGCTTTTCTTCATCGTCCACCTTCCCGTGTATGATATCGGTAATATCCATCACTAGGAAAGAGATAAACGCAATTAAAGAAAGTAATTGCTTCATGCTTCAGCACGTTACTACGGGAAAGGACAGGACCAGCAGACACAAAACACCAGGGCAAAAAAGACACCAACCAAACAGGGACGTTTCTTTTATTTCTTTGCCCCTGGATGATTCCCAGTGTATCTAGCCCAGCAAAACGTGCTTGGAAAAGGCTTGGATTTAACTGGATCAAGCCTGCAGACTACCCACTTTAAAGATTCTATAAGATGGAGTTGCTACATTCTTGGGAAATTTGACACCGGATTACTTTTTAGTAAGCCTGCATTCAAAGCCACGGAGAACATATATTTTTGGCTGGAGTGTCAGAAAAAGACCTGGAGAGAGACACTCAAGACTGGAAGTGGCCAACGGTCTCTTTGATTGGACATATTCTCACCTGGCCTCCACATAAGCCGGGTCACCAGTAGCACAAAATACATCATACAGTGATTGGCTCCTCTGCACATAAGAACAGCTCTTAATAGTAAGGCACTGTTCTAGGCCTACTGCATGTGTCATCCTATTTACACACATATCTTAGCCCAAGTTTGAGAGATGAGGAAACTGAGGCACAGGAAGTTTAAAGAACTTTCCCTAAGTCTTGAAGTCTTGCCCTAAGCCAGGGTATGCATCCAACGGTGATTACAGAGCCAAAGCACATGCCACCACGCCCCGATGTCTAGAGAATTAGTACGTGGACCACTCCGAAGCTGCTAAAATTAGGCAGGGCTCCCGGCACTAAGTGATCCCTGGGTTAATAAATTACAGTCTGGCCATAAAACACACATGAACAATCTACTCTCCAGATATCCTGCTTTGACATTAAAAAGAAATACAGCTATCTGAGACAACACTCATAATGAAAAAGAAAGGTAAGGAAAGAAATGCCTTCTAGAAAGTAACTCAGACAACACAGAAGGCTTGGAACATAATAATGTGGGTGAGAAGAAGATGCAGAAAGCTGGATAGCACGTTCAACGTGCTGTCAGCCTGTCATGGAACCCTGCAAGAATTGCACCCAAAAAAAAAAATGCAGAGAAATTTTTATTTGACCTCCCAAATAGGCAGCTCATTTGTCAATGCCATCGTCTGATTACTCCTGAGCTCTGCTGATGCCTGACATCAAGGCTCAGAGAAAATTAGTCTCCTCTCCCTGCCTACAATGTTCAACACCCCCAAAACACACACACACACACACACACACACACACACACACACACACCCTGAAATAGAGAAGGAAGCAAAAGCTCCAAGCTTGAGTCTCTCTGGCTCATTTTGAACGACAATGGCCTTGAACATGCCCTACCTACCTCCTTTTATGGAACAATAAATAAATTGTCCTATAGGTGGCTAAACATTCCTGGCCCGGGGCTCCCTGCCTTCTCTGAGACATCATTTTAATTCTCTGTAAAGAAGTAATGCTGTCCCCTCTGGTCAGAGCTGGAGCAGCACGTGGGCCCCAGGGGAGCCAAGGGGTGCATGACATAGCAAGTCCCCTGGGAGACAGAGGCCACCTCGCCCTCCACACACCCCACAGGACCAACCCTGAGAACATGGAGCATTGGGGCCCTTGTTGCAGAAGCAGAATTATGACATTTCATAGCTGTCAAGCTATCGGTGACCAACATGTCAAGACAAGACCAAGAATCTATTTCCTCAATTGCACAAACTACTGGGGAAGATACAGGACCTCTTGGAAGGTTCTGGGGCCTCGTGTAGGCCAAGGACCCTCTCTGAAAGCATTCAGAAGTTAACACAACATTGCCTTCCAAGAGTAAATTTCCTAGACAGGCAAACCATTTGCCAGAGAGTTTTTTATGCCCCTCAACTCAATATGCAGATGGAGGCAGGGGTATCCCAGCAGTCATGTCTGAGGTTCTGCTGTGTATCAGACACTGTGCTGGGCACCAAGGAGGAAGGAAAGGCACATGAGCTCGGTAAGGACACAGAGTACAATAGAGAGCTGGCAGTCCCAGGCAGCAAGTGCCATGTGCCTAATGCCAACGATGACAATGTGACCTGTCTCTCACTGTCCCTGGGCAGGCCTGCCCTCCTCCCTTCTTCTTTCCCCTTTTCTTGTTCCCTTTCTGCTAATTTTTAAAATTGTGGCAAAGCACACAGAACATAAAATCTACCATCTTGACTGTTTTCAAGTGCACAGTTTGGAGGCATTAAGTACATTCACACTGATGTGCAACCATCACCCCCCACCCCCAAATCCATCTCCAGAACTTTCTCATCTTTCCAAGCTGAAACTCTATCCCTGTTAGACACTAACCCCTCATTCCCCTCCGCCAGGCCCTGGCAACCCCCATTCTACTTTTTCTCCATAAATTTGACTCTTGTAGCTGCATATAATATTTGTCATTTTGTGGCTAGCTTATTTTACTTAGCATAATGTCTTCAAGGTTCACCTGTGTTACAGTACATGCCAGAATTTCCTTTTTAAGGCAAAGAATATTGCAATATACATATAATATACACCACATTCTGTGTATCCATTCATGCATTGACGGGTTCATGTATTGGGTTGCTTCTGCTTTTTGGCTATGGTGAATAATGTTGCCACGAACACCTCCTCGAGACCCTGCTTTCAATTCTTATGACGTGGGGCTGCCGGATCATCTGGCATTTCCATGTTTAATGTGTTGAGGAACTGTCATCCTATTTTCCGCAGTAGCTGCACCTTTCACATTCAGCTCTGGGCGTTTCTCTTACCTGCAACCCCAAAAGGTCTCCGGAGCCCACAGGTGTGCTTCTTGCCTTCCTTCAGCTCCATGTGGCCCACGCGGACGATCTGGCACACGAGGCTGATGCGGGGCCGGATGAGGTCCGTGCTGCTGAGATCCTGCAAGGGGCAGAGAACGTGCAGGAAAGGAGGGTGGGCTGAGTCAAGCTGCCACCTGCGTCTCTCTTTCCTTTGCACCCTACAACAAAATACCATTCAGAGCACAGCCCTCAAGGCCCAAGTACCAGAACGACTCCTCCCTTCCCCACGTCCATCCAAGAACTACCACGGCAACAGAGAAAATGATTTTGTGTTCATAAAAAAAGCACTTTTTTTGTTCCCCAGTTCTTACTTCAAATTTACAAATCAGATCATAGTCGATCTAAAGTTTCCAGTCGATCAAGTTAAGTAAGATATTGAAAAATCAGGACAGTCATTGCTGCTGCTGTATAGCCTTCCGGGACAGTATCTCAGTACAGGATGCATTTCATTGTCAAATGAAATAAAAACCTGCCCAACGCTGACATTTATTGAGTAGCCACAAGTCTACGACTTTTCATCTCATCTTTAAAACAATCCTAAAAGGCAACTATAACACAGGCCCTGCTTTCTGTAATTATTCCCCTGATTTATGAGAAGTATCCATTCAGAATATCTACATATATGTTGAATAACCAGAGATGTGTAGATGAAACATCTTTATGTGTGTGGCTAATATTCTTAGAATACTAGTTCATACTCTTCAGGATGGGTGAGTAAACCCAGGAACGAGCTCACGCATCTCATTCAATTTAACATGAGAAATAATTTAATCAGATCCCAAATTGTTTTTGTGAAACAGCTGCCCGAGGCCTAGTTACTGAATGAAGAATTACTTTTAAAGCAATCACTCCAAATCCATCCCCTGTAATGTAGTTAACTCACGTCTCCACGATAGGGATATATAGCGATGATAACATCTATCCTGAATTTCTATTCTAGGTTCTGCAAGGCTTTTGTTAATAAAAAAATAAAGACTCCAGGTAACTGGTTACATAAGCTGCGGAACACTGATTCAGTAGCCCTCCCTGAGCCAAGGTGGGTGTGGTCCAAGCCCCAGGGATGTTTAAAACCACAGACAATACCTTACCGTACACGTACCATGTTCTTTCCTACACAGACACACGTATGACAAACTTTCACCTTTTCACTTAAAAGAAGCACTTTACAGCTTCCCTTCAGCACATCGGAATGGCGAGCTCATTCCTCTTGTGCCTCGGTGCCATATTTAGGTACCATAAGGGTGACTTGGACACAAGCACCGTGATGTTGGACAGTCAATGTGACCGCTGAGATGGCTCCTAAGTGACTAACAGGTAGGGAGGCCTGCAGCTCAGGGACAGGATGGCTCAAGATTTCATCACGCTACTCAAAACAGCGTGCATTTTTAAAACACATAAATTGTTTGTTTCTGGAATTTTCCATTTAATATGGTTGGACCATGGTTGACTGCAGGTAACTGAAACTGTGGAAAGCAATACTGCAGATAATGTACTATTAAATAACACGTGATCGTTTATAAATGAAGTTTCCAAAGAATGTTTAATGACCAAGGACATGGTCATCACATTTTATTTAATAGAAAAGTCAGGACCTGAAATTTACAAGATGGTCCTAATTGAGGGGGGAGGGGACGAAGTGCAGCTATTCTAAAACGGTATTGATTAGAAGATGGACCAAAGTGTCAATATTACCCCTTGCAATGTGTTTTTGTAAATATACCCATGCGACTGATGAATGCCTTTTAATTTTGGGGGAAAACCCACCTAGCTTAGGACTGAGGAAATGCTGTGTGTGTGCTGGAGGGGCAGAGAGAATTCTAGGAGCTTCTGTGCCTGCAGGTACCGGGTGGTGGAGACACAGGTGGCTCCGTGCAGGGACAGGGATCCCCAGGCTTGTCTGGGGGATCCCTGGGATGCTCACAGAGGAGTAAAAGTGAACCTGTGCTGGGGCCATGCTCCTCCCTGTCACTTCCTTTGGCGCATTACCCTAGACTCTGCCCTGAGAGGAGCAGCAGGGGGAGCGAAGACACACGTGTGGCCTCAAGGAGGGAAGGAAACTGAGGGCAAGTGTCCCCTTCAGGCCACACGGGAGGGAGTGATCCCTGCCCACCAAGGTTTCTCAGGGCGGGGCGGCAGCTCTGGAGCATTTTAAGAACTGATGTCATTAAAAAGCAAGAGAACACCCCCCCTGCAAAGGTTCCTGTGCCAAGAGACACAGAGTCACCTTGCCCCCCGCCCCCCAAACCACAGCCCAATACGTTTCCTTGCTCTGAGCCACAAGTAGCAGCACTTTGCAGGAGAGGAAAAGCTCACTCGATACATACTCACAAAACCAGGCTAGGTCCTGCATTTGCCCCAACTGTAACCTCTTCTAGAAGCTTCTCCTCCCACCCCCATTATCTGTGCAGCTCACTCTAATCAACTTCACGCTGTAGCTCCTTCTCACAGAGGCCTGCCCTGGCCAACCTACTTAAAACAGCACCCCTCTGCCAGCCTGGATCACACTAGTCCCCCCAAAGCACTTAGAGCGTCTAACATTCTACATAATTTTCTCATTGATTTGATTTTTGCTTATTATCTGTATTTTGTTATTATTTTGTTTATTATTATTATTTTGTCCATAGGGACAAAAGCTGATCGAGAACAGGGTTCTTCCCCCACCCCCAATGTGTTCACAGATGTAGCTCGAGTGCCTAAGCCAGTGCCCGGCACCTATTAGGTGTACAATAAATATCTGTCGAATAAATGAGTGGGCTACTCCTGTAGGGGATTAGGATGATGTTTCTTTTGATCTTTCATGTTTTCCTCTACTCATGATGTGAATCCGCTCCCACCCTAAAGAAGGAAAACGACTCGGCAGAAGGCAGGACTTACAGTGAACACAGCTTGGAGGTTGTTGAGTTTCTCTATTTCCTTAGGCATCCCGTTACTGCCCCAACGGATCAGATAGTTCTCACTGGCGAAGAAATAAAGAAAAATTATTCTTTTTTTTTTTTTTTTTTGAAACAGAGTCCCACTCTGTTGCCCTGGCTATAGTGCTATAGCATCAGCCTAGCTCACAGCAACCTCAAACTCCTGGGCTCGAGTGATCCTCCTGCCTCAGCCTCCAGAGTAGCTGGGACTACAGGCATGCACCACCATGCCCGGCTAATTTTTTCTATCTATTTTTAGTTGGCCAATTAATTTCTACTTTTAGTAGAGACGGGGTCTGGTTTCGAACTCCTAACCTTGAGCGACCCACCGGCCTTGGCCTCCCAGAGTGAGAAAATTATTCTTAATGAGAGCCAAACCGTGAGTACAGACTCACAAGGGTACAAGGAAGGGCTGGAAATGCTCCAGGAAACTCAACAGGCAGCAGTGATAGGAGCCAGGATGGGACCTGAGACCACACCAATGGCCACCCGCAGTGACCTGGCTTTGGCGGGTGCCCCTGCTGCAGCTCCCAGGGGCACGTCCCACACAGACCCCGCTTGAGATGGGAACACACAGTCGTTCCTATGGGACACTTCCTTCCACCCCAAATTCTTTGCATGAAAATTTCAGCTTTGCTGGATTAAGAACTTAATTATTTTATAACCACCATTCTGCATCCTGTAAATCCACAATACCACACTCGAAAAAAAATTTTTTTAAGAAATGAACAATTAGTAATTACTTGCAATAATCACCTTCTCAAAAATAGATCCATTATCCTAGATGCTCAGAAGCAGTGCCAGAGCTAGGGGCAAACAAGGCCATTATCATTCCCTATAGTCTTTAAAAAAAATTTTTTTTAAATAGACTTTATTTATTTTAGAGCATTTTTGGGTTCACAACAAAGTGGAACTGCAGGTACAGAGTCCCACATAGCACCCCTACAGACACAGCTTCCTCTGCTAGCAACAATCCCCCCAGTGCCAGAGTGGTGCATTTGTTACCACTGATGAACCTACGTGGACACACTGGGCACCAGTTATCACCCAAAGTCCACAGGGTACACTGGGCTCCTTCTTGGTGTTGCCCACTCTGTGGGTTTCAAATGCGTAACGACACGCACCCACCCGCCCATTGTCACACAGAGCAGTTTCACTGCCCTGAACGTCCTTTCTCCTCCACCTCTTCATCCCGCTCTCACCCTCCCCTCGTCCCTCTTTTGAATTCTTTGTTCCCGTCTCCAGGTCTCGATGAGTTTATGTGATCTCGAATCCCACACACAGCGGCTGCGCAGTTTCAGGAGGGATACGTGGAGGCTTCGCAGCCCAAATGATTTTTCGCTTTCTACTGCAGGCATGCTCAAACTACGGCCCGCGGGCCACATGCACGCGTTTTTGCCCATTTGTTTTTTTACTTCAAAATAAGATATGTGCAGTGTGCATAGGAATTTGTTCATAGTTTTTTTTTTTAAATTACAGTCCGGCCCTCCAACGGTCTGAGGGACAGCGAACTGGCCCCCTGTTTAAAAAGTTTGAGGACCCCTGTTACTGCCTAGACGATTTCTCCATCTTCCCTTCTGAAATCTAGCAAAGAGCTCCCCGGGGGCGGGGTAGCCGAAGGCCGAGCGTCTCTGCAAGGCCGACCAGAGCAGGTGGCCCGGGTCTCGGCTACCTGACAAAAGTGGACTGGTCGGGGTCGTAGAGGGCCATGAACAGCTCCGCGTCCTCCCCGATGTTGCAGACAAAGTTCTTGAAGTTCACGTAGAGGCCGTAGGTGTGGACGGCGCTGAAGATGGACTGGCCCCGAAAGTCCAGGTTCTGCAACATCGACTGAACACACGGGGAAAGAGAGAAAAACACCTCGGTTTCAGCCAACAGGAAAGGCAGGCAAAGCAGCCAAGCTGCAGATGGGGAACAAACATAATCACCACCCGAGGGGAGACGCACTTGCTAAGAACAAAGTATATGCAAAGGCATCGATGATCCGCGGAACGAACAAAATAGAATCATTATTATTTAGATGATCGAGGCTGTCCTGTTCAGGGTCTTGAACCCAAGTAATTCAGTAAGTGCTGTCTACAGAGGATAACTCATGGTTTGGGTAGCTCTAAGAAGTTCTCATCTCTCTCGACGGCTTCTGGATGAAGTTCAAAAGCACAAAAGCCGTGATCCATTATCCCTCTCTATGGAAATAACGCTCCCTTGAATCAAAATATCCCACTGCAAAGGCGTCACCCTCAGGCATGGGTTGCCGTTGGATTCCAAAACACAAATGTCATCACGACTGTGCTAAAGAAGTAAAAACGACACACTACAGGAAATCGACACAAATCTCTACTCATGAGAACACAAAGACTGGAAGAAAAAAATAAACTCCTTCAGGGGGAGGGAGGGGGCAGGAGCAATATTTGTAACCCTAACAATATTTGTACCTCCATAATATGATGAAATAAAAATCATGTTCTAAAAAAAAAAAAAAAACAAAAAACAAAAAAACAAAGCAACAATGGAACCTCAGTGGCCAGAATGAGGAAGTGTACCTTTTCTTCTTGAATCTTCTCCTCAATCCTTTTGGAGGCTACTTCGTGGGCCTTGAAGAGGGCAATGGTGCTGGTTTCATCCGGGTCCAAAATGTTCCCGTTGTCGTCTCGCACCACCAGATCCAACCCGAGCATCCTAGAAAGAAAGGCGTCGTCAGCGGGTCTCCTCCCCTGGGGGGGCGGACTCTCCACTGAAGAGCCCCCATCAAAGACCCAGAGGAGTCAAGGTTGGAAAGTTTGAGTGCTGGACAAACCAGGTGAAGCACAGTGCCTTGGCTGCTCTCCTTTCAATTTCTGCCACCTCTCCACGTGACAACAATGTTAAGATACTCCCGAGATAACGTTAGCCAAACTCGTGTAAGAACATGCAAAGTAAATCTCAACCGGAAAAGTAAAATTGGCATTGACTCCGATCAAATTCCTCTCACCGATGCTTGCTTCCTTCGTCTTCTGTTATTTGGCATCGGAACCACGAAAGACCAAGGCATGATCATTTATGAGGGCTCGTCCTGATTTCCTCACGTAATTCGAGACTACCATAAAGGAGGGTCAATGCAGTCAGTCCTGGCTTGCTGCGACCTCGTGACCCATCTCGGAGCAAGGGCGCTGGCGTTGTTTAGACCAGGATTTGAGTCCTGGCTTTAATACCAGCAACCTTCACGACCCTGGGTGATTTGCTCAATTTTGCAAAACTTTGGTTTCTGCATCTGTAATAAATACTTCCTATTCTTCGAGGCTGTTGTAAGAATTTAATGATCCAATGCATGGAAAGTACCTAATACAATGGCTAGCATATTGTAAGTGCTCAGTACATGTTAGCTCTCATTGCAGCAACTGGCACAAGGAAACACCTGGCTGCATGGGAATACAGGGTTGGCGCAATCCCTCTCTCCAAGGCTGTTGTGCCCAATGTGCACGCAGAGGTAGAAAAAGCTTTGCTGAGTTCCAAGAAGCTGAAGACTGTGGTGGAAAGGGGATATTGCTATCTGAATGCCCAGCGTGCATTCCAGGAACCAGCGACTTGGAAGTGGAATGTCCAAATAGCAGGAACACTCAGGGGTAACAGCGAATGTGCCAAATCTTTGGAAAGAAAGCAAAAATGCCTAATTTCCCTCCTCCCTGTGTCTCAGCATCTCCATCAACTGATTTAATCTGGCAGGTTCCCTTCCACGGCAGCCAGAGCCGCAGGCCACCCAGGCTTGGGAATGTGACATTGCCGGCTGCTCAGACGCTGGATCATGGATACGCTGATAGAACAGCTCCCTTCCCCGAGCTGCTTTCAAGGCCTGCAATGGGGAAGCGAGCATGTTCTGCCATTTCTGTGGGAGGCTAACACTGTGTGCCAGAGAACGGGGGGACCTCCAGGCCACTGTCATTGCAGCAAGACTCCCAAAGACAGAGGCAGCACACGTGCAATGGGGAGCTGCTTCACCCCACCTTAGCTGGTTTTTTAAAAAGTCCCCTGACACCACATGACTGGCAGTGCAACCACTACGGCTGTGTTCTTCTGGGTGGCAAAGTAACAAGGAAGGGAAGTGCTAATTTTTTTTTTAATTCCCTTATTTATTTATTTACTTTTTTTTTTTTTTTTTTGAGACAGTCTCCCCCTCTGTTGCCCTGGGCAAAGTATAGTGGCATCATCATAGCTCACAACAACCTCAAACTCCTGGGCTCAAGTGATCCTCCTGCCTCAACCTCTTGAGTAGTTGGGACTACAGGTGTGCTCCAGGACACCTGGCTAATTTTTCTATTTTTGGTAGAGAGAGGGTCTTGCTCTTGCTCAGGCTGGTTTCAAACTCCTGAGCTCAAGGAATTCTAATGCCTCGGCCTCCTAATGTGCTGGGATTACAGGCATGAACCACCATGACCAGCCTGAGCTGTATTTTCATAGGTCTCTGAGAGATATCCAAATATCCTGAGGTTAGAGAAATAGGGCAAAGGGGGAAGAAAAAAAAAATCACACATGCATAAGTTGAAGAAATTTGGAAAATGAAACCAAATGCCAAACAAATTACCAATAAAAACTAACCAAGGAACCACCTGGGCCTTTTAAAAAGAGCTGGTTATGCGGCTAGAATTCCAGGCCACCACAAATTTGGATACACTGCCTGATTTTTTTTTCCAAAAGGCAGTCATATCTAGAACCTACATTTCTGCCTGAGCTAATCAGAAGATTCATGAAGTGATTAACTATTTAGAGGTGATTACAGACATAATCAACAGGCTATAAACATGTTTTACTACTCTGGCAAATCTGGTTTTCATACACTACAAACAATGGTCCCAGTTAGAAGAAGATAGAAAAGAAAAAGAAAGACTCTGGTACTGGTTTAGAAACCACTGTTAGGATATTATAAAAATAGATACAGCTCCAGGGATCTGAAAGTGTCAGCTTCAGAAGGCTAATCACTTTCAGTTTTATGGGTTTATTTATTATTTTTTTGTAGTAGAGCAGCTTCAATCCAAGCCCTGTCTTTCCTGTTCATCTGTTATCTCTACGAGACCAGAAAGCCAGCAGGAGGGTACTGCAAATAAAACAAAAAAATTTTTTTTCTGTTTTTTTTCTTGAGACACAGTCTCACTCTGTTGCTCAGCGAGAATGCAGTGGCATCATCATAGCTCACAGCAACCTCCAACTCCTGAGCTCAAGCGATCCTTCTGCCTCAGCCCCCTGTGTAGTCGGGACTACAGGCATGCGCCACCACACCCAGCTAGAGTGTTTCTATTTTATTGTACAGATAGGGTCTTTCTCTTGCTCAGGCTGGTCTCTAACTCCTGGCCTCAAGCAATCCTCCCGGCTCGGCCTCTCAAAGTGCCAGGGTTACAGGCATGAGCCACTGTGCCCGGACTCAAAATTTTTTTCAACAAAATTTAATGTCTTCTAAGAGATAAAGGAAGCAATGGGCATTATTCTTTAGCAACTCTAAGATGAAAAGTTCACTGTAAACAGTGTCCTTAGTATGAACGTGCTTGTCATTTTCTAAGTTTTCAGTGAAAAGCCACCCCTGGTTTACCTGTTGCCATGATCAATTTTGGCCGTGACCTTCTTCTTGAGCTCTGCCAGTTCGTCCTTGGGGAGTGTCCCTGATAGGATCTGGGACCGCCACTCGATCAGGCTGTATGTCATCTGCTGTAGCTGGCGGAAGAGGGTGACCTTGTTGTTCTGAGATAGAAAAATGAGTGGAGGAGAAGACAAAAAAAAGTGTGATGGAGGACGGTTCCTTATAAGGTGTTAACTGATTAATTGTGTCATGCAGTAAGCTGTGCACTTTGAGGGAAAATTTTTTTTTTTTATATTAATAGGTATGGCTCTGTCCTGAGCCATTCCCACACCCTCCCTCATTGCAACTACAGAAGGAAATAAGCAATCATAGGATGGATGGCTGGTCCTAAACCATAAACGTATCAAATCACCCATGTACCCTAAAGTCCTGACCATGTTCCTCCTCCGTGGGTTCCACTGTCCTCCAGGTACAGTGGATCACACTGGAAGTCCCTTCACATCTTAGCTGCTGCCCACGTTCCCAGCTGCACTGCACACAATTCCCACCTGGACCATTTACATTCCCTTCCATGCAAAGCTGTGTCCCCTAGCCCAGACCTCTCAAGATGCTATTTCATCTACCTAGAGCCACGTTTTTCCTCTTCCCTTCAACCCACCCCCCACCTCATCCTCTTCTGACTCACACTACACCCTTCACCAGCCAGCTAATTAGGTCCCATCCTAGGCATCTCTGCCTTGAAACCGTAACTTGGGATTAATCCTGTCATTGCACATGGAACCCTGAGTTACATGGGTTCATCTGAATCTTCCCTACCAGGACAGGGAGATTGTTTTTTCTTTTTTTTTTTTGACACAGAGTCTCACTCTTGTTGCCCGGGCTAGAGTGCTGTGGCATCAGCCTACCTCACAGCAACCTCAAACTCCAGGGCTGAAGCGATCCTGCTGCTTCAGCCTCCCGAGTAGCTGGGACTACAGGCATGTGCCACCATGCCCAACTCATTTTTTCTATATATATTAGTTGGCCAATTAATTTCTTTCTATTTACAGTAGAGATGGGGTCTCACTCTCGCTCAGGCTGGTTTTGAACTCCTGACCTAGAGTGATCCTCCCATCTCGGCCTCCCAGAGCGCTAGGATTATAGGCGTGAGCCACCACGCCCAGCCCGGAGCTTGTTCTTTTTTTGTGTCCTTAGTAACGGGTCCAGAGTAGGTACTCAAATGTACTAAATGAGTAAATTGTGAATGGAGAAATAACTTTAGGATACTGACAAATAAAAAATGTAATTTTTGTTTTTTTTTGGAGACAAGATCTCGCTCTGTCACCTGGGCTGGAGTGCATTGGTGTAATCGTAGCTCACTGCAGCCTCGAACTCCTGGGCTCAAGCGACCCTCCCCACCTCAACCTCCCATCGTGCTGGGATGACAGGCGTGAGCCACCGTGTCCAGCCAGCATTTTAAATATTATTTTTAAATTCTTATTTCCCCAGAAAATTGTTATACCATTCAGACATTAAAGGCCTCACTAGTAAGTTACAGTAACCAAACTTAAGCCAACCAATCATCCATGCCTCAGTGATTCTAAGAGCCGCATACTTTATGTCTGAGCCATCCTGACCTTGGCACTATATCTAAATGATTGAGTGCTTCATTATATGTGTGTGTGTGTGTGTGTGTGTGTGTGTGTGTATATATATACATATATATATATTTTAAGTCAATTGGCATCTACTATGTACTGGACACAAAGTTCCTGCCCTCAAGCGCCTAACATTCTAGAGAAGAAAGACAGCAGTAAGTAAATATAATCACACAGAGGATAATTTCAGATTATGAAAAGTACAGGAAGGAAAATAAACAGAGCAATCTGATACTGTGCACACAGGGAAGGCTGCTTTAAATACAGTGGTCAGGGACAAGTATTTTGCGTTTCACTTTTGAGATACGTTAGTTAAGTAAAAACCTGTACAATGCCACTCGCACGGCATATACTGCGAATGTACGTTCGTTCTTATGTACAGGGGAAAGTCATGACATAGCTACATACCCATATGCTTCTGAAACTACAGAAAAACTTTGCAACCATCTGCTATGTGAACAATGAGCACACACAGATGCTGACGTGTTCTCCAGTGGTGTTCTTCTACCACAACCCCAGGGACACAGATTCCTGGGCCAGGCATCAGCTAGAAGCAGAGCTGAAAACACCCCAGATGCTCTTGAACGGAAGATAAACAGGAGGGAAGAGCCCTCGGTGTACAAGTTCGGGGCGTGGGGGGCGATGGGAGACAAAAATGAGGTTAGCAGAGTGGTGATTTAAAAACCCCAATAAGAAGTTCAAAGTTCTGTGGGAACACAAAGGAAAGAGACACAGAACCCATTTATCTGTGATTGCACTATGCTCTGCCACCACTGCTGATCTCAAAAAGAGAGAAAACAAAGCCCGTTTAAAGTCAGGAAACTACCTGCATCTTGTGCTCTTACCATTTTCTCAATTGCCTTTTCCTCATCGGCCAGTCCTTATAAAAGCAAACGAATGAGACTCTCAAAAATTCTATTTTTAATAAGCAAAGGAAAAAAAAATCCTGCTTTTTTTTTTTCATTTAATCCAATATAAAATATTTCCATTTCCCATTGTCTTCCAAACAGGAAAAAGAAGTGAGAAATGAAGCCTATCGAATCTTGCCTTTCAAAACCGCGAGGCAGAAAGGGCATCTTTTTTTTCTTTCTTGCCACTCATTTTTTTTTAATGTTTTCTCATTTTAATGAAGATATTACTTCTCATACTATGGCAAAAAGAGGGGGCGGTGAGAGGGGAGCTCCAAAAGGCTTGGGGGACCCGCTGCGTGAGCCAGCGCTTTGTCTGCCACACGTGTTCACAAGTTCTTGGTCTCAATTGTATTAGACACTATCCATGGCGATTTAATTATGGCCTGTCCACGGCAGCCTTGTTGGCCAAGTTCTTCCCCCACAGAAGGATGCGGACAGCCATTCTTCTCTGATTTACTCTGCCAAATTCACTCTGAACAGACGAGCTGCAACACACGAAAGGAAGCGACTTCCCCATTTACTTGAAGGAAATGGACTTTGTTGCCACGTTCCTAAGACTGTTCTTATCAGGATGTTCTGCATGATGAACAGCTGGTGCCTGACGCTTCATGGGCGTCGGGGGCAGCACGTGAGGCCAGGCGGGGAGAAGATCACGCACCCCCTGGGAGACCACGGGCCATGTCTGTCTGGGGCTCTGCCTCTCCTCCGGTTGTCCTCCTTGCTGTTCTCTGTTCTCAGTCGCACACAGTGCCCGCCTGCCTGGCACAGAGCACCTCCCTAGTCTTGACTAACTCCAGCCTTTTCTGCATTCTCAGCCACTGTCACGTAATTCAGTAATTTCTTTTGAGTCTCTCTGCACACGTTGGCACAATCTTACGAGGCAGCAGGGACTCCAAACCAAACCCTGACAGCTCAAACTTAAAAAGAACACTATGGGCCGGGCGTGGTGGCTCATGCCTGTAATCCTAGCACTCTGGGAGGCCAAGGCAGGGGGATGGCTCAAGGTCAGGAGTTTGAAACCAGCCTAAGCAAGAGTGAGACCCTGTCTCTACTAAAAAAAAAAAAAAAAAAAAAAAAAAAATGAAAGAAATTAATTGGCCAACTAAAAATATATAGAAAAATTAGCTGGGCATGGTGGTGCATGCTTGTAGTCCCAGCTACTCAGGAGGCTGAGGCAGGAGGATCACTTAAGCCCAGGAGTTTGAGGCTTGCTGTGAGCTAGGCTGATGCCACGACACTCTAGCCCAGGCAACAGCGTGAGACTCTGGGAGGGAAGGAAGGGAAGGGAGGGAAGGGAGGGAAGGAAGGGAAGGGAGAAAGAAAAAGAAAGAAAAGAAAAGAAGAAAAGAAAAGAAAAGAAAAGAAAAGAAAAGAAAAGAAAAGAAAAGAAAAGAAAAGAAAACTATGGTTTTGATGTGAGTGAGGCATAGCTACACAAAATAAAGCAATCTAGCAATTTTTCTATGAGGGACTGAAGATATTCCTACATTTGCTTAGCATTTCTCCCTCTTTTCTACTTGGAGATATCCGAGGTCTCACTTTTTTATATCTCTAGTCCAGATGCTTAGTTTTTTTGGTTTTTGTTTTGTGTTTTTTTTTTTAAGAATTTCTAGAGATAAACACAAGGTCATAAAAAAAAAAAAAACAGCTTTGCCTTCGATTCTGGCGGGAATGCAGACGTCACCCATTGAGTATTACAGAACTCTGAGGCTCGTGTAGACAGTGGCTCTGCCTCACAGGCTGCCAGAAATCCTGATTCTAGTCTTCGTTTTCCGAAAGAATGCAGACCACAGCCAAAAACCCTTTCTCCGGTCTTCTCCTGTTCCGTGTGTAAAAGAATTAGTGTAGACTCTGTTCACCCAGCTCTCTTCCATGCGGATTCTATGGTTTAGAGGGAAACGTGGTTGGCTGGAAGTGCGGGTACTTGGCTTCTGACTCTAATTCTATCACTAACTTGCTATGTGACTTAGGGCAAATCATTCCCTCTGCGGTAAACCCAGTCGTAGCATAAAGGGATTGGCACTAAGACCCATTCCCAGGGGTGAGCGTCTCTGAGTCTACAACCGAGCCAGGAAACTGCTCCTCCCGGCAGCTTCCCAACTGTGTCTGACTCTGATCATGTCACTCCTCACTTTTCTGCAAGCTCGGTTGGCGCTGTATCAAATTTCCCCCGTGCAGGGCTCTTTGCACTGAATCTCACGTCTCTCCCGTGTGGCTGTGACTCCCAGGGGTGACTCTGGTCCTGCTGTGTCCTCCAGCTGCGCTGACTGCAAGCAGCTCTGGGACGAAGGGAATTCCCACCACCCCGACACGCTTCCTTTCCACTCCAAGTGCCTCTGCTGTCAGACAAAAGCTTGGCCCGGCCAGCAAAGGCTTGATGTTTTGTTTTGTTTTTCAAAAAAAAAGATGCAACTTAAGGCCCATTTTTTTTCCCGAAGTAAAAGAAATCTTGAAAGCCAGGTAACCAAGTCAGAGAACATCAAACCTGGAAAAATACACAAAGCACTGCCCCCCCCCTGTCTGGTCCTGGTCCTTCCTACGTCACATGTCACCTCTCCCCAAAGCCACACCGAGGCAGGGCTTGCAACGCGGAGGTTAAACGCCCTGAGGAGA